TCAACATCCACCGTCTAATCGAACACACATTGCTCCTCACATCTCTTCTCCAGATATACCCGCATTCTAAAAATCAGCAAGACCTGCGCGAAGACATACGGACAATGTTGGCACTACAAAACCATCATATGACGGCATGGCTGGGCTCCGAGTCTCCCAACATGTCTAGGCAGAAGGAAAGCAGCAGTGGCAACAACTATGTCAACACACAGCCAAAACCTTTGTCGAGCGACACTTTGAACGAGGCGGATAGAGAAGTGAGACGGGCTTTCTCTGCGAGTGCAAAAATGTGGCAAGACGGCACTGGGCATGGGGTCGCTGACGTTTTTGGCACTCGATCCACCTCTCCCCTATTGTGAGTCCAAAGGCAAAATCCAGCTAAACTGTATCGACGCTGTGGCGCGTCCGGCGTCTTCTTCACTGAGAAAGTCGTCGAGTCGTATTACCTACTGTTCCTGGTAGCATCTCCCCTCTCTTTTCTTAGCAAATTCAAACATCGACCTTGATGATAACATAGACCCCCACGATGGTGCAATGCTGCGACTGTTTGGATCCCTCTATGCTGTGTACACTACATACTTGACGTGACCCTGTCACGTGACATCGCGCCATCAAGTAGGAGCGGTCCGATTCCGCACTCACAAGTCATCTTACAAACACACATCTGAGACGTCGAGTAGCTTCATTCGCTGTGCGATAAATGCCGAAGCCACAATGCTTTCGATTCGTCCGGACCTGCATATATATCAGCTTCGGCTTCTTCTTCCACCCTTGCTACAGCTGACATGAAACCATTTCGTCGCGCATCTTCCCTAATCACCACCCTACTTGGCATACAGCGAACCTCTGCGCAACAGCCCTCTTCTTCTAGCAACGCAACATTCAATCATCTCCAAGGCATACAACAAGATTCCATATCATCCTTCGCCGGCAACATGACGCGTCTTGCACCTGTGATTTCCGTCTCCCACGGCGGAGGCCCCATGCCGCTTCTCGGAGACCCATCGCATACAGCCATTACCAACTCGCTCAAGACACGGGTACCCAAAATCCTCAAGCTGGGCACGCCAGACGCACCCAAAGCAATCGTACTAGTTACAGCCCACTGGTCCACAACAAAGGTCACCATCTCCAGCGGCTCCACACACGAGTTGCTCTACGACTACTACGGCTTCCCACCCGAATCCTACCAAATCAAGCACGATGCGCCTGGTAGTCCAGAGGTGGCAGATCAAGTCGCCAATGCCCTCAGCGAAGCAGGCATCGAGTGCGAAAAAGACCCAAAGCGACGTAAGTTATTCTCCCTCTCCATCCTCTTTCTTGCATATTGAAAGTTACAATTTTGGGACTGACGAACGAACCAAAAAAAAACAGCATGGGACCACGGCGTCTTCGTCCCCATGAAACTCATCGACCCCTCGGCCTCAACCCCCATAGTCCAACTCTCAGTCCTTTCCTCCGAGTCAGCCGCACAATCCTACGCCATCGGCCGCGCGCTGTCCACTCTACGCGCCCAAAACATTGCCATTGTCGGTTCCGGCTTCGCTACCTTCCACAACTTGCGCTTGTTCGGTCAGCTGCGCAATCCGGAGCTGCAGGCGCAGACGGCGGAGTGGAGTAAGAGCGTTACGGATGCGGCGATGACGGATGATGATGCGAAGCGCGAGGGGAAGTTTCTCCAGTGGAGGAAATGGCCACATGCGTATACTACGCATCCGAATGGCGGCGCTGAGCACTTTTTGCCCCTGATTGTTTGTGCGGGGGCCGCGGGCACGACAAAGGGGAAGAGTTATGCGGATGCGCTGTATGGGACGGATATGTGGAGTTATTACTGGGATGAGGAGTGATTTCGTTGTATCAATCAATTACGCCGCATATTCGACTAGTTATATAAAAAAAATTTACTTTCAAAACGAACGTAAGAGATGGATTCAATATACTATCCCTTTTTTTTCAAATCATTCACTTTCCACATAGGGATCCATTTATCTTTCCCCTAACCTTTTTCTTTGGTATACATGTCCCCTTTTACCTCCCCCCAACAGGTTTCATCCCATACCACCCAATAACCGCAATGCCCAAAAACGCACTAACCACACTCATCACCAACGCCGCAATACCCCTCCCGGTAAACCCGTCCGGCAACCTCCCCGGACTCTTATTCTCGCCGCTCAAATCCTCCAGGTTCTTTGTGTTCCCCGCCGCATTCCCTTGCGTCGGTATTTGCGCGGCACGACATACATCCCAGTGATCCTGCGGTATCTTGCCGTCGAGCTGGCGCTGGACGGAGAGCGGAGCTTCGATGATGGTGGCGGTGAGACCGGAGGCGACGTGCCATTCGATGTGGCAGTGAAAGAGCCAGACGCCGGGGTTGTCGGAGCGGAAGCGCAGGACGAGGTGCCCGTTTGGGCGGACGAGGATAGTGTCGCGGCGCATTGGGGTGGGGTTTGCCAGGGATGGGGATGGGGAGGAGTTGTTGTAGGATCCGGCTTCTGCGTCGCTGCGCTCGAGGACTTGGAAGGTGTGGCCGTGGAGGTGGAAAGGGTGTCTGTTTGGAGTTGTTAGGTATGTTTCTTTGGGAAGGGGAGGGATTACTTACTTTCCCGGATCCATGTTGTTTAGGATGATTTCTATGACTTGGTTTTGGGCGAGGATGAAGGCGTTGGTGTTGCTGCCGTAGATTATAGGGTCGGTGGCGTTGGGGCCTGTGGAGAGGACGGTGTAGAGAGTGGGGACTTTGGGGCCGACGTAGGTTACGTCGTTGAAGAAGGCACTGGTTATATGTTAGTTATTTGATATCGGAAACACGGTGAAGAAGACTTACTAGTTTGCTCCGTCGTTCAAGTTGTCCATCTTCACATCGAGCGTAATGGACTGATCGACATGATCGAATGCTCCTTCCTTATCCCAAGGCACGAGTTTGAAATCGTCAAACGGTTCAAAAGCATCTACATCTTTCGGAGCTGGTAGTTCCTTCTTGTCATCATATACAAGCCACCCCGTGACATTGGGATTCAGCCCTTCGGGCACCGTGTCGAACAGGTCCTCGTCCATGCTGCCGACAAAGGCAAAGTTGGATGATGTATCATTCTTGGCAGTGACGAGCACGCTGTAGCGTTGAGCAGCAGTTAGGTAAATCATGTCTGCGTCCATAGGCTCAGTGTACACGCCGTCGACTTCAACAACGCGCATTGTGTGCTCCTCGAACCAGACGTACTGGGCGGCAAAAGCGCCCATGTTGACCATACGGAAGAGATATGTTTTGCCAGGCTCAATGCTAACAGTCAGATTTTGAGTGTCGTTGAGCAGAGCTGCCTGAGGCACAGGTTCTGCGCCTGAGGGATTGGCAATGCTGATGAAGCTTGCGAGAAGGTTGTGCATAGAGTCATGGTACCTGCAAGTATGATTGTACTTGGTCAGTCATTCTTGTTCGACGATCATATTTCAATGGCTTTGCTTACCAGTCAGATAGTGTTACTACAACTTCCTTGTCATAAAGGTCCTTGTGTGGATTTTCTGGATCATGCACGATGAGCGGTCCGCGGAGACCGTCAGGATACTGGCCACGCTCATGGCTGTGGTACCAGTATGTTCCTGGTTGATTAACCTGTAATGATCAGTCCTAGTTCATCTCCCTCGTAAAGCCAGTACTCACTGTGAAATTATACGTAAAAGAGCTACCTGGAGGGACCCCGCACTGGGTGCCTCCAACCACGCCATCCATATGCGTCGTGCCATTCATAAACAAACCATGAAAATGCAGACTGGTCGACTGGTTTCCCAGCGAGTTCTTGACATTGACAATGACCTGGTCGCCTTTTGTTGCTACAATAGCTGGGATGGGCCATTGTCCGTTGATTCCAATGGTTGGGCGATTAAACTGTCCATCTGGATTCGCATATGTCCATGCTACATCGAAGTCGTATGTGACAGTCGCAGCCTGAGCAGTCGAACCGAGAAGTAGCAGTGAAATGAGGAAATTGGACAAAGAAATCGCCATGTTGGGCGGCGAGGGGAAGGATTGAAGCGTCTAGTGAGCTACAAAGGCTACACTGGATGGTCCAGCAAGCGGGGAGTACACCACGACGTACTCAGCTCAGTTGAGCGGATGATCAGACAAGACTAGGTCTGATTGTGTGAGCATGGAATCATCAGATAAATGGCACCAGACTGGTCCGATACCTGAAAATCAGATTATGCCTTGCCATCAGCTGCGCGCGACTAGCTGAAGCCACATTGGTTTCGGCGCCGAGTTATCAGATCATCTGCCGGAAGTTTGCAGAGTGAAAAGACGGTGGTCAAACAACACAGAGCGGGGCATGTATGCGCTTCTAGTCAAGCCTGGTGTGTGTACGGGTCGCAGATCCAATCATGTCTGGCCTGCGTCAAGCATCGCGTCTCGTGATTCGCCGCAGGGTCATACCGATCTGCCTGTTATCGGACCATCTGATAATCTGGACCACTATCGGCCCAGCCATTTGGTCAAGAGGCGCCGAAGAATCAACAAGCCTGCCTTAGCCTGCGCTATTAAAGTCTTGAACTGATTTGGCGTGGCTGGGCGTGAGAATCCCGCTGATCACTATGGTGGCGATTTTTTGAAGCTGGTAGGGGTTTCGTAGGGGTAGCTGTTGCGTGGTCTGGCTGTGGTACTTACTATGTAGACAATGTGAAAACAATGGTTGAACAGCACCACCAGTACGTCCCGAAAGCTTCTGAGAACAGTGACACCATCAAGAAAAACTTTCACAATATGACATCGGCCCGTCCTCTCACGTCGGCTCGCAAACTTGATTGAAAGCCAGGGTCATTGGGCATAGGTATTCCGAAACTCGGCTTTTCACTAGCGTCATGATACAGAGACGGGATGCACATGCACGAGCAAGAGCTGAGAGCAGGCGCCGCCCACCCCTCATCTGATTAGATCCTGTCTTTTTAAACTCCTCGCTTTTTATCTGATTCCTAGATCAAATGCCAATTGAGCGAGCTTGATAGCTATCAAGATGCCGAACGTCTTTGCAGTACCAGGTGTGTGAGCAGACTATACAACAACTGCCCCTCCACATGCGCCTAGCGCCTTTCGTACTAACTTTGCACCACTAGTCTTCTTCATTTGCTTCCGTGAATGTCTAGAAACAAGCATTATTGTTTCTGTACTCCTCGCCTTTCTCAAGCAAACTCTAGGTCCTGCACAGGATGCTGCTGTCTATAAGCGGCTCGTGCGCCAGGTCTGGTACGGCGTGGCAGCAGGCGTATTCATATGCCTGATCATCTGCGCTGGCGTGATAGGAACTTTTTACACGGCAGGAAAGAACACTTTTGAGTCTGCTGAGAACATCTGGGAGGGCGTCTTTGGAATCGTGGCTAGCGTCATCATCACCCTCATGGGCGCAGCTTTGCTTCGCATCAGCAAGCTCCAGGATAAATGGAGGGCCAAGATTTCCAAGGTGCTGGAGCAGAAAGATCTCAATCTACCTGTTAAGGGTAAACTGAAGCGCTGGACGGAGAAGTATGCCATGTTCATCTTGCCGTTTGTAACGGTGCTTCGCGAGGGCATCGAAGCAGTGCTGTAAGTCGATGCGACCCAACCTTGATAAAGTCTTTTTTGGCTAAGCTAGTATCCAGTTTCATTGCAGGTGTCAGTCTCAGCGCTCCAGCGACAAGTTTTCCCCTGGCTGTCATTTGTGGCCTAGGTGCAGGTGCCTTGATCGGCTATCTCATCTACAAAGGCGGTAACAAGACCTCGCTGCAGATCTTCCTTGTGGTGTCCACATGCTTTCTCTACCTCGTAGCTGCAGGTCTCTTCTCCAAGGGTGTCTGGAGTCTTGAGCAAGATGCATGGGTCAAGCTCGCCGGAGAGGGTGCTGCTGAAGCCGGCGCGGGTCCTGGCAGCTATGATATCAGGAAAAGCGTTTGGCACGTCAACGTAAGGTTTGACCTCATCTGCCCTCGGATCCTTAGGCTGACTATTGCGCCATAGTGTTGTTCTCCGTTAGAAAACGGTAGCGGCGGGTAAGCATATGTCATTTCGTATACAAGATCCCCGCTAACAACGTCGCTTCACAGTTGGGGAATCTTCAACTCCCTGCTCGGCTGGCAAAACAGCGCGACCTATGGCTCTGTCATTTCCTACAACGTATACTGGATCGTCGTCACCATCGGCTTCCTCTTCCTGGGCTGGAAAGAGCGCAAAGCCAACCTCTCCAACACGGCTGAGATCGCAAGCGAGACATCCAGCGAAGAACGCGAAATTGCCACGGACAAGGCAGCCAACGAGCGCGCCGGAATCAACACGGCTGTACGCGAGATTTGAGTAATGACAAAATAGAAAGGGCCACCCGCGCAAGAGAAAACTCGGGTCTGCTTTATAAGAATAATGTCACGAGAGATGTATTGGGAGGCCTGGACGACACAGCCCATCTCTCACAAAAAGGCTTATCGCGTATAGAGCCGACGCTAATGCGGTTCCAAGATCCAGAAACAGAACTGCCACTAGAAATAATGGAATTTATCCACCTCCTGAAAAACACACCTTTCTGTAAAAACAAACAAAAAAATCCTCCGAGGAACGTCAAACGTAAATATGATCGTCGATGTCGGCCATGGTTCTGCCTGCTTTAGCAAATGTGTATCTGCCGCACCGAAACGCGTGTCGTTCAAGGGGAGGGTTGTTTATCTGTGGGTCGTAACTACTTTACTAGCAATCGATTGCAGCCATGCAACAACCAACGTCTGAGCACAAACCCGCCCCCCCCCAATCCATTCCCCCATGCTTCCCTTTTCTTTTTTCCCGCAATTCCCATCCCATTTCTTGCCTTTGCGTTGATTTTTTTTTGTGGAGATGCCGACTAACCCTCCCAACACATACGCGATATGATTACGATGGCGCGGCTGACAAACCAATGCACTTGCTCAGCATTTTGTTGCCATATATAACTTGTTGTACGCTTTGGTGTCCTTAGGGTGTGGCTGAGTCCTGTCTCGCACTTCAACCCCCCCCCCCCCCCCACGTACGCACGCACGCTCTTTTCTGGGCGTCTCGAGTAAGAAGGATGGAACACAGGGCTGTACTGGTTGGCGGGTGAGCGTGAGCGCGAGCGCGCGCACACACACAGCGGGGGGCCGAGTTTGGGAATCTATGCACGGAATTTTGTACGCCCCAAGGAAACCAATTTTACTTAAAGCCAGTCGCTTGAACCCGCTTTTCGCCTTTTCCCGTATATGGTGTTCCTCTCCCCCCTTTCCCCAACTTTTTTACCATCACTTTCACTTTGAACGGTTTTCACTCATCACTCGTTCTTTCCAGTTTTAGCAAACGGTTTTTGTGGAACCAGCTGAAACCGTTCTCTGCTGCTCCTGCTGCTATATTTACATATAATCACCTCACTTTCACTTTGAAACCTTGACATATATCACCGACATTGTCTAAAAGACGAAATCTACGTGTAAAAAAAAAGACAACCCCAAGTCCAGGCAAAACAAAAACATCAGAAAAAGATGTATTCCAAATCTCTCATCCTCGCCATCCTGGCAACGGCATCCACCACCGTCGCCGAGTTCGCAATCATAACCACTCCCCTTCCCACCAACCTCAACGTCCTGACAGACGTATGTTCCCTTCCCTTCCTCCCTAACAACAACAAACTAACCCCACGCCCAGATCTCCGCCTACAAATCCTCCATCCTCTCCCAAGTCTCATCGGGTCTCGCCTCGCTAACCGGCGACCCAGCCGCCGTCTCGAGCGCTGCCTCCGCACACAAGGGCCTAGCCTCCTTCGCCGCAACAGCCACCTACTCGATTCCTCCCAAAGTAACCGAGATCGGAGCGCTGGAAACCTTCTCTACGACGCCAGTATGGTACAGTGCGCTGCCGACCGATGTCAAGGCCTACTATGATGGGTTCAACAAGGAGGTCCAGGGATTGATTGATCAGGCTATTCTGGGCGAGAGGAGGAACGAGACTGAGACCCAGTCCGGAGGTAGTAGCCCAACGGGAACGAGTGGTGGCGCAGGTGCGAAGGAGACTGGTGGTGCGGCCGGTGTGCGTAGTGCGGTGGGAGTTATGGGTGCGGGTATTGCTGTTGCGTTTGCGGGTGTTTTGGCTTTGTAGGCAGCGGGTGGTGTTAGTCGTGTTTTGAATGATGCGGCCTTGTTCTCTTCTCTTCTCTTTCGAGATATCTGGGGCTCTGTCCCCTATCACCATTTACGACCTTCTTAAACGATACATTGTGTCTGGGCACAAGTCCTTGGGCAAATACTATGCTCTGTTCATCTCACGCCAAATTTCAAAACTGCTCTTACTTATGTTTTTCCTTGTTTTCGTTTCTGTAGTTGATTATTATGGATGAGGCCATCGAAGCTCGTTCGAATATTGTGCCGTAGCAAGATCTATAAGAGTTACAACATGTAAACGAAAGGCAGAAATAAGAAGTGCAAATGAAGCGCGAGTGTACAGTCAAGACTCTGGAAATGGAAAATGAAAAAGCTATGGTGTCAGGGGCAAAGAGCCAAAATCGCCAGTGACTACAAGATCGCTAATTGAAGAAGATGTAGGAAATGCGCAGTGATCAATGTGCTTTAGACCACTGCATGAGGCCATTGGGTTACGCGCGCTTTACTGAGCAAACTGGCATGGGTGGGGGGTTTGCCATATACATAAGCAGACACAGCGGCGGGACGCGGTGAGGTGAGAGCTGCTATCTCGTCTTTTAACGACATATTTACTGGCTCTTCTTTGAGCCGCTTCTCCTGGGTAAGCCTGCCTGCCTCCTTGCCTCACGGTCACCTTCCGCAAGCCATTGACTTGCTGTCTTCATCTGCACTCCGTTGATCCATTGCTTGATTAGCATAAATGGCAGTGCTACTACCATGAAGATCCAAGGGACGGTGGAATCCATCTTGTTTGCGCGAGCCATCTCCATAGCTGCAGCAGAAAAAGGGCTAGCGAAGAACATGGAAGGCTCGGGGGCTGCGGGCGAGCCGGGTTGCAGTGAAGACGGGTTCTTGGAGTCGGAGAACAGGGTGGGCGAGAGGTAGGGCGAGCTGAATGAGAGAAGGTAGAGGGCGATGAAGAAGATTTCGTTCATGGCGCAGAGGGTGAAGAGAACTTTCTGCAGATATTGTCAGCAGCTATGACATGGAAAGGGTTACGCAACCAAACGGTGCCACATTTCCGACGTACGTTGTTCGAGTAGTACTGCTTCAGCAGCCAGTTCCTGCTCTCGTCGACATTCTTGTGGCTGCGCGCGCTACCACCCATGCTCAAAGTGGCATACATGTGCATGTAGTGACTCGCCAGGTCCAGGGAAATGAGCAGTTGGAACACGATGCTCCACCTAGGGAAAGCCTGGGCCAAGAAAACGAGCAAACAGGTCGTTGTGCATCTGTCTGTGACCATGTCCAACACGGCCCCGAATTTGGTGCTCTGTTCGTATTTGCGGGCGGCATAGCCGTCCAGTGCATCCAGAAGGCAGGATACGCTGTAGAGGAGAGTGCATGTGCGTGGGTGGAGAGGCATGTAGTAGAGCGATGTCAAGGCAAGGAAGACGCGCGAGTAGCCTGCCAGTCTGTTAGCTAAACCACGGGAATGGTGTGAGAAGAGCGGGCATACCAATCAAGTTGGGGATGAAGAGGAAGATGTTCTCTTGGGGGCCCTCGTGCTCCGGTCTGGGGGGCCTCACTGCTGCGCCATTGCCGTTGCCATTGGCTTGCTGTTGAACAGAGGCCATGATGGAATAGACTGTCTCTGTCGCGCAGTCGCGTTCTGTAATTGCGAACTTAATACGTGCTGAACTTGTGGCCTGAGATATCCCGGATTACCCCGCTGCGCTTACTCTGGGGTGAAGGTCGAGTGTGTGCGCTGCTTACGCTCTGACGTACTAGGCAACAGCGAAGCGTGTAGTCAGAAGAAGAATAGATAGAGACTCGGAATCCAGCAGTCGTGTGTGATCCGATGCAAGAGGCCCAAGGCGACGCGTTGATGGTTGGGCGGAATGTGTCGTGTGAAGCCGGCGGCAGCTGTTGGAGCTGTGCGGGCCAGAAAGTTGTCGAATGTCTAGTCGGCGCCGATAAGCCGATAACGAACCTCTGGGCTGCAGGAAACTGCAAGGGTCGAGGAACACAGCGTCGTGGGACGAACCGCCGCAAAAGCAAAGTGGAGGTATGCAGGTGTCTGCGTGTAGTGTACGTGTCAAAGAGCAAGCCGAGTGCAGGTTTGTGGTACCTGGAAATTGAGCGCCAGAATTCCTTCGCCAGTTCGTCCGTCAGGTCCCGGCTACCCGCCTAAGCCAGATAGGGGCTTGCTTGGCATACGAAGTCAACCGCACATCAGCCCCATTGTCAGCGTTGCCATTATGTAAGTGTACATTTCTCTGCTCATACTATGCAAAAACACTAAGCCCAGCTACATGCCTACTCCTTGAAGCCCTTGAAGCTCGACTTGGCCGCAATCTTCTTCGACTTGGACTTCATCTTGGACTGCTTCTCCTTTGCAGTCCTTGTGCTCATGCCACGATCCCCCTTGCCCTTCTTCCATTGTTTACCCTCCTTGCGCACATCCTTTGCTTCAAGCTTCTTCTTGTCCTTGCCGCTGAGCTTCTTCTTCTTGTCCTTACCTCCAGCCGGCCCGTTGAGCGCTGCCGCACCCCTCTCCTTTTCAGCCAACTTCTCCTTCTCCGTCTCAAACCATGTACGTCTCGGCCGAGCCTTGATCTCATCCTCGTGCACAATCAGGTTTTCACCCCGTTTGAGATCCCGCTCAGTGACAGTCATGGCACGCTCCTCTTTTTCTTCTTCCAAAACCTCCTCAATCTCCTTCTCCAGACTCTTGATCTTCTTCATCCATCTCTCTGTCTCCTCGGCAGGGACTTGACGGCTGACTACCTTGGCTCCTTGCTCGCGTGATGCCTTTACCGCTTGCTTGACCACTTTACGGTCAGGCTCTGCGGCAAGTGTACACGCTCGACCGCTTCGTCCGGCACGAGCCGTACGACCGACACGATGCAAGTAGATCTCGTGCGTCTGAGGCGCTTCGTAGTTGATGACTGTTGAAACATTCTTGATATCAAGACCACGCGAGGCAACGTCAGTTGCAAGCAAGTAAGACGACTTGCCGGAACGGAACGCTTCAACAGCTTGAATACGCTATGGGGTTGTCAGTATCGCGTCTTGTCTACAGTAGAGAAACCAGCTTACCTGTTCTTGGCTCATGTTACCGTGAAGCTCGCTCGCCTTAAGTCCACAAAGTGCGAATACTACTCGGACCCTATGCGCCTCTTTCTTTTGTCTGAAGAAGACGATGACCTTCTCAGTGTAGATCTTTTCACAGATGTACATCAAATATGCGAGTCTCTTGTCTTCTTTGCCTTGCCTCAATCGCACAAATTCCTGCGTCAATCCCTTGACAGTCTGTTTCTTAGAATCCACCATGAGCCGCACAGGCTTGTCCATACCAATTCGAATCAGCTTGTCGACTGAGCTCGTCATGGTAGCGGAGAAGAGCATTGTCTGGCGTGATTTGGGGATGGTGGTGAGGATTTCGTTCAGCTGGCTCTCGAAACCTTCTTCGAGCATACGATCGGCTTCATCAAGAACAAGGATTTCGAGGTTCTCAACTTGAAAGGCAGCCGTGTTATGCATGTGATCAATAAAACGACCGGGCGTTGCAATGACCACATCTGGCCTCGTCTTCAAAACGGCTTCCTGCTCGCGCGAGGAGAAACCACCAGCCATCAATGCAAAAGTGATGTCGGTGAACGACGCGAGCTTCGTAGCAACATTGAAACATTGTACCGCCAACTCACGCGTAGGCATAAAGATGGCAACACGTGTGGTCGGAATCTTCTTCTGACGGTACAACAGACGCTCAAGGATGGGGATAAGGAAAGCAGCTGTTTTACCCGAACCGGTCTCGGCACCACCAACAACATCTTTTCCTTGCATAGCGATAGGAACAGCCTTGCTCTGAATTGGAGTTGGCTCCGTGAACCCTACGGATGCTAGGCCTCGTAGAATAGGTCGCGAGAGTGACATGGCCTGGAATGACCCTGTCGCTCCTTTTGCGCCTTTTTTCTTTTTAATTGTAACACTGTCTTCGGGCGCGAAAAAAGCGGCGGCCTTCTTGGCTTCGACGGCGTCTTCTTGCTCGCTCGCATCCTCATCTTCTGTCTCGGCAGCCTCGAGATCCATAGGGTGGGGAACATGAGGTAAATCTTCGTCTTCATCTTGATTGCCGTCTGACCCGTTCTCCTCATCAGAGTCCTCGTTTGCCCTGTCTTGTTCATTGTCTGAAGCTTCCTCCTCATCCTCTTCGTCTTCAGAGTCGCTGGGAGCACCCATACCGAAGCCGTCCTCCGCCATGAGCTCGTCATCGTCGCCGAAACCCTCAAAGTCACCGTCGACCGAGGTATCTGAGGAGTCTGGCTCAGCAGTTTGCTTTGCCCTCTGCTTGTTCCGTCTGCGCTCAATGATGTCGTCGACGTCCACAGCAGTGCTCTTCTTTCCAGACTCCTGTGCGACCGTGCCATTGTCGTTTCCCCAACCGTCGAACTCCTCCACAAATCCCGTGTCTATATCACCGACAGCAAACTCGAAGTCGCTGGCAATGTCGTCATTTTGCTCAATGTCTTCGCCTGGTTGTGGCATTACGGTTTCGTCTTCGTCTTCTTCGGGCTCTGGTTCAGGCTCGGCGTGCTTTCCATTTTTTCCCTTCTTCTTGTCCTTCTTTGCCTTCTTTGAGGCGACCTCCTTGGGCCTGATACCCAGGTCCGGATCCTCTGTGTATTTCCTCTTCTTGCCAGCGCCTGCTAGCTTTGCGCTCGCCGCCGCAGACTCGTCGGCGCCACCATCGTCGGACACATCATCATGGTCAGAGATGGTGTAGACAAAATCGTCGTCGAAACTGGGCGCCATGGGTCCGAGGAGGAGGATTTGCAAGGAATTGTCGCGTTGTACAAATTTCACAAGTCGCAAGCGGTCGCAAAAAAAAGTTCGGCCCCGGGGATCTCTGCTGCCGCATCCCTGCAAGCCAAGGTGGGGCGCCGCTTCCGCCGCCGCTAACTCGTCTTGCACATGTACACTTCATCCACAACAGACCGACTGGATGCTATCACATACGCTTGTTCAGGCCAGGGAGCACGACACGGCATTTGCTTGTACTAACTATGAATTTTCTGTCTGACAGCATGTCTTGCCTAATGCCACAAACGGCTTCGTTGCAGCCATATCCAGGCTTCCCAACGGCCCGTGCCCACTGGCGCGTTTGTTGAACATAGACACAAGCTCATTGGGCAACGATCCCCCACCGCATTCAGAGGCCATGTTGATCTGGCTCGTATTCAGCAATACCGAAGGCATCATTTGGCCTAATATTGTCTTCCCTGTCCTGTGCAAGGAAAGGCTACCATGTACACGCTTTCGTTCAACTGACACCACCCCACCGGCCATCACGCTCACTGACCTGGCATCTAACCAACTTGGCCTCCACCTCCAACATTTTACAGCCAAACCATCACCAACATATTGGAGTCTAGGCCTTGTAGCTCTGGTAGGATCGTAGGCTAGCTATATGCCATACGTCATGCACATACAGCCGCAGAGCCTACACTGCTTTTCGGGGATATTACGGGAAGAGCGGCTATCCGTGGGCCACAACCGCCTTAGTATGGAGGCCTGAAGACTCCTTAGTTCAGGTCAAGCACGAACAATTGGCTTGGGGCCAAAACTTAGGATCCATAATGACATCGATAGTGCTGTACAATACTGCACACTGTGCGCCTCTTCCTGCTCCACTCGTACTTCTCTCAAGTATAAGTCCAGCTTGTAGTCTCGGCATAATTGAAGCACAACACAGTCCAGACAATCATCTTCTCTCCTCCTTCATTAAACCAACAGCCACTCGCCAACATGCTCTTCTCTCGCCTTCCTCTCTTCGCAACCCTCCTCAGCGTGGCCACTGCTTGGGAAGGTAAGCCATACATGCTTAGCCTCTCATTATACTGAGCTGACCAACTTTGAAGCCACCTTCTACAATGCTCCGGACTGTGATGCCAATGGTCTGACCATCTACCGCTCAATGACTTCAGACTCATACGGCACCTGTATTGAACTTGACGGTACCTTATACACCGACGTCCAATGTCGACAATACATCAATGGCGGTGCTTCCAATTCAGAATGCACCGACGACAACATCTTCCCAATCTCCACTCTGTTCACATACGACGGCACCTATCAATGCCGCTCTTACTATGCTGCTGGCTGCGAGGGACTGTACGATGAGCAATCGAAGCATGTAGTCGGTGCACCTTTTCAAAAGGAATGCGCGACTTATACTAAGCAGTACAAGTCTTTTGGTTGCACCAAGTTGTAAGTTATCAAGTAGGCATTTTCTTGGAGACGGCATGACTAATGCATTTTTCACAGCTCATCTTAATATTTGATCGTCGATGATTCGATGCAACGGCGAGATTTGTGGAAGCGGTGGACAAATGGTTTTGTTGAAGACACAAGGAAAACAGACTGACAAGGTATCCAAATTTCAGTCGGCTCTCAGAGCCAGTAGAACAATGATCTTGAAAACGATATTACTGCTATTAATGAAAAGATAATGATATCATATACTATACCACTACTTGTACCTCTCTACCCATATGCTGTAAATTGGGATTTCACATCACACTATAAAAACTTATTTACAAGGGAATCCGGTTACCAAACAGTCTTCGCGCATTCTGAGCAAAGATACCAGTCCTCTCAGTATCGGTCACAAATGGCGACGTCTGAATAACAACCAGTGATGGACCATACGTGAAAATCGGCGCATACGGGAAATCCGTCCCGAAGAAGAGATTCGTCGTCGGAATATCATATGCCAACAATCCCCCAACCTGATGAAAGTACGTCGGACCCGCTGAATCCCAGAAAAACCGCGTCTTCAGGACATCCATAGTCCGATCGTAAATCGCCGGGAAAGACTTCAGAAGCCGATCAGCGACCGACGGAAATGCGCCTCCAACGTGCGGAATAATGTAGTTGATATTGGTGAAGTTCAGCAAGGTCTGTGTAACGGCAAGATCTCCAAGCATACGCGCTGTCTCGAAGTAGAATTCGATGTTCCCGGTAGGATATACAGTCGGATTGGCCTCAATAAGCGTGCCGTTGATGCGTAGATACGGTGTTGTGGGGTGCACGTATATGATTTGGTTGCTCCCACGCGCATTCATTGCCTCGAAGAAGGGCTTGAAAGCTGAATCACCGAGATAGCGCCCTTCGAAGTTCGAATAGAGCGCGATGCCAGCGGCTCCAAGTGTGTCGAGGGCGTATGTAGCTTCGGCGATGGCATTGGGAGTGTAGGGTAGTGGGACGACAGCGTAGAATGTGAATTTATCTGGATTAGCCCGAGCAAATGCTGCAGATTGTTCGTTGATCAGTCGCGCAAGGGCAATTGTGGCGGGCTGGTTTCCTGGGTATACGTTGGCGCCAGGCGCTGAGAAAGCGAGGACGGCTTGAGAAATGCTTTGGCTGGCCATGAAATCAAGGTGTCCAGATACGTTCCATGATGGTGTTGGATTTCCACCGGTTGTAGGGACGATTGCACGATACCAATCTGGTACGCAATGTGCTATGAGATCTGTTAGATGCAAGATTGAGATGTGAGAACAGGAACACACCATGAACGTCGATGAGTCCAGTGAGATTCGCAATAGCCCGCGCTGAGAGCTTTGTCGTGGTGGTATCGGCGTACGTAGAGGCTATACTTTCTAGTGTAGAAGATAGATCCAGGCCCGGAACAGCCCCAAGGTCGATCGAGTCTGTATGGCAATGATCAGAAGTTTTGCAAGCGAATTCGGGGTATTGAATTCGTACCGGCCGTAGCGCGTTGGACGATGGACTGAATGACATCTGCTTGTTCATATCTCTTAGACAAGCCACTCTCACAAGTAGCGAATGCAGCTACCCATCCGATTAGGGTAAATGATTTCTGAAAAGCCCTCATCTTGATGTGATATGAACGAAACACGATGATGGTAGAAGATGTACAGAAACAAAAGTTTTTATGCCTTGCGTATAGTGATCGATAGGTACATGGCCCAGAACAGGGAAGTATTCCATCTCTAATTACTAACCAATGAATGCACCCTGAACGCGATCTGTAAGCAAAGGCATTGCAGTAGTACAGGCGGGAACGGATAAAGACCGTCCGCGCTAAGCCCAGATCTGTAAGACAGGCAAGGACATCTGGTAAGCGAACTGGAACTCTGCAAGCCATATATTTGTATGCACAAATTGATTGGACTATTCGGTAGGGCCAGACCTCTCTTATCAAGCATCAATCCATGTCCTGCTCAGCTGTGTGGGGACGGCTACTAGACATGTCCTTGGAAGCAAGGTACGCCACCAATATCCTCGGCAAGCAACATGAGTCCGCAGCTGGCATTTGGGGGCCAGTATCACCACCCGATTGACCGCAAGTCTTTTAAGAGCTCTGTCCATTACGCGAAAAATATGGTTTTGTCTTGCCTAGTAAAGAGAGAGGCCCTTGTAACGATTAATAGTTTCAGGCTATCCAGAAGACTTCATCAAAGACAGCTTCCGGAACCTCAAGCATCCCTTTAGGATCGTGCTGGAATGAGCTTTCCATCTCATCATAGAGGCTGCCATTCAAATTCAGGTACTCGGAAAGATTGCTCCCGACTTAGAAGCTGTCCTCGCCATCGCCAACGAGAAGACCGTCCAGAGCGTAGGCTGCCCAGGAGGTCTCGTCAAAGGCAGTTTTCGGGGCGTCGAACATACCTTCGCGGTTATGTTTCACACGGTTTTATATTTCCCACAAAAGCCGTTTGTATTACATCGCCATCTTCAGAGCTCTTATTGATTGTGCAGAAATGTACGTCTATCAATAATCAAAGTGACAAGGGCTCTTTCAGCCAGCAACACGTTATCACGCACGAAAATCCCAAAAAAACGGAAATTGAAGACTAAAATAACAAAACCCATTCACGTTTACCTGCTCTCACTTTCCCAAGAAGAAACAAGAAGAAAATGTTTAATCATCGTTATCATCATCATCGTTATTCATTTTTCTTATCAAAAAAAGATTCTAAGCCTGAGCAGGTTCCCTCTCCTCAGCAGGAGGCCCACCCACATTACCCCTCTGCCCCGTCGGCACATCGCCCAGATTCCTCTGAGCAGCGTGCTTCGGATCATCCTTCAGCGTCGCAATATCCCCACCAGTCTGCTGATCCTTGACACCGGATGCCAGTCCAGTAAGGCCCTGTCCAACACTCGATCCATCACGCAGCTCCTTGGACGTCTGACCCTGGCCTGGGTGGCCGAGGCCAGTGTGCACGTCGGCGGATGTGGCGCCTTGAAGCGTGTCGGAAGCTTGCTGGTACATCTTTTGGTTGTTGAGGTCTGGGTTTGGAGTGTAGGTTTTGTCGGCTGGGGCTGAGCCCGCAGGGAGGGTTTGAGCGTGGAATTCGGGAACGGCGTCGTTGCCCACGAGTTTGCCGATTTGGTGCTTGGGGTTTTGGTTAGCTGGTGTTGATGAACAGGTGTTATCTATGGGTTAGATAGAGCCAGCACCAGATGCAATGTGATTAATCAAGACGCTCCAACAGGCTCTCTGGAAAATAAGACAGCTACTTACACCACCTTTCATGAGAGGCTCACTAGGAGCAACGTGGCCTTGAAACTGGCGTGAGTCGCTGACTGCGTCGGGGTTCCTGTTCTGGCTCATGTTGGGATATGTGTATTTGGATTTGGGAAATTGAAAAGTGTCGACGATTCAAATTTGATGATGAAAGTGCAGAGGTTTGTATAATTCGAATGTATACCTTTCGTACAGGAGGCTATTTATAAGGCGAAGTTCGTATATGTATATAGAGGGCGTCACCACTTTGACATCAAGTCGACGTCATGCATAGCCCACCACTAAGACGAGCGCTGAGGGCGTAAACAAATCTACTGGATGAGCGGGTACCTGACGTCGATTCTGCGAGCTGGTGTGGCATGATTTAGTTTTCTTTTGTGTATGAATCGGCGATGGTGGACAGTTGGAGAAGTTGTCGTGAACGACACTAGTAATATGAGGATGCTCGGAATCAAGCTCCGGGTACGTTCCGACGCACACATATCCCATTCGTGATATTTGGAAAAACCAACATATATTAGTTTCCTGAGAACTAAAAAGAAAATATTCAGTCGGTATAGTTCAGCATAGTAGATAGTTTCACACAATATTCGGACCGCGAACACCACCCGTACAGGACACAGAATATGAACTAGCATACAGTGATATTTATGTATATTGATTCTTAGAAATTATATTACACTACACTTATTCAGTGTCAACCGAGTTTCATAAATATTCTCATCTGTCCTCAACACCCACTTCTAATAGACGAATTCTTATGAGCGCAAACCCCGAAATATCGCATTTAGTAGCCAGGAAGCTGACCGCGAACAGCGCCAGCAGTAAACTTGGAGGTATGCGAGTCGGTAAAGAAACCCTTGGGGTTCTTTACAATCTGGGAGACATGGAAGCCATCGGCTTGGTCTTTACCAGTCGCTGGGTTGGTTACGTTGACGAAGAAGGGGCCCTTCAAGCATCCCACAGAATTGCGACGGTAGTCGGGACCAGTGGGGTTCGGGAAGGCCTAGAAACTATCAGTAGATACCCTTTGTTTCCCCGGACATGGGTAGATTGAGATATCAAAAGGGCAATGCTTACCAGGCGGGGCGGGCCGGGCTTGCCCTTGACGCCCTCATGGATGTGTGTCGCGGTTATCGCTGGGCTCTGATATTCGCCAGTCACGCCGCTAAGGGTGATATTATAGCAGATTACGTTCTCTGCGATATTGATGCCGTACTTGAATAGACCGCGTGCACCGTGCTCACCGGGTGTAGGAACCCCGCTGTTGGCAATGACTTGATCCGGAGTGGCCTTTACAACATACTCCGCGTCAAAGTAGAAGGTCTTCTCCTTCTTCCACCATTTGTCGTCGTGTGAGTTCCACACCTTGTCAAAGTCCTTCTTGCAGGTCTCTTTGTAATCAGATGCCTGAGTTGGGGCGGCCAAGGCCAGAGGGGCAGCGAGCAGAGCAACAAGGGCTGGGGTAATGAAGTGCATTATGATTGTGTTGTGCGTAACTGAGATTTCAGCTGTGCGTGGTTTGTGGGTGTAGTGAGTAGAGTGAGTTCATGGAACGATGCTATCCTGAATTCATCCTTGCACCAGTCTTTATACAAAAGCAGCTCTCCGCTTTCCCACTAAACTTACCACGATGCTTCCCATTCAGAACCCAATGACATCAGTGAGTAGATGAGGATTGGTCATTGATTCGTGTTTAGGTTCTGAAGATAGATGCCGGTGTCTTGGTGAGGCTTTTGGGACTGAGCAGCCAAGTCCCCAACATGGGCATGAAAGCCTTTTTCGTAATGCCAAAAGACTTGGAAAAAGACTTGGAAATCGAGATAAATGCCCGAGCTCTTGGTTAGTAGTCTTGGAGCCATCCTTAGAACGTAAGACGATCACTGACAGTCCCACGCAAAGCTACTGAGGTAAGCAGCTGGCCAGGGGATTCATCAGTTCGTAGCACGATAGACCAATGAACGGTGGATTATAATGGTACCGTGAAGACGCCGTTCAATGTCTTGGTAATGGTACTTTCCATCTCTTGAATAGTGAGCTTACATCCCTTTCTGTGGCATGATCGCTCCCAAGACATCGCCTAGCCATCTTGGTTCGGATAGATCAAGATCCGTAGTCGTCTCAATCCTCAAATGATCTTAGCCTTTCCGCGTCTTCCCTCTTGGATTTTGGTGCATATGTCTAGGTGGCTGTTTATGACAAAAAGGGATAGTGAGGCTAAGACGCTACTGCATATTCTGCAATCTGTGATTACTACTACTGTCGATCTGTGAGAACGGTTGAAGAACCGATTGAGACAGATGATCAGCATGTTCTCATGAAGTTATTTTGCACGATGGAACACAACGAGGCTTGGAGATTGGTTTGAAGAAGATGTTTGGGGGTGCCTGAGAGAGTGATCACACATTCGATGGGGAGAATGAATGACATCACCGATTACCACTGCCAAGACGTCGGCCTTTCCTCTGCTTTCCCCCTCATCAACCCGCACGCTAGTCTCCAAACGAGTCTGGGCTCGAATTGCAGTACCAAAAAGGAATACAAAACTTACCTCAAAGAGGTGGAATGATCTATTTGGAAAAGCTGCAGTCCGTGCCCGGTGCAATGGTTTCTGGCAGACTTGGCATGATGCCCTGCCGAGACACTTGTTAAGGGGACATAGAGTTCTCAATGGTTGAGTGAAGAGTAATCACCCATTTCCTGCTTGTAAATATGAGCAAGGCTTCACAGAGGGTCATTTACATAATAGCTGAACACTCTGTATCTACTAGTGCATGTGCTAACCCATCGCTACATGAAGGCCTATACCGTCTGATGCTGTTATTAAGTGTTTCTTCCAGGAATTTTGTTATTGCAAGCTCCTCTTCCCTAGTCACAAAGTGAATTCACCGAAGTTTTTTGGTGGTATTAGTACACAGTTGAAAGGCAGATACTGCTCAGAAGCATCGCTACACCCCAGAATCATCATCGACCATCCTGTCCGAATGGCGTATAGTGCCTGTGAAGCGCCCCGTACCACCAGGAAAAAGACCATCAAACTCAACAGCGCGCGCTTCCTCGTCATCCTCCCAACCAGTTTGCAAGTTCCAGCCATCCTCGAGGACAGTTAATTCTGATGAATCGACTTCTTGTATGATGTCGGCAAGATAGGTCCACTTGGTGCTCATCATTGCAGGAGAAAGGGCGGCCATGCGCCGGGTGAACCATGGGTGACGCGAAGCGGCGACAGCACCCTGACCGAGGTCGATAGCTGTCTGGTCAAATGGAGCGTGAGTGAGTTTGGCATAACCGCACGATATGAACTCAACCTCTCGAAGAGAAGTTTGGCGGTTGCGGTCAGCCTTGGAATAGTTGGATTCAAAATCAGAAAGATTAGTTCCAGGCGAGATCTGGTCGATGATATCCATCCATGATCCTTCGCGCGGCCTTGCTTTGAGTGGAGACTGATAATCTGTGGCGGCGAGATTGGTCGCTGGTATCGGAGCATGCATATGTTGTTGTCCTAAGGGATGGTGCTGACCAGTCGTAATCTGATGATGTAGTTGGTTTACTTGGGCAGCGATATGAGTGATGTTTGTGAGAATCGCATTAGGATGGATTGGCTGATGCTGTTGGGGTTGCAGTGGTGTTTGTAGTGGAGCTGGCACTAGGGCTTGATTCGGTCCCTGTCCTTGGTGTTGCAGAACTAGGTTCTGCATCTGCATCTGCTGGAGTTGCTGTTGCAACTGAACTTGCAGAGCGACAATGTGGTTTTGCTGTAGCGCAGCTGCATTTGCATGGAGCTGCTGAAGTTGTAACTGCTGAGCATGGACGTAAACTTGCAGAATCTGTTGATGGGCAGGTAGGAAGTGGGGGATTGCGGGCATTGCCGCTTGAGCAGGGGCATTCTGGACAACGACTGCTTGATGGGGTACAAAATTTCCATTGGCGTTAGGAGCATTGGGACGTAGCATCGCTGTAAGCGAAACGGAATCAAGTACCAATTCCTTCAAGCGATATGCATCATGGACTTTGACAAACTGCAGTAGGCTGGAAGGAGTGATCCAGCAGTTCTTTAGCTTCAACTTCTCGATGTGGGGCAACTCAAGGAGTAATGCCCGCAAAAGAGCTGCATCGGCCTCAACAAGCGCTGCGGGATTGACAGATGCAGGACGATCCGAAGGAACCCGCAAGTCCATGATAGGAGCAGGACATAGAAGTTTGTTCCTTGCATAGAGCCCCTCAGCATGCTCACCGCCAGCCGTCCAGCCGACGGTCAGTTTTCGAATGTTTGAGCGGCGAGCGATATAATCGCGAAGTATGGCAAATAGCATATTGGCCCCTAGAACAGGATTGACTGCTGAAGTAGTAACGAAGCCGGCTTCATCCTTGTGAACTGTTCGCCATCCCGGTATTACCATAAGAGTGACGTCGCAAAGACTGGGTAGTGCATCCCAGAAATCCGAACGGTTCAGCATTGGCAAGTAGCGATCAGAAAGTCCTGCGATATTCAGAGTGTGTACTTGTTGAAATGTAGAAGGGTTATCGATGATAGAGAGCATGTATGAAGATATGAAAGCTCGCTGGGCCCATTCCGTTTCCAACAACCACTCTTGCTGAGCCGTGGTGAGGTTGGCAGGTATGATCGGATTCACGACTTGTCCAGCATCAGGTGGCGAGGCAGATGATGCGAACAAAATACCAGTACCTAATGAAGAGGGCGTGGATACGAAACGTTCCAAGACGTATGGGTCATCAAAGGAAGTAGGCATAGGGATGTCAAGGATATCGTGCGGAGTTGCCTCATGTATCAGCTGAGGATCTAAGTAAGGCATTTCCGGTTGTACGCCGGCCAACAGGCCGGCATCTTTTAGTTCAGACAGAGGACGTTGGCCTTCCATTCTGTAGAGAGTTGCGTGTCTGATATCACTGCCGACTTCCTGATAGCATGAATCAATGTGTCTCCAAAGCTCCTGTTGAGCTTGGGCCCTACGGTCCGGGACAGCTTTGTTCGTTCCAAAAACATTGGAAGGTCTGTGGAAAATGCGCGCCCGTATAGACTTGTCAGGCCCGTTGAGCCAACCAAGGCCACTGTCGATTGAGAGTGCAAGCTCTTTCACCTCGGTGAGCTCAGAGAATGCGGTTTTCATCCGTGGTGTTTCGTCAGCGGCTGTTTCGAGGCCAGCGACTGCATCAAATCGACGGTATTCCTCATACGGCCACTCATATCTACCCCAGAAGCTTGTTTTGTTCTCAGTTAGCGATTTGGTAGGCGGCGCTGAAAGTGAGTCTTCGTTGACTTCGAAACTCATTCCGTATCTTCGAATGTGTTTACCGAATCCACGAAATACGTCAAGGCCGTGGCCGTCGTACACTTCATCGCCGTTGGCGTTCTTCCAAGAATACCTGGTTGTTTCAAATTTTGCCCGCTTCTTCCCTTTGAAATCGGGTCTTACTTCTTTCCCTAGCATACCGTAGATTTCAGTGTTGAAAGGGACAACAACTGTTTTGAATATAACTTGAGAGACGTAGTGATTCAGCTCGCGACTGACGAGCCGTAGTGCTTTGATGTCATCACGATTGAGAAATGAAGCGATCAACTCTACCAGTTCAACAGGCAGCTTCCACTGTGAGCGGCTAATCGGGGCGTCTGCAAGAGGGACGCCTGCTTCTTGTTTATTTCTGGAGACTGTTCCTTCAACTCCACTGTTGTTGGAAGTCTGTGGCTTTGGACCGGATGCATACTGTACTCTATGGTCTAAGAGATAGTACCTAGCAGGCAGTTTTGTTGGGCTGCGGCATTGAGGCCAGATGTCATTTGCTTGTGAGTCTGGGCTTTCGCTGTGGTACACCATGACAGCAACGGCCCCGTTGTTGCGTAGCGTACTATTCATATCCTTGTCATCAGCATTTTCGATTGTCTGGCGAGGGCGCTTGGAAGTAACGGCCAAGACGCGATGGAGGGGATCGAATGTGCGCTCGAGTGACATGTCGTCTACCACCGACCGTACCTCATCATCATCCTCGTCCTGTTTGGGTTCGCGGGGGCGATCAGGCGACAAGCGAGGCCGACGTTGTTCGGGAGCGTCGCCCTGGGGTCTCAAGGGAAGCGGGTAGGTCCAACCTTGGCTACCCCCACCATCATTGCTGATGTTGTTTTGCTGCTGCCCGAAAGCATTGGAGAAGTCTTGAGGCACGCGCGGTTGCATGGTAAGAGCGAGATTGTGCCTGATAGCACTGGCGAGGGCGTTGTCGGGGTTTTGTTGCCTCGGTAACGTAGTCTTGCTGCTGCTGCTGCTGCTGCCGCGTCGTGGGGAGGCAAGGACTCGATCGCCGTTTCCTCTGTCTCGCCCGCGCGGGGCTGTGAGTGGGGGTCGGTGATGATGTCTTGTATACGGCTCTTCCTCTACTGCCGCTATTGTTGCTGTTGCTGCTGATGTTGTCACTGGTTGGCCAGTGACTGTTGTGGACGCTGCGCAGGCGAGATGGTCACCGGTCTGTCTGGCGCGCGCAGTTGTGATGAGCGTGTTTGCGCGTGAAGCACGGCTAGAGGGGTCAGTGAAAAGCGATGCAGGCTGTTTGCGTAAGCTTGTGCCTGCAAATGAGCGTTTGTCGCGTGAAGCTCAGGGTACCTGGGCTGTGCTGCTCGATGCCGTCGTTTGCGTGCTGGGATTGTGCCGGTGCGCCCTCTGCTGCGACGAGCACAATGTTGGCCAAGGCTCCGCGAAGACTTTGGTGTCGGTCGTTCGACTACCGTCTTGTGCCATGCTGCTAACAAGTCGGCTCTCGGTCGTCGGGTGTCGTGCCGGCTTCATTCTTCAAGGTACAACACGGCGGACATGCAGCGTGACGTCCATTGCGCAGTACCTGCGGTAGCACGCACCATTTGCTCTCGCTACCGACCATTCTGTCCTTTCTCAAGCCTTTACGCACATGCATATATCAACACAAGGCGCTTTTCAGATTCAGCAATGGACGGTGACATGCTGTCTTGAAGCACATGTGGTTACATGATCATCCTTGCACATGTCAGAGACATCACGTGACCCTCCACAAACTGGCATATGCGCAACACATCACTGGGCATGGCCGTTTACTACAACTTGGCCCACCCATGCGACTAATTACCTTTTTTGTCAATTCCTCCCCAGCTGAATTTACACGCACAAAGTCACGACTACGCGTGAGGTGTCACGGACCACGTGCGGAACGAATGCGGAAGTCCGATGGCCCCCACAGAGCAACAACATAAAAGAGCTTGGAGCGCGTCAACTTAAGCTGCAGAAGGAATCTGACCTGCTTGGGTTCTGCATAAACTGTCATGTCCCCCGCCAGCCCATCGTTGTTCTTGTCCTTGCCCCGTGAATTGCGGGATGAGATTCTATCCCATCTCACACTACCACAATACGTCTATACTTCGAGTTCAACCGAAGACACCTACAATTTGTACCGATCGAATCATGCTGTGGGAGAGACCTACATGGACACACGTATCAGGCTGCCTCAACGTCCGCCTGCAAATGTTCTTGCAACCTGTCGCCAGCTAAGACAAGAGTGCCTTGAGCACCATACCCGCTGTCTGGACGCCGCTCAGCCAAGTATATCGCCAGACCCTACAGGTCAACCCATGAGCAACATACTGGCAGAAAGGCTCGGTGACGAGTTCGCCGAAGAGGCGGAACGAGCTTGCGATGATAGTACGCTGCGAATCACCTTGGAGATACAACGGCATCTGCGTGGTCCCCATGGATATTACATTCCAGTACGCGACCACGAACATTTGTCACCTCGTTTTCTTGGACTCTTGCCACTTATGGACAAGACAAAGAAATTGAGGCTCATTCTTTGGCCTGGATATGAGTGGTGGAATGGCGGTCCTCAGCTTCTCGTCGATAAGTATGGAAATCCCCGCATCAATGCAGATGACGTAGCCAAGCCAGATGCCGCCACACTAGCCATCAAAAGTGTGCTTGATTACTTCCCTCATGTTGAAGAACTCAATGTAGATGTGCTCATGCAAGCATCAGAAGGGGCAAGATGGGACCTGCCGGAACAGAAATGGGAGAACATGCAGCCATGGCTCGATGCACCTATTACGCCTGACGTGAGCCCAAAATTGACCAAGATCACTCGTCATCTCACGGCGTTTTGGCAAGTTTCGAGACCAGAGTCGTTCTATGTTCAACATGAGGTGCGGCTTTCAGGAAATGAATGGAAGATTGACAGGAAGGGCGACATGGGCACAGTAAGTGGACTCCTAGGCCTTATCCGAGCAAGCGACATTTGCTGACTTGTTGTTTGTGCAGCCCACATTAAGATCATTCTGTGACCCCAGCCGCCCAGACGACATGGACTATTTAGACTCACTTATGGTGAAGCAAGCTTTCATCCGCACAGACTGAAAAAAAGCTTGTTAAATACTGTACACAGGACTCTTCTTGCATCCGTGCCGGAGAATTATGGCTTTACTTCCATGGCGCTATTGGCATTTAAATTGGCATTCAATTAAGCACCGGCGATTTGTTTCACACGTGGGGCACAACTAGCGCAAACACTATGTACGGAACGGGTAGTGGTACCGTGTTTCGAATGTAAGCATGGCGTTACCGGCTACGGGGTATATGGGGAATGCTGATCATGTTGGGAGAAAAGCATGCGACCACTTTGTGGATTTCTTCCGTCGGCTAGTATTCCAAAGCCAAAGCTAGGCCAATTCCCCACCAATGTCTAGAACAGGACCCCAGCCTATTCGAGATGATCGACGTATTCATGGCCAATCATTGGACATATTGAAGAGGAGAAACTGCTTGTTCTAGAATAGCTCCCTCGACGTATACTTGTGTTTATTTCGAAACGTCGGTTGTAGGTTACTATATAGGGTTTCCCGTGTATGTCAGCTCCACCCTTCATATCGCTGGTCATACGCGTCTCTGCATAATTAAAATACTTAAAGGTCAGGACTTCGTTCCACGTTTATAATTTTGAACCACACCCATTCATCCTTTCTTTTCACAGCACACTCTTATTAACCATGAAGTTTTCCACATTCCTTGCTGTAAGCTCGGCATCCCTTGCCCTTGCAGTACCTGCATCCCCTATCCAGAAGCGCGCAGACTTCTGTGATCAATGGGGCTCTCAAGTTAATGGCGCCTACACCACCTACAACAACCTCTGGGGCAAGGCTGATGCTACTTCCGGATCCCAGTGCACTGGAGTTGATGGCCTCAGCGGCAATACGCTCAAATGGCATACCTCGTGGTCATGGGCTGGCGGGTTCGTTACACCCTTCACATTTCATATAAGCATCACGTGTCTAATCGCACCAACAGTCAAGGAAAGGTCAAATCCTTTGCCAATGTAGTAACAAAGATCAACAAGAAGTCCCTTGCATCAATCAAATCCCTCCCTTCAGTCTGGAAGTGGACCTACACCGGCAACAACATCATCGCAGACGTAGCCTACGACCTCTTCACCTCGAGCACAGCCACCGGCAGCGAGGAATACGAAGTCATGATCTGGCTTGCTGCCCTTGGCGGCGCCGGTCCCATCTCCGCTACTGGCAGCCCTATCGCTACCGTCACTCTTGCAGGCAACAGCTGGAAGCTGTACAATGGCAAGAACGGCCAGATGAGCGTGTTCAGCTTCGTCGCTGAGAAGCAAGTTCAGAACTTCAGTGGAGACCTCATGGACTTTATCAAGTACCTTACTTCCAAGCAAGGCCTTCCCAGCAGTCAGATTCTGATTAGCGCGGGTGCTGGTACTGAGCCTTTCTCTGGCAGCAACGCCAAACTTGTTACCAGCGCGTACAGCTTGGCCGAAAATTAGATGGCTTGATAGATCTGAACGCTAAGCACCGTGCTTCTCTTTCGCATGGATGCGAAACAATTCTTGTACATATCTTTTTATTGTGGTGGAGTGGGGGGCTTTAGTCTTTGTATATACCGATAGGACTATCTTATCTTGAACCACATTCACTCATCCCTTTCTCTATTCATTTGCATGAACACGTTCGAAATATACTCTTGTCATTGCCACTAATCAGTTGGATTGTGTAGTCTTCCAGATTCGTGGGTAAGTTATTTGCTGTGTGATAGGATCTGTAGAGTGGAGTGTAGGGTTCTGCCCGACAATGGAGGCTTGCTTCAAAATGAGTTAATAACAAAGAGCGAGCATATGCTGATGGAAAGCAGTTCTTATATTTTTCATAAAAACTAACTTTCTCTTACGTTGTCTAGGTGTCTTAACACACAATCATATCGTCGGGGATGAGCTTCCACAGCACCTTCTGCATTAGTGCATGTCAGTGCACCATGCCATGTTACTGACAAGCTTTGGTTGCCGAGGACGCTCGCCCGTCCGTCTCCTTGCAGCCAATAATATTGGCCCAACAACGCACATGTCCTGAACCAAGCAATACCGTTCTGCAGACGTACTGCAGCCCGGCATCGCTATCGAATGAACGTTGCGATGATTATGCTCGATGACGATCTGATCCTCTTCGACTATCCTTCATTGCTATGTCCGCCGCGCTGTCATCCATCGTTTCTCCCGTGTTGGGGCCCCAAATGCCGCAGCATGCCAGGTACACGAACTGTGATTGGGATTTTGCATCCCATCAATACTTGTTCCCGCGGACCATGCAGTAGCATTGGACAAACTTGCAGGACTAGCTTCCCCGGTAACCCGGAATCCTGGAGAAAGTCCAACGTCATGGAAAGCTACAAAAAGGCCATGGACGTCCAAAAAGCTTGATCCCCCAAGCCTGAGCGGTACTCTCCCAAAGCACAAGGGACGTTTCTCAATATGAAGCCTCAACTCCTTTCGTTGCTGCCGCTGGCATCCGTTGCTAGCGCCAGCTGGTCCAAGAATCTGAATTACCGCTCACCTTCGGAACACCATCCGGCTCTTGGAATCTCAATCCATAAGGTGGCAAAGAGAAATGATCCAGCATCCGCGTATGAACCTTCCAGCTTGAACTTCACCCATGGTGTTGCCTCGGGAGACCCATACCCAGACAGCGTTATTCTCTGGACACGCGTTGCGCCTCAGAACGACAATTCGCAATCCAATGTTACAGTCACGGGTTACGCACCTCTTTTCGATCACGACAACGAAAAGTACGTGCAGGTTTCCAAGTCGCCAATTTGCGTGGAATACAAGGTCTACGAGGACGAGGAATGCTCGTCGACTGTAGACTCGGGCACAGTGTATACCAGCTCTGATGTTGATTTTACGGTCAAGGTCGAGGCCAAGAACTTGAAGCCATTCAGCACGTATTACTACCAGTTCAATGTATGCAATTCGGACAACAAGAGTCCTCTTGGCCGCACCAAAACCACACCAAATGCCGACGACGACATCACCAATGTTAGGCTTGCTGTGTACAGCTGTTCAAACTATCCCTTTGGCTTCTTCAATGCGTATGGTAACCCCGTGCGAAAGGTATGTTATGCTAATTCTCGGGTCGAACTTATCCTGAACTAATCGTGATACAGGACTCTGTTGATTACGTCGTTCATCTTGGAGACTACATCTATGAGTACAAGAACGGCGAGTATGGCTGGGGTAACAGCATTGGCCGTATTCCCGAACCGGACCGTGACATTTACACTTTGTACGACTACCGCAAGCGACTTGCAACCTACCGTACCGACTTGGATCTTGTTGCCAGCCACCAACAATTCGCATGGATCCCAGTTTGGGACGATCATGAAGTAGCTGATAACACGGTATGCTCAATCTCCTCTCTTTACAAAACTTATCCTAATCATCGATAGTACCGCGACGGCAGTTCCAAACTCAACAACACCGAAGACTCCTTCGTTTACGATGGGGGCGTTTCAGTCGACCAGCGTAAAATGAACGCAGTTCGTGCCTACTTTGAATGGATGCCTATTCGCCAAGTTGACATGGACGATAACCTGCGCATCTGGCGGTCCTTCTCCATTGGCAAACTGGTTGATTTGATCATGCTCGACACACGCCAATACGATCGCTCTATCACCGATCTTTACTGGAATACTGATTACATTCACGCTATCTCTAATGACGCCAGCCGCTCTCTCATGGGTGCCAACCAGGAGAACTGGTTCTACCGCAGTCTCTCGCATTCAGCCAAACGCGGCGCAACATGGCGCGTTGTTGGCTCTCAGATCGTCTTCTCGCGCCTGAACCAGTCCGCAGCATACGGCGAAGAGAACCCACTCAACTACGATGCATGGGACGGGTATCTCGCCAACAAGAACCGCACGCTGAACCACCTTTACAGCAACAACATCAACAACAACATTTTCCTCGCAGGAGACAGCCACGCTTCGTGGGTCAGCGACCTCATCTGGCTCGACGAGAAGAATTACGATCCCAGCACGGGTGCCGGCAGCATCGGAGTCGAGTTCGCTGGCTCAGCAGTAACTTCGCCCTGCCCTTATGGCGCAAACATTTCCCTTGCAACCGCAAACAACTACTCGTCCATTATTCAGTCGGCGAACCAGGAGCTGCAATGGCAAGACTTGTACTACCGCGGTTACTTTGAGCTCCACTTTTCACATGACGAGCTGACAGCCAAGTTCTTTGGTCTGCCAACGGTAGTCACGCGTAATGGCTGGGAGATTCCTCTTGCCAACTTCACCGTCAAGAGCGGAGAGAACAAACTCCAGCGTCCCGTCGCGGGCGGTGTTGTTGAGAGCGGTAGTTTGAAGGGAGGAAAGACGGTGCAGAATAATCTTACGCTCGATACTAACAACGGCACTTGGTTTGTTAGTCATGCCGACTTGTCTGTTTTGTGAGGCAACGAAAAAAAGGAAACATAATTGGAAAATTGGGGTTAGACCTGGGTTTATTAGAATACCAGAGAAGAAGAAAAATCTAGAATTTGTTATCTTGACTAAACTAATTCTAATATCATGATGTTTGCCTAAACAAAGAAGGAATAACTCTATGTTCTATGTCTAGTGACGCGGCATCTATTCGTACCCAGCTGGTTCGAGCTTCTCAGGGAACGCAGGCTGATCCAAGCGACTGGTACATGCAGCCTTCCAGTTCTTGGGCGTGTACTTGTCTACGATGCCCTTGAAAGCTTCTAGGGTGCAGAAGGTCGTGTCGCCCTCGAGATGCTTGCCTGCTGCCTTGCAACCTGGTATCTGCATGATTTTATCGTTGTACCTGATTCGTACGTAGTAGTCGTTCAACTGGTCGCGCTGGGTCTGCGTAAGGTCGTTCAAGGGCTTTCGCGCGATGCCCTGGGGTGCGAGACTAGCGTCTGAAGTGACTTTTGTGCTGCCGAAGAGGGAAGACCACCAGCTTTGGCTTTGGGGCTGTGGGTTCTGTTCGGGCAGGGAAGGCGTCGGGGAGACAGTGCTGGCACCTCGCTTTCTGAACATCTCGACGGCGATGTGGGATGTGAAGGGCGGCCAGTTCTCGCCTTCAAATGCGCCGAGCGAGGTCAACATGCCGGCCAAGGTTGTATCGTGACAGCCAGACATGGCAAAGCGAATGTTTGTTTCGCCGCCTCGGCCTTTGCCTAGCTGGCCATCTACACCGCCTACCTCGACGATCCCCGAGTTTCCGTTACGCTCGACGCTGCCGACCATGCGGGAGGTGATGTCGCCCATTAGACCGCCGATACCGAGCATACGGTACTCTGATGACTCGGTGTAGCCCTTGAACCATTCTTCCACGGCAATCTTGTCGATGATTGAGCGGGCTTTGGGATCGTAGAATGCCTTGGGGAGCTTGGTCTCCGGCCCATGAGCATCAGTCGCATTCAACGTATCCATAATACCCGAGAGTCGTGGGTGAGAGTCAACAGCGACCTTTTGTTCATTAGGCATCCATTTCGAGAGGACTTTGGAGAGGTAACGCATGTCGTCCGTATCGTTCCATTTATCAGCTGCGCGCTGTGCAAATGCGCGGCTGAGTTGGGCGAAACGCCTACAGCTTGCGTCATTGGGGTATAGTGTCTCATCCGCAGGTGTTCTAGTGATTATGGTAGGAGGTGGGAAATCAGAGGTTCTTGCTGAGGGCGGGTAAAAGCCCCAGAAAGCCTGCTGAACGGATTCCAGAGCACGTGGCATAGGCGTTGCGCGTAAGTAGATCATGTCGCCATCTGAAATCAGCGCTGGCATGAACTTGAGCTGATCGATATAGAGATGGCGGAGTCTTTCGCCCAGAGCCAGTGTTGTTTCTCGGCCTTTGTCTGTAAGTTCGCCTGGTTGGCATATCGCATCAAACTCGCCCTTGGGTCCCGAGGCAATGACTAGGTGTTATTAGTGATGGTTGCTTCAAGGAATAGGGCTTTGCTACCCGGCCCATCGTCCATGCCAAAAGTCTCTAGTCGCCTTCGGTATTTGAGTTGGTCCCATTTCGAAAAATCCTTGGTGTTGAGTATTACGCTTGTTAATTGGCGAGCAGCACTGCAATATGGCCAATCTGTGAATGCGTCAGACCAAACTCTTGGAGTTGCTTTTTTTGTTATCCTATACACGCTGGGAGACCTGTCTGTTGTTGTTGTTAATGATCGGCATGTGATGTGGGGAATTAAAGGCTTATCTACGTTTTGAAAGCGAGGTGACACAGGGCTTCTTTCGCCTGGATACTCATGTCAGTATTGGTGTGCGTGGACAATTGTGCCATAATAGAGAATCTGACCATGACGTAATAGCTATCTCTGATTAGCAAAGTCGCGAAGAGAAGTCACAATTATCTGTCTTACAATCTGTACAAGCTGCAACTCGAGCTCTTTTGGATACAGTTTCTCAAGCTCGTCCTTTGAGTAGGGTTGACGCGGGACCAAGGTAGTCATGACTATATGAACCAAAAGAATTGCAATTAAACTAAGAAAACGTCTTCTGCAATCTGCGAAAAAGCAAAGTTAGGTTGAGCCCGGTGGAAGACGTTCTTCACGACGCTTGCAATCACGTGAGGCGTGCGGACGTCATTGTGTCTCATTGGCCGGCGCTATTCCGCTCAATCTCACCATGCATCGCGCGTAACTTTGGCCGTCTTTTTGGAATCCATGAAGCTGCAACGTCAAGCCGTCGCCAATTGACCTGTCAAGACATTGAGTCAATTTTCCGCACGCATGAACACCTGATCCGATCCAGCTTTGTAAGTGAAGAATACATACGCTGAAAAGTTTCGTTGCTCAAATGCCTAACCACAATTTTAGTATCGGCACTCTTCGCCCGCCGTTCGAGGCATACAAGGACAACATGTTGGGCGCATACATATGTCGACAATGTCGGACACGTCTTTTCCGAAACGCCGGTCTCGTTCGTAATCCTCAATGGCAATCTCGAACCATATTTACCTCGCTGCGCCCGCGACCGAATATAAAGCTAGATGAAGGGAAGGCAGAGTCTACGGTTCAGGAAGAGCCACCCCCTGCACAAGAAACAGTACAGGGCAGATCGAGCACGCGAGTGACATTACAAAGGCAGCGACCGCTTGTGCGGAAAACAACAGAAGATGAGCCAGACATACAGTACCCACAACGAAGGAGCCAGCGGGTACGGCTCAGCCGTTACTCGGGTTTATTGGACGACAGTACAGCGGCCGATTCTTTATACGAGGACTACGGGCAAGAAGACACATACCAGGAAACAGGACAAACAGAGGCATCAAGTGACAAACTGACTTATGCTGCTCCAATCCGCGAAGCTCTTGAGGACAGCCATGTCCAAGGAGCCTGGGATTTGTTCGAGAAGACGTACACAGAGAAAGGATGCAAAGCCCTGACTGAGCCAACCTATCCTGGAGAATTGTTGAAACAAGAGTTTGTTTTCAGCCGTCTTCTCGGAGCTGTTACGGGAGCGCTTTGTTCAGGCAGGAAAAGTGTACAGGTCACCCCGACCCAGGTGCTATTCAAATACCAGCAACTTGATATTGTTCGCCCAGAGTACTGGGTCAAGCCAACACTAGCCCGTCTGACACATGAGGTAATTCGGGCTTCGGGAACCTCTCAACAAAACTTACCATTGTTGCTTGACGAGTTAGTTTCTTTATGGCGACTATTCTTCCAATGTATGAGATCAGAGAGCGATGTACTTGAGGCCATCAGCGACGACTGGTCTCTGCCACCTCTCGAGGAAATGCCCGACGTGTATGACGTTAGCGATTTTAACATGCGTTTGCAAAGGTATATTCCCAAATATGTCAATAGACCCGGATTAGGCTTTTGTGCTGTGTACCTGTACAGCATTTCGGACGCTCTGGAGCCAACTATCCAACAAAAGGCAGCGCCCTTTTTACGATTTCTCGAAAGGATACTTGCTAAGTCGCGTGTGGACACCGTATTCATACACACCCAAAAGGCAGAGCAGTTCAAAGAATTGCCAGCCAATCTTCGACAGGAAGTAAGAGCAAGGATTGAGGCAGCACCCCGAAAGGCCATGGTAGCCCTTGGAAAAGAGGGCGAAAGCCCCGACGAGTTGACCAACCTAGAAGCATTCCACATGAAGAGCATAGCCCGTGTCGTTCAAACCATGACATCGGTCACAAAGTTAGACCGCATCTGGGCAGAGGCCCAAGAAACATATCTTAGCGAAAACAAGACATCGATTCCCCGCTCAGTATACAATAGCTTCCTTTCCGGTTACTTGACTCTTCTCAATTCACAACGTGCAGTAGAAGTGTGGAATCACATGATGGCACATGGCGTCAAGCCAGACATACAGTCGTGGGTTGCTCTTCTGAATGGGTGCGCCAAAGCAAAGGACCTCAATGGATTCAATGCCATGTGGCAAAGGATGATGAATAGCGGTATTGAGCCAGAAAACTATGCGTGGACGACGCGGGTCAACGGTCTAATGTCGCTGCGACAAATTGACAAAGCGCTGGCTGCGCTGGATGAGATGGGCAAACGCTGGCTCGCAGCAGAATATGCCACGAACAACACAAAGGCGCAGGGCAAGGGTCAAAAAGGCGCCAACAGGAGTCCCGGCAAGGCTGTGAACAAGTGCACAAAACCTTCTATTGAAGTTGTCAATGGAGCGATATCGGCCATTGTACAGATACGTCCCGAATCAATGCGCCACGAGAAACGTGTAGCATACGTACAGAAGATTCTCGGATGGGCGGCAAATTTCCAGATCAAGCCTAACGCCATCACATACAACAGTTTGATACGACTGTACCTGCTGGCCAAGGACACACGGACCGCTTTAAGACTTTTATCGCAGATGGAGAAGGAAGGGATTGAGGGTGACATTGCAACGCACACAATGCTTATGAGCGCCGCTTTTGAGAACCAAGTGTTTGACGGACAGACTGAGCAGGAGCAAATGGAAAAAGTGCTGGCAATTTTGAACGACTTGGAAAGCAGCGGGTTGACGCTGAACGACCACGTCTACTCGACAGCCATTGACCGGCTGCTCAAAGGATACGCCAACTACACAGCTGTGCGCGCCGTCATGGAGCATATGACGCAGCGGAATTTGACACCCTCAGCCCACGTGTACACGTCGCTGGTAACGCACTATTTCCAATCTGAGCCGGCGAATCTGGCCGAGGTGGACAGCATCGTCAACCTGCTCTTCACCGCACCACGCATGCCAAGCGACCGCATCCTCTACGACCGTCTGGTAGAAGGATATGCGCTGCATGGCGATGTAGGCAAGATGATGAGCGTGCTGACACGCATGTCGAAGCAAGGGCTGCTCCCCGGGTGGGGTGCGCTGATCGCAGTGGTGCGAGCCTTGGTGCAAGAGGGCGACTACGAGCGTGCGCGTGACGTGGTTCGCGACGTTGCCAAAGGCGAGGGCGTGGCGAGAAGCGGTATCCTGGGAGACAGGAATATGGAAAGTACCTTTCGCAACATGGTGAGTAGACTGGGGCTTGGCGAGGAGCGGATGGGCGATTTCTTGGCAAGTGCGAAACAGAGGAATAGTGGCAGTGTTGTGCATCACTTTGTGGAGAGGGATGGTCTCGACTCTTCTTCGTCTGTACAGCAGGCGCAGCAGCAACAGCAACAGCATGTGTCAGACGAGGGAGCGGTCGAGGAAGATGTGCATGGTTTCTTGTCCAAGGAACGAGAGCCTGAGCCACGGGATCAGCGTCCTTGAAGAGCTATGTGAGATGGATAGCCTTTTAGTTTGCTCGATTACAAACAACAAGGCATCTCAGTCGTTGCACACATCAGCATATGGGGGGGTTATAGTGTTGAAACTTTGTGCAGTGACATCCTGATAAGCCTTTTGTTGCAAACGTTCTTTTCATCTCTGCCTATCGCCAGTAAGGAGCGCCTGCCCAGCATTGATAACAGGAGAGAAAAAAAACGTTCCAACCCGTCTCCCTCAGATCGATGTAGTATACAGAAACCTTAAGATCGGAGGGGGTCTAGCAAGAATGGGTAAAAGATGCTCGCATGACATAATAGCAGGGGTTCCAATGTGGGGGGTTACCAGGCGATAGGGAGGAGGCATTAAATTATGATCCCGAAACATGACCAATCAACTATGATGAAGGAAAATATTTTTTCCCTTGTTTTTTTTGCTTTTTCCCTAATCTTCCCTTTTTTTCCCGCTCTTGATTGCTAGATCCTTGGAAGAATGCAGTGGGAGCCCAATTTGCTCGGGTTTCCAGTTTTGCAAGTTTTATTCGAGCGGAGCCGGATGTAGGGAATCACCCCCCTGGAAAAAAAACTACAAGTTTATAGTATAGTTGTGTACTAACCGGAATATTAGTCTGTGTGTGTGTGTGTGTGTGTAGTGGGAAAAGAATCAGGAATGAGCTAAAGTAGTTAGTAAGTAATTTGACACGGGCAAATCTAATTTGAATGGTTTGGCCACTAATTTTAATTCAAAAGTCCGGTTGGAGAGGGAAGAAGGGAGCAGTAGGGTTAATAACACGAGCAGTTGGTACGAGACACGTGTCGCACCTACATTGTCTCGGGAGATGGGGTTTCGAGCAGCATGAGTGGTAGTGGTGTCAAAGGACGGGTGTTGATACAGGCTTGGGGGAAGGTGGTGAAACAGACTTGTCTTGTTACCTGTACGGGCTGAGGGCCTATCCCACTCGGGAGACGGAGTTACAGGGGTTTCAGGGTGAAGAAGGATATGCTTCTGTTAGGGGTTGGATACGGGCCGAATGAGTAAAGGGCGTAAGCATAGCCGTTTGATAAGATACAGATGCTTTTTGATAGCGGCGTGGGTGGACGGGTGTTAATGGGTGGTATTGATTGGTATAGTATGCGCATGGAACGGGGCGAGCGAAGTTTGGTTGTGAGGTACAACTGGATAGCTTAACGATATGCCATGTTCCACTTATCATAGTGCAGACGGAGAGACTCCGGGGAACAAGGAACAGGAATGTAGGGAAGTAAAAATAGGAGGTTGGATGGGGAAGGACATGTGCATGTGGGCTAGATGGAGGTGATTAGCAAATGAGAAAAAGAGCAGAGCATCAAGACGGTAAAGTGATGGATATGCAGCGACAGGCTCTCCTGGAAGGTGCAGATGGGAGGGTTACCACACAGGGAAACTCAAAAGGGCAATGACGATATGGACGATCACGGTCAGGGGGGTGGTTCGGCTTTTTGCAGGGCAGGTGCCGTCCAGAAACGTTTCCAAGGAGGTTGCGGAAGGAGGAATAAGGCCGGCCAAGAACCATGTCAGCCTTGTCTGTCTGACTGACAGAGACGGGCAGGCAAGTATAGCCTTAGGCCGGCCAAGAGAGATGTCAGCCGGCGTATAGGATTAGCGTGTGAGGGTGGCAGCATTCTTCCTGGTGCTGTTCGTCTTTGGCGAAGTCGGAGGCTTGTTGTTCCTAATTTTATCCACACGTACATAGTGACGGATAGACTTGGACATAGGCCGCGTCATCGGCACTCATGTGAGTGTCCAATACTTTGCAGGATCAAGTGGCGCAGTGCATGCTGCCATTAAGCCAGTGCAAATGCAAAACATGAAGAGCAAGTAGGCAGTTTTGATCGAGACGAGCGTTGTTGAGATGAGGCGGATCAACGGGACATGGCATGGGCAAAAACTATGGCCCAGGGTGGCCGGATGCCCAAGCAGAACGATGTGAGGTTCTATTGGACGGCAAGCTCCGCGCTGTAGTCAGCAAAAGTGACAGCTTCGACGTGCTTGACCGGCGACGGGTGTTTCGCAACTCTCTCGAGCTACCAATGAAACGACGAGCGGCCTCCCCAGAGGATGCGCAAGTTTCTGCGACTGCTATCACACATACTACTGTACTACACAGAGTTCTGGACTGTCGCTAGAGCCGGGGAGGGCATGTGAAAGATTGCAATGTGTGGTTGTGCACCACACCCCGTTCCGGCGGGCGGCTTAGGCAGCCGCTATCCAATCATGCACGGTGGCGTGTGAGCAGCCCAGATGAGGGAACAAGCCAGAGCCAGCGCTATTGGCAAGCTGATAAAGGACTATAGGACGGGTGAGCGGGCTGTAAGTAAGTAAGTAAGTATTTGTATATGTACTAGTATGTATGTGTAAATGCCGTGTCGTGTAGCACATGGGACTAGTACGCATATGCAGTATGAGCGTAAACGCGCGTTGGCGTGTCAGACGGTGGTGATGGATGTGGCTGAAGCGCTGCGACGACATGCCGACATGCCGTTCCGGTGTGGCTGACTGGCTGACTGCCAAAGCAGGAATTACCGCAACGCTGACCCGAACCGGCTAGCGCGAGCCGGATGACAGCACAGCCTCAGTGGTGGTGCACCATGGCGGCCCTTGATTGGCTGCACCAAGCGTCGGTGTCGGCGCCGCGAGGCCGAGGGTGCATACAGAGTTGCCTAGTGCAATATCGTGTGCTGGACGTCGAGGGCAGATGGGACGACTGTGTCTGTACGAATTGTTATGTGCAAGTGCAAGTGCAAGCAGCAGTGCAACAAGGGCCGGCGTGTCCACTTTGCCCATGTCGTCCCGATCGTCCATGTGTTCGGCCGTGGCGTCAGGGAGCGTTGGGGGGTATTCCCGGCGCTCAGGAGACGCCAGACCAGGGCGGCAGCCAACGCTTGGTAGGCGTTGATCGCCCCCGGCCTTGACCAACCGGCGCCGGTCTCGTCCTGCTATTTGCAGCCAGAGACTCCGCCTCGATTATGAAACGCCTCCCCGACGGGCGGTGGAGCCCCCCCAGCACAAGCAAGACCTGCGCCCGTCCCTCGCCCACCCATTCCCTTCCTCTTCTGCCTGCCTGCCAACTCGACACATCCTCTCTTCTCCTGCTTTTCCTTCCGACACTTCCGCACATCCGCCCGTCATCCCTCGCCCAACTCTTATTGTCGACACTTTCCATCTGCGCCCACACTTCAGAACCCCCTTTGCACACAGACGCTCCCCCAAGGTGCGGACCCTCCGGCTTCCATCCTCCGTGCTTGAACAAGGCCCAGAAACGAGCTGACGACGACTCCTAGCCAGCCTAACCGCTCCTGTCGCCCTTCCACTGCCCGTACCGCAACGTCCCCAAGACACGACCTTGTCTGCCCAAGGGCCGCCCAAACACCCAGCCGCGACTCCCCCAGTAGTCAAACAAACAACATGGCTACCGCAGTTCAACCGGCCATGTCGATGGCGCCCTTCAACAGCCTATCTAATCAGTGCGTCGATCCCAACGAGTTCTTCGACTTTGGTCAGATGCCCTCGCCCACTCAGCCCACCACCCTCAAGCGTGAACAGAGTGCTACGTCGGCTATGGGCAGCCCGACCAGCACCAACATCGACGACGACCTTCAGACTCCAGCAAAGCCTAGCCACGAGTACGAACGCTTCAAGCAACAGACCGGCCTTCCCTCTGGATCCATTGCCGGCCTCGCTCCCAACTACAACACCGGCTTCCCTCTCTTCTCCTCGTCCGGCCTCGACGAAATGGCCATGATGGGAGGCGACTCCATCATGGATGGTAGCGGCTGGAACAGCGGACTCCCCATGGAAGTCCCCATGAACATGGGCATCGACTACCGCAGCAACAGCTTTGTCTTCAACGAAGGCTCCCAAGACGATTTTGTCGACCCCAGTACCATCACTCAAGAGGAGGTACCCAACGTCCGCGTCTGGCCTGGTATGCACCAGCAACAAGCTGCTATGGCCAAGGCGCAGGCGCAGGCCCAGCAGCAGCGAGCACAGCAGTTGGCCCACCAGAAGCAACAGCAAGCCCTGCAACAACAACAACAACAACAACAACAACAAATACCTCAGTCCCGTCTGCCTTCCACTAGCCAGGCCAGCCGCAAGACTTCAAGCCCACTTAGTGACGCTCACACTGAAGAGATGATCACCCGCGTTGTCGCACAGATCCGAGCCGACAGCCAAAACGCCTCAACATCCATGCAAGACAACAACCAGGGTCTACTCCCCCACATCATCCGCGCCAAGAAGGACGAGGAGGATATGGATGAGGATGAGAGGCTACTTGCCTCCGAGGAGGGCAAGAAGCTCAGCTCCAAGGAGCGCCGTCAATTGCGCAACAAGGTCTCTGCGCGCGCCTTCCGCTCAAGGAGAAAGGGTAAGCATAAACACCGATGTATCTATATACAATTTCCAGCTAACGTCGTTTAGAATACATTGGCCAACTCGAAGGTGAAGTCGCCATGAAGGTCAACGAGGCCAACGAGCTCCGCGCCCAGAACCGTCTTCTTATGGAGGAGAATGCCCGCTCGCGCGCATTCATCGAGCGCCTTCTCCGCCACCAGGCCTTCACTCCCTTCCTCGAGGAGCTCTCCCGCGACGAGTCTCTTCAGATCAAGGCTCCCATGACTGCCATGCCTACCTCTTCCGCTGCCGTTACCGCTGCCCCCGCTCCTGCCTTCCAGCCCCAGCCGCAGTTCAACGCCATGTCGCAGCCCGAGAACCCTCAAGTTACCATGACAATGGCTCCTGAACCCCAGATTGACTTTGCCATGCTCAACTTGAACAACTCCAATAACGCCAACCCCAACTGGAACGTCAACAATGGCTTCAACTTCCAGCAGCCTGTTGCTTTCGCCGTTACCGAGCTTCCCGAGGGTCCCTCCAACCCTCTCGACACCCAGGCTATGTCCGGCAAGGGATACAGCGCCATCTTCAACGCTGAGGATGATGCATCTGTTGAGGAGGTCAAGGCTGACTACCCCATCATCAAGAACTCTGTTCAATCTACACAGCCTACTGCTGCACCCGTTGATGAGGCTGAGGAACAAGACGACGAGTATGACCTCTACTACTCCTCGCCTGCTCGCACCACTACTGCCTCCGCCCCACTTGAGGAGCAAGAGGTCTTCTTTACTAATCCCGAGAAGGTTTTTGCACACTACTCACTCGTCCTTTCCGATGAGGCCAACGAGGCACGTCTTGCAGAGCGTCTAGAAAGGAAGATCGCCGCCATGAACACAGTCATGCAAAGAATATCCGACATCACATCGATGTTTGAATCATAATTCTTTTGCGAATGCACATGGCCTTTTGTTTAATTTGACTTTCTTGACGCTTCAACCAAGCCCGACAATTTCCTGTTGCTTCATCTCTTAGTCTGTTTTACACATGATTGGACGATTCCTTTTGTTACTCTTTATACCCGAGTCGGCTTTGTCTAGGTGCGACTTGGGTCGAACCACAGCGAGCGTGCATAGCTATTTTCCTTTGTTCATTTTGTCGACTGCGCAACGGTATCAAGCGTACACCAATCCTTTCCAACGGCGTTTTCACGGTATTGGGTTTTTCTTGTAGATATCTTACTGGCCCCGAGGTCATGTGGGGGGGGGACGGGCAAGATGGAACAGGGACACATAGACTGTCCATGATTGGAGGGTGTGTATGTAGACATTTGCGAGGAATTCAAATATAGTACCAAACGTTTAAGAGCCGCTTGGTATTGTTGAATCATCTGTGTGTGTGTGTGATGATTGTTACGCCATGCATTGAGGCTTGAGTTGGTCGAAGGCAATATGAGAGGGGTAAGTATAAGTCCATCTAGTGGCCTTGAAAAGTCTTGACATACAAGGGACAAGGTAGTCAACTTGATACACACAAGAGTAATCATCAGAATACGAACAAGATGCTTGTACATACATGAAGCACAGGCCCGTGGAGAAATCTCTTCGTCAACATCTCACATCTCACACCTCATCACGTCATTTTCATCTTTTTTTCTCAGTCTTTGAAACAAAAACATGGATATTGTATTATCTCATCGAATGTCCCCAAAAGAGTAAAATAAACTTTCCGAGATGCTGGGTTGGTATCATTTGTCCAACCCCGAGAACCCCCCTTTCTTACATTGCTCGGGAAAAAAGATTACCAAGCAAGCTATAAACGCCCTTTCCCCTCCTTTAATCCCGCTTCCCACTTAATATCGACAAAGAAAAGTATAAGAGATACAATCAAATAGCGCCCTTTTCCTAGGGAACATGTGCGGTTTCTGAAACAAAACGCAAGCTGCGTTTCCTTGATTCACTTGCTCTCGCTTAGTGCCGCCATGCCGCCAGATAGGGCGTTTCGGGCTCGGGCGTGTTGTTGTTGCCAGCGTGTGCGGGCGCCGTCGACGGCTGCGCCTTCTTTTGAAGCAACAACTGTAGTGTAGGTTAGGCCGAAGGCTGCGGCGGGGGTGTGTTAGTTATTGTGGAGAATTGGGGGAGACGAAAGGATGGGGGTGGGGGGGGGAGGACGAACCCATGAAGGCGGCGAAGGCGGGGAGATAGGACTTTGCTGCTGCAGGCATGTTTGTGGTTTGATTTGGTGGTGGTGTTGGGTTAAGTTTTGTAGAGTGATTTGGTGTGGAGGTTGTCGGTCTAGTCTATGTGACTTTTCTCTTTGTATTCTAGGCCTGTATCTGAAGCTTTGATGGATAAAAGATGTGTAATGTTTATCACTGTTGATGATGTAGTAGATGATTGAATGTAACCTTGGTGGATGAAGTAACACAAAGCGAGAACACCAACATTCTTTATATCCATGAGAACAATTTGTCTACTACCTGTTGTCTCTGCCTAGATGGTTCTGCACCGCCGATTGCATCCATTTGCTAACCCCATCTTTTGCGTTGCGTGATACCCAAGGCCCGGAATCAGGAAGCAGGAAAAGCATTTAGGCGCATCCCAGCGCGAGGGATAGGAATCACAGGGGTGCGGATCGTGAGACCTCGAAATAAAACACATAATGCTATTGGCTGCTTAGGAATATGTCGGCTGATATGTGACTATCACTATAGGGCTGTAGAGGTACTGGTGGCGAGACATGGGACTGAGGAGGGTGCGTGTCGGGCTGCGCCGGTATGCGGGTGGGGTGACTTTGTTCGTCAAGGTCGTACGATCGTATGATAACCACGGATTTGGGAAATGCGGGTTAGTGCCAACACGTCGGATTTGCGCACATGAAAGTTGCTCAATATCCTTGACCTCTATTCCTGAGATTCGATACAATTCTTTTTCCTTTCGGATGAATCGAGCGAGTGTTTGGTGGTTGGCCTACGTCGACCCGCGAATAATGTTGCCTTGGCGCTTCCAGCATGCAGCGACTTCCTTATTCAAGGATCTTCTAACAACAACAACACCAACAACACACGCCATTAGACCATCTTTTCATTGATGATATTCGCCTTTGAAATCTCGATGAAATATACAGTGCAGACTCGTAAAGTACTCTCTGGCTCTTAATACTTAGGCAAGTAAAGATTGTACCGGGAGCGCCATTCCTCATCTAGGGCGGATTCGACTTCACCGACAAGATGCTCCTCACTCCCGAACCTGCGTTACCTTCACTATCCTAAGGTGCAGAATGTAATCGTGCACATTGTGAATGACCATAGAGTAAGTGTGATGTTCTGCTGATCTCACAGATATCCTTCATGGACGAACTATAACAGTGGTTTTGCATTACAGTGGTGCCGAGGGGAGAGTTTGGATCGCTACCGTATCACGATTGTGGTTGGATATGAAAGCTGTCTCTCAAAAAATATGACACTTTCACATCATACCTATCACCGTCATGACGACAACTTCGAACATCAGCGCAATGAGTGTGATAGCTTTCCCCCAGTGGACGAAGCCGCTGCCGCCCGCCCATTACTGGAACACCATGGAGATGGCGAATCATCTAAAGGAAAAGTCGCTGTATAGCGAGCTTCGTGCTACGTCTATAAACATAGGTATCCCGACTCCCAGCACAGTGAGCATGACAGCTACTCCGCCGAGGTCTCCTGAGTCTACTGGACAATCTCCTACACCCATAGTCACTCGGGGAACTCATGGTGATTGCGAGGCGCAGCCATCGGGTTATGGCCCCGTTCCGAAATACGACAACATGCGGGGATTCTACTACTCGCCAGAGATACGCCATGCGGCGGAGAACGCCCCGATCCCCCCCGGCTACATCGGGAGCTTTGTCTCCGCCAACGGATCGTTTGTCGGCAGCCATTACCTTGGTCACTACGAACTAAAGTCCTTTGATACACTTGAGTGTGCTAGGAGATGCGATGAATGGGGCAGGCTAGCTAATCTGCTTAGCGATGGCCCTAGCACTAACGAGTCTAATACCCGAGATGCTAGCCTAATCGTCGCAACTTCCGATGGGGATACGGATACCAGGGGCACGGAACCTGGACACGACCAAATCTGTCAGGGTTTCAACACATACTTCGAGCGGGCGCCTGCTGTACGGCTTGGTCCGGAATGTCGGGAATCTACGAGCCGAACAGTTATAAAATGCGCACTGTGGGGGGAGCCACTTCGTATTGAAGGCGCCAAGAATATTGGATATAGAGAGTGGGAATTTGACGTGGTCATTGCGGGTTCCAATGGGTATAGTTTGGAAAAATATGCCGAGTCGAGCAACCTGGCCCCTGGGAAGAAGCTAGAGCCCATGGTTCTTGCTGCACTTTTTGCACTTCAAGCATTTTTGGGATTCATGGCACTTTGAGGGCAAGACTGAAGGCATGAGAAACATGAAATGGAACAGGCTGCTTTAGTCGGTTGCGTATGCGTTTAGCTTGGGCTCTTATTGGCAAGTCTTTAGGGATTGAACACGAACATGTTGTTTGCTCAACACGGACAGTGTACATTCATGAGTTGTACTCGTACAACTGTAATCGGAGATTCATGATATTACTGCTATTTCAGTGCTATTTCAACATCATTCGTTACGAAGAAAGTGGCCCTGTACGTGTTGCGTGCTACTAGATCTACGTAGTATCCTATTGTAAAGCATATGTCATCGATTCCAATTGAACATATGTCTTACCTCCTACACCATACACCACCAATCTCTTTACATTCAACTTTCCACACTTATTCGAACATACTATTAACGCACAGACACGCATAGCAAACCCAGTCCCAAAAGGCCAAAGTTGACCATCCCAAAATCCAGAAAAATCCTACCAAAAAGAACACCTTTCTCAAGAAATTCTTCTGTTCTCAAAACCCCGTGAGGAAACAACCAAGAAAAAGAGCCTCCTCCCATCCATTTTTCATATATGTCAACAACGCATCTTCCCTCACAACCCAATCTCACACCCACCCCTCTTCATGACAAAAAACTTCGTCTTGGTCGGATCCGTAAACTTCTCCTCCTCAGCCAGCATAACGAGCGCCTCTTCAGAATGCATAAACGTGATAAACTGCTGCAAATGCAACTCGTCGGCAAACACCATTTCGCCCTTGCAATCCCAGTCGAAGATGTCGTCGGCGCTGGCGCTGCCAATCAGCACGCGCGACAGCCCTGTGGGCACTTCTGAATCGTCAACGTGGTACAGTCGGTTCCAGGCTAGCGGGTGCACTTTGCCTGCTCTTTCCTTGAGCAGAGGTGCGTAGTAGGTTTCGTTGTGCTTGTAGAATTCTGCTCGCGTGACTCCCTCCTTGCGCGTCGCTACTGTGACGAGCACAATGGGGTATTTGGTTGCTGGTGTTGCGGCCATGTCTGAAATCTGGATTTTCGTTTTTTCCCTTCTTGGTTCTTTTTGTACGCTGGTGTTGCTCTGTTGCTCTTCTTCTTCTTCTGGTGTTGTCCTGTTTCTTCGGTCCGAATGGGCGGTGACGATCCGAGTTCCCGAGGCAGAGGTTCAGCCAGTCGGAGATTAGATTTAACGACCGATGGTCTGGGAATTGGGATTTGAAGGATTTGTTTCAGTGGATTTTTGGGATCAACTGTCGACGTGAAAAGGCGATTCACGAGTAGATAAGAACGGCTTTTCAGTCTTCAAGTGCGAAAAAAAAGAAGCTACGGAACGGACAATTGCCGCGTTGCGGATTGATGGCTACTATGCCTCGGGCCATGATCAGGTCCTTGCTTTCCTCCAAAGTTTAGTACTCCAGATCATCCATTCATACCCCCAGCTGAACTCGACGCCCCACGTCAAAACACGGCTTCCTGCATAAGTATGTTACTGTCATCATAGCTTCTTGGCTTCATCGGAGAACCTAGCATTAATAATCTTGGTTTTATGGCCGGAAAGGTTAGCATAGGAAATTATGCCCCTATTGGGAGTTTGCCATAACGAACAAACATGGCTAGTATCTGTGTCACTACTGAATATGCCCAGTACGTAACAAGATTTACACCGGTTGCCACTGTTATCCTCTGACCCAGAAAAGACAGTACCCGCTCCCTCCTCGGAACAGGCCCGTCATGTCCACAGACCCCACTGCCAATGCTGACCAAGACCAAGGACACGGAAAGCTATATTATGGGTATCATTTGGTCAATTACGACCTACATGCCTATCTACTAGTACAGATTACTGCTCGCTTCACTAAAGGCACGCTATAAGCGCATGACAAAGCACGGATGTTTTCCCAAACCTAAAAGCTCCAAACGCCATTGTAGGCAAAGATTGAAAGTAGATCTTTGCGTCTTCTAGAAGGCGTACAAGCCCCTCATGTTCCAAATGGACTCATCGATCTGGCTGGGAGTCCATTCCGAACCAGTAATTTGACCAGCAATGCTCTCCCTCTTGTCACGAGGAAGAACTAGGAAGCGTTCAATGAGATCGCCATCAATGACACTCTTGACAGGTGCAAAGTAGCTACGGAAAGCGAGATGGTCGCGCCCGGACAGTGGCTTATCATCAGAGCGAAGTTGGAGCTCGAGCTGCTGAAACATCTTGTGCGAACGGCGTGAGTTGAAGGGGATGAGAGCACCAAGGGTGCCTTGGAGACCAGCCCAGAAAACGACGCGTTCACCACCTGATAGCAAGACTGTCTTCTGTATTGACACCGGGATGTCATTGGTGAAGTAATGTGCGATCAGGTCGAGCCTATTAGGAGTACCGCCGAGATAGCTCTTGTCGACAAGTAGATCAGAGCCGTCTGGTGACTCGTCAGAAGATTCGGAAACCTTTTGTGGGCAGCGCACAAGCCAAATGTTGCCAAACTTGTCACCGCCCACAGTAGTGTCATAGTCTAGCATCTCGGAGGCCGTGGTATGTCGAGCGACGGTGTCATCAACGAAAGGTATCAGGCGATTGGGGTGAACCTGGTCTTTATGCACGACGTACGTGACCGACTGTGCTTGGTCGGAAACAACCAATCGGCTACCCTGTGTCTTGAGACCCGTGATGCGCGTTGGTACACAGTTCGGCGCCTGAGCTTTGCGTAGGACTGACTTCATACCACAATCATAAAGACATAGGTGACGTCCGACACCAGCGAGCAACTTGCCCTTGAAAGCCAGTAATGCCAGAGGTGGATCGCTGACAGTAGTTTCGTGGAAGAACTCCAGCTCACGGCCAGTTGGGTTGATCTTGTATATCTGGATCGAGGCAGACGAGAACTTGTATGGTTGGAAGCTCAGATCTTTTGCAGTACCAACAGCAAGGAATGCTTCGTCATTACGGCTCTCAAAGAAAACTAGAGCAGCACTGACAAGGGATGTGTTGCCATTGACTTCGACCGTGTGAGTGACCGTCTTCTCAGTAACGGGATCGACTACTTGGATGCAAGATGCCCAACTGCCCTGAGCCCTTGGATAACCAAAGTCTACTGCGAGGAATTCGTCGCTGTCAGTTGCACCGTTGGACTGCTCAGTCTCCATTGAACCATTGGTGCCGTCCTCCTTCTTTCCACCGCTTTGCGCAATTAGCTGTTGCCTTCGATCAGCACTAATGGTGTTGTTGTCGCTCTGAATTACGTAGAACACGCCCTGGTCATGGTATCCGACCATCTTCCTAGGGGTGTACTTCAATGGTATACTTTCATAAGTGGTATTGTCCGTCAAATCGTTGAACGTGAAAATTCTGGCGTAGTTAGCAACTATTCTCCAAGCCAACCAATATAATAATGCTGAGCGGGGGATTGCGTTCAGTAGGAACAATTGGAACCAAAAGGTTTGAACCCTCATCGTGTTTAAGGTGTACAAGGTTTCATCATCGCAATCATAGGGAAAAAGAGGGTTTTGCTTACCGTAACTCATTAGCGCTCACACAGATGATTCCCTTGAATTGTGAGCCATCAAAGTTCCATGCGGACTTGAATGAAATGTAGTTCAGGGGTGTCAGCTGCAAGACTCCAGTGCGAGGATGAGTGTAGCCTAGCCATGGCCGCGAAGTCATAGCCAGAATGGCGGGCTCACCGGCAACAGTGACCTTTGCGAATTTGATAGGTTCAGGGCCGAGAAAGCGTCTCCGGGTATCACCAATGTCACCAGTCATCTCATCCAGTACCGATCGAATGTACACACCACTTCGCAGGCCAATGTGAAGGAATTGGCTGTACCCACGGGACGACTTGTCCGTCATAAGGTTGATGGTCAAATCGCTTGGGGGTGATGTAAGTGCTTGGACAGAGATGCTTCGCAAGATGTTGCCTTCCATGTCAGGACTTAGATTGTAAATCCTGACCGTTTGGTCACTGCAGCCAACAGCCAGGAAAAAGGCTCGTACGCTACCCTCTGGGACATCGGGCATCGCAAGGCAGTTGATGGTGCTGTCCAAGTTGATCTCTTCTTCAGCCATGGCAAGCGAACCATCAGAATCACACTCAAAGTACAGAATCTGACCAGAGCTAAGGGCAATTGCGACTTGGCGGTTGTTGGTTGCACAAGCTACAATGGTGCGGTGAGCGGGAGGTTGCCAATCAGTCAGGCTGGCGTGAGTTGCGCTCGCATCGTCATTGGGAAACTGGATGCCCTGAATGTGACGGATACCCTTGGGGTGGATTTGGATGATGCAATCCTCACCAAACTGCTGCACGCCAAGGGTGTTTGTATCTGGAAGGAAACCAGTGTTGGAGGCTTCCTCAACATCGTCACCAATCTTCAAGACGAGTGTTCTGCTGTGGAGGCAAAGGACAATGAGTGTGTCCGTCTCGTCTTCGCTAGTCAGCTTCGTTGTCCATACATCGGAAGCGTTCTGTGGCAGAGGAGACTCGATGAGATCCAAGACCTCTAACGCGTTCCTCGTGGTGCGGAAAGAACTTCGGCCACCTGTACCGTTGATTGTGTATATCTGAGGCGCATCTTCCAATGCAGGATTGGCAACTTCCATATCCATAATCGGGTTGAGACTTGGCATAGCCTCTACCGCAGTGAGGTTGACCAGAGCGCGAGGACGGAAGAACGGAGGTGCAAACGAGGCTTCAGGGTCAACGGGGAACTGACTGCTTTCGAAGACTGGGTCATCAGTCTCGTCACCCAGCGACTCCAGTTCATACAAAATGCGGTCTCCAGACTCGCACGCAGCGTAGACGAAACCCGCCCGGAGAATACAAATACTTGTCGTTACAGGAATGGTATCAAAGTACTTGATCTTGATCTTCTCGACCGTGCCGTTGGGAGCGTCAACGGTAAGCTTGAATACATCGCCATCTTCTGTCTGTAGAAGATAAAAGAAGTCGCCACCTTTGAGAGAGTATAAAGTACCAGCGACAATCATACGCTTTCGGTTAGGATCTTCAGTAGCGCCCTCGCGGCGTGGAATTGCCAGGCGGCGGACGCTTGACTTGTTGTTGAAGATACGACGGTATGTGATGCTGTCCTCTCCGCAGCACAATACACCACTCGGTGCACTTGGGCCTCCGGGTACCCGGAAGAGAGTATTTGCTGTGCGATCGACAGGCTCAGACCACTTTCGTACAATGTGGTTGAGACCCAGATCCAGCTCATAGTACACAAGCTCCTTCTTGATCTCCTCGTAAGCCTCGCCCGTAGGATCAGTCTCGGAATTGGAGTAATCCACTTCGAGCGTTGCAAACATGGGGTTGTCGTAGCCAACATCGAGACCGATAAGACAATAGACAAGTGTCTGGGGCTTGTGCGCCTCCAGTGGAGAGGAGATGGCAATATCGGTCTGCCCACTTCGGGTGAGGATGTAGATCAGCTTGTTCTTCTCCGTCGAGGCAATCATGATAGCGCGCCCTTTCGGGTCGGCTGCCAGGTACTCGCCTGGCACGACACGTCGTATTCCAGACTTGCCGAATGTCTCGAAGTGAAGTGTCTTGAAGGTGTGCTCATCAGGAAGGTACTCGTACGTAACTAAACGTCCAGAGTCCGTGGTTATGACAATGTGGTCTTACAGAGTCAGCAAGGCTTCTTTTCTTAGTAGGAAACGCAGTCCAGTCCACCGCGGGCTCAGGGAGCAGCGAGCTCGAAGGTGTCGTGTGCTTTGAAAATCACTATACTGCTTGTAGCGGGGAAGGGGACCCGACATACCTTTGGTGCCGCCCGCAATCCTGAACTTGGCAATGCGACGGATGATGCCGAATACATCTTGCGAGTAGAGCTCTTGGAAGCCCTTCTGCCGCCGCGAAACCTCGAGGATGGCCAGCCGGGAGCCGCTCGCAGTGAGGATCTGCTGCTTGCCGTTTCCGAGGAAGTCGCCAGAAATGGCATCCTGTGTCGCTGTAGGCTGCTTCACCGTCAAGGCGTACAGCGACATGGAAGAGAAGCTAGTCATGGTGGGCGACGGCGGGCACTGGCCCCAGTAGTGCTGCCGTGTCTGTCGTTCGAGGATGCAGAAGCTGACCTCGAATCAAGATGTGTAACACAAGATTCAGGCAGAGCTTGTTGAAGAGTGGGTGCGCGCCAGTTGAAACTGCGCGGCGGAAGAAAGCTGGCGCAGGCTGTCGAGCATCGTGAAATCTTTACGGTGAAGGAGGCCAAAGCTCCCCGGATGCAGTGTCGGCCCGACCCAGCCAATTGGTGGCATGGCCCCACTAAAATTCTATGTCGCAAAGTCAACGAGGCGCAACGGCGACGCGAGTGAACGACGTTGCCCAGTACACATTGCTTGCCGTACGAGACCGCCGACCCATTCTAAACCTTTTGTCCGGTCTGAGTGAAGTTTCGCCAACGATAATTCGCCGTCAGCCCGTCCATCGATCAACCTCGGCCCACTACCATGAAGCGCAAAGTCGGCGCTTTGGAAAAGCTCGAGTCTGACCATGCCGCGCTCAGATTCAAGCTGAAGAGGGACCCCCAATCTTATAGGGACGACTTTGAGCAACAGTATCAACAGTACCGGACGTTGCTTGATTTGTTCCTTGCGGATCCTTCAACTACAGATGGAGGTCTGGTTGCACTGAAAGAGTATGTCTACCATATGGATGCTGCGTGGGGCAGAACGCTGACTTTGTTTCTCAAGTCTCATAGAATTTGTATCGCACACGGCGAATCTATACCCTGATCTGACTCTCCCTGAATTTCCCCGAAGTCTTATAGATCTGTTGTCCGCACACCATGAAGTCCTTGAGATGGATCTGCGCGACAAGGTCGTGGGTGCCATCTGCTTGCTTAAAAACAAGGAAGTGATTGACTCGGTCACCCTCCTCAACACACTATTTCCCATCCTCATCACAACAAATTCAAAGTCGCTTCGAACTTTGCTCTTCCAGAAAATAGTCTCAGATGTCCGATCGTCCAACGCGAAATCCACGAACCACAAGGTCAACAAAGCGCTGCAAACAACTTTATACAATCTCCTCGAAGCCGACACCACTTCACCGCGCGGTTTCTTGGCTGTCAAAATCACACGGGACTTGTGGAAGCGTCAAATATGGACTGACGCAAGGACAGTCGAGGTTATGCGATTGGCTGCGTTGAGCGACAACGAGAAGACCATTGCGGGTGGGGTCAGGTTCTTCCTTGGTGGTGACCAAGAGAGAGAAGCAGCCGCTGAAGAGAGCGATGATGATAACGACGTGGACCTGGCCAAACTGAGGCACCAAGCTGGCATCAACAAGAAGACTAAGAAGAAGTCGCGTGAACTGAAGCAAGCAGCTGCCACCATGAAGAAGAAAGACAAAAAGAAGAATGCGCCACAGTGAGTATCCCGGTGCTGTTACCGACTGTTCAATGCTAACCCTCTATAGTCCATTGAACTTTAGCGCTTTACATTTGCTTCATGACCCACAGGGTTTTGCGGAAACACTCTTCTCAAAGCATATCCAGAATTCCAAGAACAAGCTCGCTCTCGAGACGAAGCTTCTGGCCCTACAGCTTGTGACCAGACTTGTCGGATTGCATCAACTGACAGTCCTACCATTGTATTCGTACTTCTTAAAGCACCTCACACCCCGCCAAGCTTCAGTCACAACATACCTTGCGTGTCTAGCACAGGCAACTCATAGCTATGTCCCACCAGATGTTCTTGAGCCGCTGGTTCAAAAGATTGCGAATGAGTTCGTGTCGGAAGCATCAGCTTCTGAGGTCGCTGCGGCAGGATTGAATGCTATTCGTGAGATATGTGCACGCCAACCTCTGGCCATGACAGACACGTTGCTACAAGACTTGGTTATGGTATGTGCTAGACTATACTACTTGCCTCTTTGCCTCTATGCCGAAAACTAACAGTCACAGTACCGTAAATCAAAGGACAAGGGCACAATGATGGCTGCTAAAGGTCTCCTCTCACTTTACCGCGAAGTCGGTGCCGATCTCCTCAAGAAGCGTGACCGTGGCAAGGATGCGACAATGGGCATTCGTGCTGGTACAATCAAAGAGCGACGTTATGGTGAGGAAGCCATTGGCGAAATTGAAGGCATTGAGCTCCTTGAAAAGTGGAAGGAAGAAGAGCGTAGGAAGAAGTTGGAAGCTGCTGGATTGGATCCTGATGCAGACAATGGTGATGTTGAGCTTGACGACGAGGATGACTGGAAGAAATGGGAAGTGGAGAGTGACGGCGACAGCGACGACTCAGGAGGATGGATCAACGTCGAGAGTGATGGAGAAGATATCCAAATTAGCGACTCTGAAGACGAGAAGGAAGACAACAAAGAGCGACCAAGCAAGAAGGCGAAACTCAGCAGCGCAACGCCCACACCCGGCCCATCAACCGACAGCAAGGAAGGATCCAAGAGCGAAGAGCCAGAAGCAAAGTCCATTTCCAAACTTCTCACCACGACCATTCTCACTCCCGCCGACCTAAAACAACTCCAAGCTCTGCGCGCCTCATCAACAATCACCTCATCTCTCGCCTCACACAAGCGGGCCCAACTCCTCGCCGCGCGCCACACCGACGAAGCCATTACAGCCGAAACGATTGAACTGGCCGCGTCGCTAGGCAAGAAGAACACCAAGGAAGAGAAGATCGCAATGGCCAAGCAAGACCGCGAGACGAACCACATGTCGCAGGCGGGCAAGCGCAAGGAGAAGCGGCATGCAGAGGGCAAGAGTACGACGAACCAGGACAAGGCGCGCAAGAAGAACTTTTTGATGACGCTGGGCAAGGCCAAGAGCAAGAACAAGAGGAGTTTGGGTGACGTTAAGAAGACGCTTTTGGGCCATGTGGAGAGGAAGAAGAGGGGTGGCAAGAGGGGAAATAAGGGAAATTAGGGTTGTTTGTGATGGGCTTGCATTTTGTTGTATGCAATCGATGTTTTTCAAGTGTACATGGGCATTGACATGTTTGGAGAGTTGATATCGATGAGAAGAAAAAAGGTGGGAAGCGTAATACCCTACATACGTTTGAAGTAAACATTTGATAGATGAAAAGGAACGAAGTCATTGGGTTGTTTATTGTAATTCTGTGAAATGCATTATGGAAATTTTCACATTTCTTCCATGTCCGATGGTCCCTAAAACTGAAAAGAAGAAGAAGAAGGTGAAGAAGTGAAAACAGACTACATTAGAATCTCGATACTCTCGAATGCCCCATACCACATTCAGAGTAAAGAAAAAACAGCCATCATAACTCCATTTTCCAATGTTCCAAAGCATCCTCATGAGACGATGGATGGGGGGCATTATAAACCCCAAACTTGTACGCTGCTGTCGCGGACTCAAACAGCCCCAGACACGGTACATCAGCCAAGATACAGCACGTTGAGAAGCGCTATGCGATGAACATCCAGCACAGCATACCCCCAAACGGCACATGTTGTAAGTAAGTCCAGTCAGTGATTAAGAGCATCTGACAGACATGAGCCTCTTGCATCAAAAGCAGAACTAGTCGTACTCGACATTGGAATCTTACTCGTAGTCAGTACTCTGCAGCCAACGCTGTACAGCTCTCTTTGACGTAAACTCACCACGGCCATCGCCACCGTCAGCGGAGTTCTCTTCGTCCGTAGACTCAATCTTGGGCTGCTTCTTCGGCCGACCGCGACCCTTTTTCGTCGTCGCAGCAGCAGCAGCAGCAGTAGTAGTAGCAGCTTTCTTCTTGGTTGGTTTCTTATCGGGCTCCGAGCTGTCGGGTTCGGGCTTGGCGGGATCCTCAGACGCCTCATCTGCAGGTTTGCGCTTCCTAGACTTTGGAGCTGCGGGAAGCTTTGGGGCTTCAGAGGTGGATGCAGTAGCGTCGCCGTTAGACTGGCCGAGGAACTTGGCAAAGGGCGGGTGGCTCTCCATTGGCTTTCTTTTGACGGGAGGCCCTGTGTTTACGAGGTATCAAGTTAGCGCGTGCCATGGAATTGGACGAACGGGTGTGGATGGACGTCACTTACACATCTTCTTGAGCGAGCCAGCTGTGTTCTTGGTCAGTGCGGCCATGGTCTCGTAGTCGAACTATATGGATGTCGTTAGTACACATTCGTGCAGAAGATTGGATCGGCAAAAAGTAGCGGGCAATCACCTTGTCCGGACCGATGGAGCTCAGGAACGCGGCGGCAATAAGCTTAGTCTCCTTGTCAGTGAAGCCTGGGAGAAGCACGTTGGCGTCTTCGCCGGTAGTGTCCTTCTTGGGTGGCATGATGTTGAGGTTGAAAGTAGTCAAGAGGCGCAATTTGCTGAGTGTAATGGAAGAGAGCAGAGAAGATGGCAAGTGAGTCACAACAATAAAAGCGAGCGTTTGTTGTGAGTTAAGCAGGCTGTGGTGAATTCGGAACTTAAACACTGGCTTAGGAAATTACGTCTTGTGTGTGATACCAGGTGAAGTCCGCTTCGAAGAGCGGTGATTCACCTATGACATCTTCACTATTTGGCTCCTCAACCTTGGAATTACGTGACGATGAAGTCGAATTTTGAGAGCTTCACTGATCACTGCTGGGGGGGCAAGCTGTCGTGGATGGTCCGAAAGCTGTTAGATTGCGAATGGTCCGTGCCTTACATATCCAAGACAGAGGGCTTAACTATGGTAGCTTTGAATGCGACGCCAACACCTGTCCTGAAACTCGCATTCGCTCCCCTTTTCTGCCACGAGGCGCAAACTGACGTATGTGGTGTATGTGTGTATGTGCAAGATGCGTGTGCGGAGAAGTCCTTGATCATCCGACATGGTTTAGTGTACCGCGTTAAGAGAAGGGAACATGAAAGGGACAGGAGATCTGCTAGTCTGCATGCTCCTGAGGCATAGGGTCCAAAGTCGCAGTAAGGGGAGAGGACGCCAAGAGATTGAGCATGTACGGTATGTGTGTATGTACATAGTTTATGTGCTAGGTGTACATGTATCGGCAGTCAAGCCAGCTAACGGCGTGTGCCGAACGGGAGCAGGATAACAATAGGTAGAGCAATACGCAGCTTCGGGGAAATCGACGGGCGGCTCGGGGTAGGCGAGGGCGAGCGAGATGGGCTGGAAGCGCGCGTGTATCCCCGCTCACCGACACGAGCGCGGCGACGGCGGAGCAGGGCAGGCTGGACGGTGGTAGACGGGGGATCAGAAGGCGAGGCCTGGATGGAACCAAGGGTGGACGGGCTTGTCATCGGGGCTTGTGGGGGGCGTGGGACCAATGCGCAGGCAGTGCTGTGCATAGCTGCGTCTACAGGGCGTCTGTCGGGGGGGGGCGCAGGCTGCAAGAGACCCAGCCAGCATCTGCGGCCAGCGGGCCGCGCCAGGAACAGGCGCAATTAATTTTTGTCCCTCTCGCGTATGGGTGGGTGGATGAATGGATGGATGGGCTGATGCATCACGTACATACGCATGTATGTGTGTATCCACGACACGACACGACACGCCTGACTGACTGACTGTTCGCCGACTGGGCCGACCCGGCGCCCGTCGACTTTCCCTTGACCACCTGCTGGTCCGCTTCGGCTTTGGCTTTGGCTTTGGCTTTGGCTCTGCCTGCAAGTCCCCTCACTCGACCTCTCCCTCTTCTGCTCTTTTATTCCTCTTTTACTCCCCTCCCTCTCCTTCTTTTTCCTCGACATCTTCCCTTCCTTTTTTCTCTTCCTCTTCTATAAAATAATCACACATCCAGCTCGCAGCTTCCCTCGTTCCCTGCCTGCTGCCGTTGTTGCTGCCCCTCACCACCCCGCGCCCATAGTCTGCACAAGACTCACCACCGAACATAACACGCGACTGGCAACCGGAACCGCGCCCGTCTTCTCCATCGCCATGTCTCCTCACTTCACTCTCACCAGCACCTACCGCGCGCGGGCCTCGTTGTCCTCCGCCGGTCCTCTGGCATCATACCTGCTCAGTTTGATAGCCGCCAAGCAGACCAATCTCTGCCTCTCGGCCGATGTCGAGACTTCTGCAGAACTGCTGCAACTCGCCGAAGAAGTGGGCGACTCTATCTGCCTGCTCAAAACACATTGCGATATCGTCACCGACTGGTCCGACAGGACAGCCCAGGCCCTAAGAGAGGTCGCCGCTCGCAAATCCTTCCTCATTTTTGAAGACCGCAAATTCGCTGATATTGGAGGTATGTTTGTCCACCACTCGTTTGTTCGCTACCCTGGTATCTAGACGAGCCGCTAACACCATACCAGAAACCGTACAGAAGCAGTACACTTCTGGACACCACCGCATCGCCCTGTGGGCCGAAATCACAAATGCGCACGTTCTGCCCGGTCCCGCCATCGTTACCGCACTCGAGAAAGCTGCCGAAACAACCATTGCCAAGTACAACACTTCTGTAAACACCGAAATCTCCGCTACACGGCAGGTAAACGGAGCAGGCGATGACGAAGATGACGACGAATTTGATGACGACATGAAAAACCCCGACTTCACCATCGAGTCCCCAATTGAGATGGAAGGCGAAGAGAGAAGACTGAGCATCCGTGCTCCCGACAGGAAGCAGAGTGTGGTGAGCGTCACAACTTCCATATCCATGCGCACAGAAAGCATATCGCCTCGGCCCGAACCCAACGACAACGGAGAAGACGTCTTCAACCTCGATACTGCGACGGAGCTTATCCGCCTCGGCCCGCCGCCGTTTTTGCGTTCGCTCCTTTTGCTCGCTGAAATGAGCTCCGAGGGCCACCTCATGACGCCCGAATACCAGAAGACAACGGTTCAAATTGCCCGCAGTCATCGAGATTTTGTCATGGGCTTCATTGCCCAGCGCAGCTTGAACTCAGAGCCCGAAGACAATTTCATTACCATGACTCCAGGTTGTCAACTACCGCCCCCAGGTCAAGAGGGCAAGAAGCTAGGAGACGCCCTTGGCCAGCAGTACAACACCCCTCACAAGTTGATTTACGACCAAGGATGCGATGTCATTATCGTTGGGCGTGGCATTGTCCGAGCACAAGACCGCAAATCAGAAGCAGAACGCTACAGGAAAGCCGCATGGGCAGCCTATGAGGAGCGAGTACGAAAAGTATAAGCGCCTGGTTTCAGTTTTTTTCTTTTTTTTCTTAGCGTAGGTGATGACCCCATGTAATACTATGTTGGCCATCTACCCGACGTATTGACTCTGTACGACTTGTCCTGGAGGGCTTTTCGAAGCGCCAAATGCCTCTGAACAAGACAAGTAAAAGCATAGCACTACACTGAAGCGGCGGGACCCATTCTGTAGACAGAAACGACAAGTCTAGACGGACAGTATGCGCCACTACAAATACGACTGCAATATTGATCATGAATCATGTGCAATGTTCGATTTAATTCTCAATTACAAAGCTATTTACCTCCTTCCCCACGGTCAAGCCCACCTTAACCAACCTCAACTGGCGATTTGGTACTGTCCTAGTTGTCAAGGGTCCCAGGCAAAGCCTTTGCATGAACCAACCCTGCATCAAATATGCCTTCCCGCCATTGCCAAGTTCAAAGTTAGCCCATCTAGCACATTGCGCGTATCTGGTAAGGCGAAGAGCCATCTGAATATTGCCTCCATGCCTCTGGAACCTTGACCCATCGGGTACCGATCGTGCGGCGTCCTAAATATTTCGAGAATTAGCCCAAAAATCTCTGGATAGGGAGCTGGTTCGATTGGCTTACCTTTTGGAACGAAAAAGAAACCGTGGGCCTCTCTATTCTTGTTTATGCAATCGTCTGCATTTCCGCAACTCCCGTTGTCAAGGGGAGCTGTTCCATGTCTCACCTAGGACTTTGTTGTCGACTGATACCTCGAAGATCTCGCATCTTGAATTCCTATCAGTCACTATCAAGACGGCGTCTTCGGGAACGTCAATTGTGTCGGTTGTGAGTTCACCATTCTCGAGCGAATTAGGCTTATGGTAACCCTCAATAGCCTTCCAGTCATTGATGATTCTTCCTAGGCATGGTCTTGACGCAAACTTGTACGGCTCGGGAACAACCGGAGGGGGAGGGGGAATTGGGTCGGATGGGGTTGGAGGCGGAGGTGGGGTTGGGTCTCCTGAGAATGAAGGTCGGGGCTGGTTAAACATCATTCCGTCTCTGCAGGTGCATCCACACATTTCCGGAGTTGGATCGCCGCACGTGACAATGGGCGCTTGTCCTAGGAACTTGTATTAGTACTATTGCAGCTGGGACATGAGCATGGAAATGTACCATTCTGGCACGTTATAGGCATGCCAGCAAGCATGTCCGAGCCAAATTGCGCACTTGCAATGCCGCCGAAAAGAAGAGTCGTGATTATGGAAACACGCATATTGTTGGTTCCGTGAGGGTGATGGAAGTGATGTTTAAAGTTGAAGTAGTTCAAGGCTGAAGTTGTCCAAAGCTGATGTCGGTGATACTATTTTGAACACGTAAATCCGGAGACTTATATACCTTTTTTTCTCTCTCTCTCAGAAATCCCCACTGCCCGCAAAGTAACTTATTTTAAAAAAGTAAAGTATTGAGAAGACTGGCACTTTGGTCGCTGTCATCCAGCACAGATACTTTATATGCAGTAGTCGTGCAGCCAAAAACAAATCGACGCCGTTGCCAATGACTACACTTGGCCAGAGTAAAGCAGCTAGACTAAAGCATCGTGATATGACCAGAAGTGCAAAGTATATGAGAGCTTTTGGTGTACATCGTAAATAACACACACACACACACACATACTCTCTCTCCCTCTTTCTCCTCTTGGTCAACTAGACACCATCAGTATACTGGTCCACGTTACTAGGCACAGCGGTTTGCTTTCCGCAGAACCAAGTCCTTCAATCTGTCTAGTCGAACGTACTGCGCACACGCTGAGATCATCACGATAACCGTACCGACGATGCCATTAGCGGTGAAGTCTACACTAAAGCGCACTGTGCGTTACGTAGAGCCAAAAGCTGTCATCACAAAACCAGAATAGGTTCAAAGCGGGACAGCAAAGCCGTTGAAGAGCAAAAACTTGAATAATAATCTCACGATACTGTTTTTTTTTGAGAATTGTGCTCTCATGAGGAATAACGGTTTATACAAACTGTGCCTTTTTCTTTCTAGGGGGCTTCTTTGGTTTGCTTTTTACTATAGTATTGAGAGATGATGGTAAGAACGAATATCTATATCACTCTGAATACAACCCCTAGAAGAAAGGCAAACCTGAGGATAGAGAGGCTACGGTCACGTGCACAGAACATGTGTACAGTGCTTAGCGATTGGGCCTTCCCCCTCAAATGTAGCCTCGCTGGAATCTGTGCTACGTAACACAATCATAGAACCCCGCCTAACCAGTTTGGCCTAGCGTCAACCTGCCAGTATACATACAATAAGAAGACAACACATGCTGCATGAGCTTTCGCACTTTCTGTGCCTTCCCGAAAATCGCCCTTGCCCCGCTACACATCCTTCATTCATGCTACACCCATCAACATTTGCACAGATACGTCTAGTGCTGTGACAGCACCGCTTTCATCCACGGATATGTATCACTATTCAAAGCTTAGGTCTGAGGACTCGGGTTTCCGGCTCTTGAGGCTACTTAAAGGGAGTGGTCCTGAACTCGAATGCGAGCTCTCCCTGCAGTCACTGCAAAACACACACCCTCCATACGAAGCTCTTTCCTACACATGGGGTAGCAGTGAGCTAGTCGAGTGTATCAAACTGGATGGAAAGACATTTTGGGTAACGGATAACCTACATACGGTGTTGCAAAATCTGCGGCTGTGCGATAGGGATCGCATTCTGTGGATCGACGCTATTTGTATAAACCAAGAAGACAAGGTGGAACAGAGTCAACAAGTTCAGCAGATGGGGCAGATATACGAAAAGGCTGAGAAAGTTCTCATCTGGTTGGGCAAGGCGACGCCGCAAATTATCTCCTTGATGGGAAGACTTAACCAATTTCGAAACGCTGATGCTGGTTATCACTACAATCCAGAAATGTTCAAAGACTGGAATTGGAAAGATCATTCTATGGCAATAAAGCAACTTTTGAACCGAGAATGGTTCACAAGGATCTGGATCCTACAGGAGGCAGCCAAAGCGCGTAGAGCCGATGTCTATTGCGGCGTTCGATCCATTCCAACTGACATTTTTGTCCTCGCACTCTCCTTTGTGGAGCTAAAGTTTCCACCGCACTGCCAACCTATATTGGACATAATGGCAAAGTCATTCCGGTCAAGTTCCTGGTGGGCGACTTACGAACCCTGCGCAAGTTTCATGGGAGCAAAGCAACCGATGAGCGAGACAAGATATATGCCCTGCTTGGTATGTCTTCATATCTAGAGGACCCGAAGAATATTGCGATAGACTACCTGAGACCGACCTCCCAAGTTGTTCGCAAGGTTATTACATATTTGCTACAATCGACGCGAACCAACCAACCAAACCCATTCACTATGCACGATGTCCTCAATATCATGGGTTCCTTTACGACACTGGACGTCACCTATTTTGTATTAGCACAAGAAATTTCTACACAGGCGACCTCCTCTAATCCTACACCAGGATACAAGACGCTTGAGCCATATCAAGCCGAAATCAAGATTTCAGGCATAGCAGTTGTCAATGATCCAACAGTGCTCTTGTTTGAGGAAAGGCCAGCAGAAAGCTTTGAAAACCAGAAGACATGCTTTAGTCAGATAGTCGGGCTGATGCCAGATCAGCAGTCTACCAAAGCTTTGCAAGACTATGATGAAGGACTGCATGTACATTCATGGGGGAATGCAGGGCATCATATAAAAGTGGTTGTAATAAGCGACAAGCCCAAGGCCATATTGAAGGCTGCAATTAGAGGGTATGGTCAGGTTACCAGACGGTTGCTGCACATGAAACTAGGAATTGCAAAAGAAGAAGAATGTGAGGCGCTCGTGCTACAGGAGATTGTAAAAAAAGGACTCACAGGGCTGTTACCATTCATGTTTGAAGCAGGTATAGACGTCAATGCCCAGGGTGGATACTATGGGAACGCACTTCAAGCTGCTGCCCATTATAACAGAGAAGGAATGTTTCATATACTGCTTGACGTAGGCGCAGATGTTAATGCCCAGGGTGGAGAATATTGGAACGCCCTTCAAGCTGCTACCTGTTCTGATGACGAAGAAATGGTAAAGATGGTGCCTGACGCAGGCGCAGATGTCAATGCCCAAGGCGGAAAACATGAAAACGCACTTCGAGCTGCTGCTGTCTCTTGGAATAGGGAAAAATAACGAAAGTACTACTTGACGCAGGCGCAGACCCCAACACCTAAAGCGGAGAATGAGTAAGGTTGCAGCCAAGTGGTGACTGGCCGGACTGTCATGTCACTCTAGCTAGTCGAGAATTAGCCGCATCTTATGTTGCATTGTGTCGGAGCGAGTGTTCTTACTCACCAAGACCAAGGGCACGGTAGACAATAGTTTCATTGCTTTAGCAGGGAGTTTTGTTGGCTTAGGCTCTCAATCGTCTCTATAATGTCGTTCCCTTGGTATCTTTTCAGGAGTTCGGTGATATGCACTTTCACTCATTAGTGTTTTACTGCTGATGTGTCTGCTACACAAGGAAAGAGAGAGGCTAGCCAAGTATGTACTAGATAAATTTTTTGCAATATGTCAATACTTCTCGTGTAATTACTTTGGCTTACTTGTCTTTGCTTACAATGGTTGCGCTTGCATGAAGAATGTACGGTTTCATGTTATTTTGGTAAAAGGTGAGCGCAGCATCATGACAAGAACAGAAATTGAATACTGCCGAATGAGGAAATGGAAGCAAAAGCAAGCTCTTACTTGACAATACTTGTTTACCAATAGTTCAGAAAAGCGGCACAGTAAGCACAAGGCCCCAAGTACCGTCTTATCTGTTCCTTCCGAGTTATTATGACTCGCGCAAATTTCCGTCCCACCGCACCGGGACAGCCGAAACGATCCCCCGATCCCAAGTCTATGGCTATTCGAATGTCTGTAAACACGATACCGATGATCTACTCGCGGCTATCCTTCCCTGAATCAGTTGAACCCGTAGCTTGCATGACTTGTACCTACCGCTCGTAAGTACCCGAGACTCGGGTTAACTACGAGATGCCAAGAGCCGACCAGGCTGGGCACCGTCACTGAGTGGACAACACCCATGCCGACCTTCCTGTTTGCGACAAACAGTTCTATTAGGATGGACAGTTGGAGCAACACGGTTGAAGTCTTATCGGGCCATGGTAGACGTATAAAATGGGCGTTGGTAAGCTCTAGCATGGCAATCGCAGCCTCAGCCAGCTCTACGCGAAAATGCAGCTTCTCTCGGCAATTGCGACCACGGCGGCTCTCGTCGGCAGCTCACACGCGCTCAATTTCACCGGCGATGTTGTGAACGGAGTTCCTGTCATTCAGGGCCTCAACCTGGCGGACGTGCCGCCGCAGACAGTCTCCAAGTATTACATGCGCGCGGGCGAGCTCAATGGCGGACACCCGGTTTACATTCCCATCATGGTCGCGCGCGGAACAGAGGAGAGTCTGCACACGGGCAAGAAACTGTCGCTTTCGGGTACCATTCACGGTGATGAGCTGAATCCAGTTCGCGTGGTTCAGCGCGTCTTCGAGCAGCTCCAGGACCAGGTTGCAACACTCAATGGCACTGGTATGATGTTCTACTAGTCGTCATCTTGAAATCCGAGGCTAATCTGGATCTAGTCATTGGTATCCCGACCATCAACCCAATGGGAATCTACATGAGTCAGCGCAACTACTACACTGCTGCCGGAAGCGGATCTCTTATCAACGTGAACCGCATTTTCCCTGGCATTGCACCTACGGAAGGAGGCAGTGGACCGAACATCCTTGCCTACAACATCTGGAACCAGATCTGGGCCAACACCAGCAACGTCGATGTTGGTATCGATCTCCGTACGTTCTTTACGCCCAAATTCATACCTAGAACTTCCAACTAACAAACGTTTACTAGACACTCCCAGCACGGGCGCAGACACCTCTCTATGGTGCTATGCGGACTTCCGCCTCCCCTACGTCGAGCGCCTCGCCAAGCTCCTCCAGCCCGATACGTTGAAAATCGACGTCGGCGAGCCCGGCTCCATCGAGACTACGTTTGTCGACTACGGCATCCCCTCTCTCACCGTCGAAATGGGCCAAGCCAGAGTCTGGAACACCACCCTCGTAAACCGCGTAGTCGACTACGTAAACCGCGTCATGGTCGATTTGAAAATCACTCCTTCCAACACGACTGTCGAGCCCGACCTAAGCAAGACCTATGTCATTACCACCTTCCACGATACGTACACGCAGTACGGTGGTTTTGTAGAGACGCTTGTCAGCGTTGATGAGCCTGTTTCAAAGGGCCAGCCTATTGCCAATGTTCTGAATGCTTTTGGCGATATCCTTGAGACGGTAGTTGCGCCAGAGGATGGACGCATGTTTTCGATTCCCAGAGATCCGAGTGTGGAGCCCGGTGCGAGTGTGGGCGAGATTGCGTATAACAGTACCGACCCGGCTTGTGCGGATGGATGCATTCTGTCTGGCCCTCAACGAAGGCGATGATTTAGTGATTTGGTGATATATTGTAATAACTAATCATAACCGCTAATGCGAATACAAAAGAAAATTCATGTATTGTTAATGAAACGAAGTGAGGTTTTCTCCACATGTTTCTGTACATTCTGGCTGCGGGGCGTTCCTGACATCGTATGCCTTCTGCGCATGCTCGAATGGTTTCCCAAATAGGGTAATTTTTCATGTCCGTACACATAAGCTCATTTTATTTTCTAAGAATTGACGCATTGGTTTCCATTCGGTAAATCATCATGTCCGCGTCAGATAAGGAACTGATCAGCCTAACCGGACTTCACTGTCCCACTTCTTCAGCCTTACAGGGACAGAGGGAGATAAACTCAGTCCCTCTTTTCCGTTGTTCCTGGAATCCCCTGACGCCAATCATCCATCCCTGCGCCCATCCATACGCACTAATGTCCATCATCCTCCGCCGAAAACTTCACAATCAAAAACACCATTATACCCATCGCTAAACAAAGCGTCGTCCCACCCATTAGCAGCAACACAAACTTGGTCTTCTTGATCTTCTTGGCCCTCTCATCTCGCTGCAAGACATGTGTCAAGCGCTCCTGCCTACCCATCTCAATGTCCGGTGTATGAAAAGTGCGAGGTTCGCGATTTCCAGCGCGAGCTGCATGCGCAGACGGCGGTGATAGGCTGAATACACGGCTGATGAGCGAAGGGCGAGGCGGGGTGCGAAGAGGTAGCTCGGTCGGGAAGATGCTAGAAACGAGAGTTGGAGAGCGGGACAAGGACGTCGGGTTTGGCTCTTGGTTGATGAAATGGCCGGGTGTTGAGGGTGTGTGCAAGGGAGATGCAAGGCGTGGAGTGTTGCTCGCGATGTTCACGTCCGACAAGGGCATATTGGCGCTAGAGGTAGTGGCCAGCTTGGGTGGTGCAGGCGCAGATGTATTGTTTGTGCGGGCGCTGTTGGTAGTACGCTCATTCACCATGTCGTCTTTTGCTTCAATATCAACTGTAGGGAACTTCCGAGTTGAAGACATGGTAGTGGTTGGATGTGAGTTGGTAGCTGTCAAATAGTGAAGAGTGAGAGGTGGGTTCAAATAGCTTTAGGGATGGCGTTGACGTAATTGGGAAGGTGAGACCCGTTTGATGGAGTGAATGGAGCATCACAAGCTCCATGTTTACCAACGGAAATCCCTTTCATCTACCGATGCATCGCTACATTGGGAATATATGTACTACCGAGATACACTTAAGGATCCTCGCCGGGGATACTATATACAAGATATAGTGTAGTCTACTCAGGGGTCACTGCCAGCCTCAGCATGTGCCTGCCAGATGAGCTCATGGATCAACAATAGCGAAATTCTAAACCCAATCGGGCACAATCACCCCGAATATACCTGCCAACCACCTGCTAGAGCAATCCCAGCACTCTGCTGGCTGCAAACTCATGTTCTAACAAGTGAGATCCTCTCCACCCAATCGATGACCCAGTGCAAAAGTAAACAAGGAGGCAAACGGAGTTTGTCAGTTCATACCTGTTTGGACATGCCTGAATGAAGATGCATGTCGAAGCGAATGACACTATCCTGCTGCCATCTCGCCTAAGGTGTCTGCTCGACATTGACCAATTGATTTTTCATGCACACGGGCCTCTGAGCCAGTTGGAGCGAATCATGGTAATGAAAAAGGGAATATTCATTACTGTCACTTTTGAGTGCAGATCTCATTCGCGCTTATCATGAAGAACCCCACTTATACACCAAAGACATTGCATGACAAGATTCTGGGGTAAGATTGATCAGACGCTTATCATTTTGGCGAAGATGTGGGCGTGGAAGTCTTACAACGTATTCTACCTAACCTAGTTCGACCACCAATCTTACGTTAACATCATTCATTCTTGTTTACCCAACGAATCATCTTTCCTTGTTTAACCGAGGCAATTGCAATCAGAATACGCCCCGTAGAATCTATTGGCAGATCAATACACCTTGCGCTGCCGATTTAGGAGAAAAAGCTGGTCAAGACGAGCATGTAAGCGCCTGGCAAGGCCTCCAACAACTAAAAGCTCACCCTCGCAGTCGCGTACAATGTACAAAATTAGTCGAATCAACGACTAAGAACTCACTTTGAAAGACGTATAAGTAGCCCTCTGTTCGTGGCCCACCACACCATGCTTGGATCTAATCATTCCTGACCCCACAGCCACAATGGAGTCCTCATTCGACTACATCATCGCAGGCGGAGGCACCGCTGGTGTCGTGATTGCTTCTCGTCTCAAAGAATGCCTACCTAACTCTAGTATCGCATTGCTCGAAGCAGGTCCAAATGCAGTGGACGATCCCACTATCGACAATGTCGTGGACCCAATCAACTGGATGCCGCTATTCCAGAAAGGTTTCCTCATAGATTACTCAACCACACCACAAGAGCATCTGGGTGGCAGGAACATCATGAATGTTGCAGGCCGTTTGTTGTCAGGATCAAGTGGTGTCAACATTGGGTTGTGGATGCGAGCCTCTGCTGCTGATCTAGACGTCATGGCTGAAAGAGCGGGAAATGCAAGATTCAAATATGGCAACATGGAAAAGTACTACAAACGCCTAGAGACGCATTTCGATGCGACAGCTGACAAAGAGCGCTATGGCTTCGAGGGCAAGATTCATACCGTAGGTGGAAGAAAATATCCAATCCGAAATATTCTCCAAGAGAGTGCAGAAAACCTGGGTCACAAGTACAATCCAACCAGGGGAGACCCGACGGGTCTGGGAGATATCACCCAGTGCTGGCGTGCTACTTCCGAGTCTACTGCGACACGACAACACAGTGCCAGAGTATACGACCTAAGCGGCGTCGAAGTTCTTTGCGATACATCCGTCGCTCGCATTCTTCTCGACGACTCAAAGCGAGCCATTGGAGTCGAACTTACCTCCGGCAAACGCATCATGGCGAACAAGGAAGTCATAGTCTCATGCGGGACTCAGGTCTCCCCAAAAATCTTGATGCTATCTGGTATCGGCCCCGCCAACGAACTGGCCAAACACAACATCCCCCAAACCGTCGATTCACCCGCCGTAGGCCAGAACCTCTGCGACCACAACGCCATAACGATGTTCTTCAAGCTCAAAGACGCCTCAAAAGGCTACGCCCGCCCGTTCAACGGGCTCGCGGTACCATCGTACGGCCAGGGTCTCCCCTTTGATTTTGGCTTGTTCGCAAATATCCCTGATACAGAACTTTCTCCGTACCTCAAGGACGATGGCATCCGCATTGATGAACCGCAAGAGGGGGATGTGCTACTACGGCCGAATCGGTGCCACTATGCTAGTCTGGTGGTTTACTACCCTTTTCTTGCTGATCCGACCATCTTTCCCACGGTCAAGGAAGATGGCGCTCATATTTCGCTATGTGCATTCCATATGCTTCCGCTTTCTCGCGGTAGTGTAACGTTGAGTTCGGCGGATCCCAACAATAAACCTGTGTGTGATCCGCGCTTTCTTTCTACTAGCACCGATCGGTTTATTCTGCGCCGCGCTGTGCGTGAGAACTTGCGCTTGGTGGAGACGGGGCCGTTGGCTGCGGAGGTCGAGGGCGAGGTTCCGCCTACGGGTGCGCAGTTCTCTGCGCTGACGACGAAGAGTAGCGATGAAGAAATTGATGCAAGGATTGCGCAGTTTGCAGGTACGATTTGTCATCCCATGGGCACATGTGCGTTGGGAACGGTGTTGGACGATGCGTTTAGAGTCAAAGGAGTCGAAGGGCTTAGGGTTTGCGATGCTAGTGTTTTCCCGGAACCGATTGCTGCTATGCCTTCTTGCACTATTTATGCGTTGGCGGAGTTGTGTGCTGATCTCGTTGCTGGGAAGGCCTAAATCTTCGGTAAGGGATGGATGGAAGTGGGTAAGATGGCAAGTCACTCGGTATGAGATGGATGAGAACGGCTTACACGATAGCATAATTTTCATGATGTTCACTACTTAGGAAATATATTCATTACAAGTACCTATTCTCCGTATGAGAACGCAAAAGAGCATCCCCACATACCACTATATGCTACCCCATTACTACTTCGCCCAGCTCCTCGAGAAAACTACTCGATATCCACTTTGCGGATCTCTACGTAGCCCGAGTCCAGCTTGGGCACTTCAACCCTCAACACACCGTCCTCCAACTTGGCAGTGATGCCATCAGCATCAATGCTTGCGGGATTGACTCTTGTTCCTAGACGAATCTTCCTCTCAAAAGCGCCCACCTTCCTCTCGTCAACAGCAAGTGTCTTCAAGAATTCTTCATTGCCGGGACGGTATATAACACCAGCAACGCTCAACTCGCTCTTCTCGGCGTCCCAGTTCACACCAACATCTTCCTTCTTGGCTCCAGGAAGGGAGATGTGGACCACATAAGCTGACTCAGTGTCGAAAATGTCGGCTTCAGGAGTGTGATCTTCGTTTCCGGATGATCTAGCCTTGTTTCCAGAGTCATCGTTCGAAGGACTGGAGTCGTTGAACTGGTTGAAAAGATGAGTGACAAAGGTGGATGGGTCGAAAGGGCTGCCTCCGAAACCGAAGGGACCGCCTCCATGTGGACCCCCGTGTCCCCATGGGCCCCACCCTCCGCGGCGACCGCCATGGTAAGGGCCATGGTGGGAACCGAATCCATGGTGCGGTCCAGGACCGTGGCGAGGCCCAAAGCCACCCCTGCCACCAGGTCCACAGCGGCCGCGTGGTCCTCCACCACAACGACCATGGCGTTCTCGTCTGCCTGAACAGTCCTCGCCACGGGCTTCGTTATCAGAACCGGAGGTACCAGATGGGCCCTCCCCATTGTCGTTTGCATCGTTCATCTCTGCATCCTTTTCGCCTGCAGGCTGGTGTTCATGATGGGCGCGAGGAGGACCACCACGATGAGGCATTCCTCTACCGCCACCGAAGAATCCATGGCCCCAAGTCCAAGGGGCAAATGGATCCGGAGGACCCTGGGGTCCTTGCTCATTCTCAGCACCGTCTTCGCGGTTCTGGCCAGAGCGAGATTGTTGAGCGCCTTGCTGTTCAAGACTTGCGATGAAGTCCCAGAAAGGCGCTGACTGGTTCATGTATGCAACTGAAGGCATATTGATAATTTGTAGATTATGATAATGGACTGATGAGAAGGTGTAGACTGAGTGTCTGGTTAATGTAAAATATCGCCTACCTCTTCAAGCATATTATACACAGCAAAAGGCTCCAGGCATCACTTTGCACGTGCAAGCGTACGTACGTGCGACCCCCCTTCGCTGTTATCGCCACAGCTTCCAGTCAGTCACACTATACGCCATCGATATCGAAAGCCAATGGCATGCTATATTTCAAGTTTCCTCAGAAACATACAGAAACAACGAGAAGGATCATCGATGACAAGCTCCTCTATGCAGTGTCTAGAGCGTTGTCTGACCACGTTATAGGTAGGCAGTAGGGTGTTGCGCGTCCGAGTGGTCGGTGAAACCGGAGGCTAGTTTCCTCCGATGTGGCGGTGGCTGTAGCAAAGAAGATATGATTGGCTGCCTGGGCTACAAAAAGGGTGTGCTCAAGGCATGGCTGACAAGACTGTCGGTAGCTTCTATTGTCCGAGTTGGATGTTAAGTGACCAATGCATTAGAATGATAAGGAAGGACGAGGAATGATGAGAAAGAAAGGGGGAAGTGTGTCAAGAGGGCTCTTGGTCGTCAACGACATGAGTGAGGCTGTATCTTGACTAGGAGAACGTATACCCCGTAGTCTGGTAATCTCTCCTTTTTTCCATTAGGTATAGAGTATTGGTTTACTTACAGACTTTGGTTTATGGCAATCATTCGATGTTCCTTAGATTCCTTGAGCTGGATCTAGAACAAGTTGCAACGAGCAAGTATGTCAAGGTGCCAAGAGAGTAGCTCACCAAAGGAACCAGTTACAACAAGTTGATGACGCATGATTCGATGATATCTTGTCTTGCACAAGGCTGGGGTGGCGAGACTGTCCAAGCAGGAACGGCGCGGGGGAGGGGTAGCTGCCATTAGCTCTGCCGCGAGCTCTGCCATGACGCTATAGGTTTGCAACAAGCAATGGTGCCCCACCTAAACTTCTCTTTCCACTGCTTTCAACCATCCACTCTAATCTCCACTCACATCTTCTTTTCACCTCCACTGAAATCAATTTCTGCAACTTCAATTGTTAACAAAGGAAAAATACAACCACCATGTCCACAGCCATCCCCACCTCCACCTCCGTCCACGAGTCTGCTGTCATCGAGGCGCCCTTCAGCGATGTCTGGCACCTGATCAAGCTCCAGGACTTCAGCAAGTTCTGGACCAAGCTCGAGAAGAGCGAGTTCGTCAAGGGCACATCCGACGAGACCGACATCGTCAAGTGGACATTCAAGGACGGCACTGAGCTCGAGGTGAAGCAGGAGGAGCACTCAGTACGTAATTTTTTCATCCTTTCTGTGGTTTCTTTTTTTTCTTCACAAGTCGCTAATTTGGAAAATTTTAGTCCATCGACCACTTCATTACGTACTCCGTCATTACTTCCAAGCCAGAGCTCTCATACTCTTCGGTCGTCTCTACCATTCGCGCATACCCCGTCACATCTGGCAAGCACCAGGGACAGACTTTCGTCACATGGTCTGGCAACTTCAGCAGTGACGCTGATGCCAGTATGTACTCGCTTTCTTTTGATTTTACTTTCCAGGCTAACATACTCTAGGTGTGATTCAAGACGCCAAGTTCAAGCGCCGCGAGGCTCTCGCCGACCTTGCTCAGGCCGCTTCGAAGAAATAGTGTTCGAAACCAAGGCACTGCGGCGAATCGAGTCCGCAGAACTTTACATTTACGGGTGACTTTATCGTGGGTGACTTTATCGCATAGCCGCCAAAGTTGCCCTGTAGCTGCTGAAAAGTAAATGTCAGCGTATGCTAGAAACTGGATGGAAATTGTCTTGTATGATAGTAGTAGCGTCAAAGAAAATGAACGGCACAAACACTTCGTATCCACTGCCAAGTTGGAAGTGATGAACAGGGTTGATTAAGAAATGGTTCAAGTTGTTGATGCACATTATGTTTGTTTTTCCCACTTGCCAGACGTCACTATGCAGAAGAAACTTGGTGGCTGGCGGAACATGTTCGCCAAGACCAGGAGAATAATGAATTTGTCACTGAAGTCCAACAAGATACACTCATAAATCAACATCATTCAACTATATGCTTTCCTTCCTAACAATGTCATTTCAGATGCTACTTATAAATCGCTACAAGAAAGTAAAACTATGGACATTTCCAGATGAAATATGCGGCACCAAACCGCACCACATCAACAGCGCTGGCGAGAAAACAGTACAAAATTGCCATAAAAAACGGAAACCCATCCCAGACCAGGGGTATCTTGAAGCAACTTTCTTTTTTTCATTTCGCCCTGCAAATGCTCCCAAAACACCCATTGGTATCCAATCCAGATCTCGGATTGTTTTCCGTTTCCTGGAAGAAAACGCCAAAGGATAATGAAACACAAAACAACGGCAGGGTATAACGGTATTCATCGACCGAGTTCTCCTCTTAAGCAGGCTCACGCTGGTCAACCAGTCCATCCCATGTCGCCGCCTTGCTGACCGCCCGGTTGCCCCATCCGCTGAGCCTGCTGCTGTGCTTGGCGCATCATCATCATCTGCTGCATCTGCTGCTGATTCATCTGATTCATCTGGTTCATGCCTTGCATACCTTGCATGTTCTGCATGCCTTGCATACCAGTGTTCATCTGCCCGTTTTGCATGCCGCCCATGCCGCCGTTCATCTGGCCCATCTGGCCCATGTTCATGCCTTGGACATTTCCCATGTTGCCCATGGCGTTCATGCCTTGCATCGTGCCTTGCATGCCGCCCATGGCATTCATGTTGCCCATCATACCCTGCGGTAACTGGCCACCATTTGCCATGGCCTGCTGGCGCATTTGCATGATTCGGTTCTGATTTGCGGCTGCCTGGCGTTGCTGTTGGAGAAGCTGTTGATACTGCTGCATTTGCATTGGATTGGCAGGGTTGGCATTCTGCATGCCCCCCATTTGACCCCCGTTCATTTGATTGCCCATGCCATTCTGCATCTGTGCCATCTGCGCCTGTTGCTGTTCGCGTTGTTCCCGCTGTTTGATTTGTAGCTCCATATGCTGCATCTGCTGCATGATCTGTGGGGGTATGCTTTGCGTGTTGCTGTAATTCTGCATAACTGTTGCCTTTTGTTGCTGATACCTTAACCGCATCTGTTGCAAGCTCATGTTAGCAAAAGCCATGCCTTGTTGAGGCATAGCGTTTTGCGGCATGGCCCCTTGGGTTGATATGTTTTGCATGCCCATTTGCTGTTGCTGCTGCTGTTGGTTTTGGTGCTGCTGTTGCAGTTGACGGAAATAGTGCTGTGCCAGCTGCTGGCGGTAGGCCTGCGGGTTTTGATTGGGAGGGACACCAGTTTGCTGAATATGTTGCTGGGCCTTTTGGAATGCCATTTGCTGCATTTGTTGTTGTTGATTACCCGGAGATCCTCCTTGTTGCTGCAGCTGCTGCATCCGCATCTGTTGCACACGAAGCTGCTGCATTGCTTCGGGGGTCATGTTTTGACCGGGTTGGGGTGTCTGCATCATCATCGGTGTCTGGCCTTGCATCGCCATAGATGGGCTATTCTGATTCATGCGACTCGGCGTAGGCGTCATGTTACGATTCGGCATTGATGGGTTCATGACTGGGGTACCCTGAACAATATGGGGTGTACCAGTGCGGCTTGGATTTTGTTGCTGGCTGATTGATCGGGCCATTTGGTTCTGGTGATGGGAGATAGAAGACGGCGGTCGCGCTGGACTGTTGATGGCCTGGTTGGAAGCCGACGGCACCATTGGAGTGCCCCCAATGGGGTGTGAGGCTTGACCACCGACCCGTGGGGATGCCGCAGAGGCAGTCATGGGTGTCTGTTGGCGTATCGTTGGCGAAAATTGGGACTGTGTTGCTGATTGAGGCGTCTGTGTAACTTGTGCTGCCGCAGCATTCGCCATTTGGTGCTGTGCTGCCGCAGCGGCCCGTAAGGCTTCGTTCTGCTGCAATTGAGTCTGTTGCAATTGGTTCTGCTGGAGCTGCGCCTGGTGTTGTGCTTGTTGCCGAAGGGCGGCTTGTTGACGTTCAGCAACTTCAGCCTGTTGTCTGCTCTCCAATTCCCTCTTCCTCTGAAGTTCCGCCTCCATTTGTGCCTGTCGTTTAGCCTGAGCAATGCGAGCGTCCTCCTCCTTCTTTCGTCGATCATTCTCTTCATGATTGGCCCGGATATTGGCAATGGTCTTGAAACGTGCAAATGTTTGCGAGTTGGCGGCTGCACGCACTGCGTTGTCATCATTTCCAGTAGCTGCGGCTGCCATGACGCTTTGGAATTCGTCACCAGCAAGCATGAAACGCTGTAGACCCTGCGCTTCAGCTTCGTCAGCAGCCAATTCAGCAGTCGTCCTCTTGCGGGTCTTGCGGGGAGGCGCAGGATTCTTGTTGTTCGGATGCGTAATAGCATCCATGAGTGCAAGCGATTCTCCAAAACTCTTAGTGGGTTCCAAATATAGCGGTGGACAGGTAGTGTTCAAGACTTCGGCTTCGAACTCGTGAAGATTGGTGTCGTCGAGGACCATCTTTTGGCGCTTCGGGCTGGGGCCGTTGGGGAAGGTCGGCGTCGAAGGTACACCGGTCATCGGGGTTGGCGGCATACCTGCAGCTCTGCCTTGAGCCTGCATCCTTTTCAAGGCGGCCATATCTGGAACAGGCGTCGTAGCCAGTAGCTGTATGTCGGCCAAGTGTGACAGCGGAGTTGGGAAGAGTACCACGGTCCTGACCTTGCCGAGTCCTGCCTGCTTGTTTGGCGTACCGTTCTGGCCAGGAGCAGGCATGTTCTCTTTGTCCTCTTTGACGTCCTCATCTTTGCTCTGAACCGGTGGTTGTGTAGGCTTCTGTTCAGGCTTGTTGACTGGAAAGGGAGCATAAGGAGATGGAGTGATGAAGTTGTTATAGTTATGGATTGAGAAAGCGTTGGTGGACCCTTCTCCAGTGTTGTTGGCATCGTCCTTGGGTTTCACACCGCTCGAGCGGTAGTCGTGCACTTCGACAATGAGGCAGTTGTCGTACCAGGGTGTATTGAACTCATACAGCTCCTCTACCATGTTGTGGGGTACCACCTTGTCCTTGATAGCCTGGAGAAGCTCGCGCATGGGCGAAGCATATGACAGTGTCTCCTGGGAGTCATTGAGACGGAAGTGCTTGGGGTGCAGGTATACGCGGAGGGAAGGCGGCTTTCCCTTGTGCTTGGCCAGGATATCTTGCTGCGTGTATACTGGGCCACATGTTAGTTGTTGCAAGGCATATGCTCCTTTTGGCGAAGGACATACCAAATTTCCTGGCCTCTTCTGGCTTCGCGCTGTCGTCCTCCATGTTGGACTGGCGGGTGGCGGTGCGCGCGACTCCGGGTCGTTGGGACTCCCGACGCAAACGTGGAGGTTGCGACGGGCGTGCAACTGCAACTGAACCCGACATGGTGGTGGTGACGGAGCTGGAGCTGGTGAATATGTCGGTGGGGCGGCTGTGGGACGGGCTTGCCGCCGGGGGAACCAGAGCCGACGGCGGCTGGAAGGCTTGCAGTTGCGGGACACAAAGGGTGCGCGCAAAGGTGCGCGCGACACCCACCGAGGGATGGCAGTGCGCGGAAGAATTGACGGCTCGAGGGGGCGGAGGGTGTTATTGGTGATGTTCTGACGCGTAGAGAGAGCCGACGTGATGTTAGTTGATGGCCCGAGGCGATGCGCCGCTGCCTTGCAACCGCCAAGCAGGGGTCCTAGGGTTTCATCATCAGTCACGTGGCCTGCACCAATCCGACGACACTCCAACCATCAAGCCTCAACGCCACAACATCAACATCATCCCAGGCATGTGGCGCGGGGTTTTGCATATGCCCGTACACTCGGTACCAGAGTTTATTGTTTTCCGTCATCTCTAGGCTGGCTGGGTTGAGATCTGAATCTAATCGGCTTCAAAGATAACAAACCAGACATGGTTTCTCGCCCTTGGGTATGGGGCTTGCTATACAACGACATTGATCTCGTTGCCACTTACCCACCCCTCTACTGTCTCCTTCAAGATGTCCCCCAGATTCTTAATAGTCCTTTGCGAGAACCACGCTAAGTGCGGGCTCATGGTGATGTTCAGATCCTTCGTCTCCTCCTCGAGTAATGGTGTATCTTCAGGTCCACCAGCAGGCTCCACTTGATAGACATCAGTGGCATAGCCGGCGATGCGCTTCTCCTTGAGAGCCTGGACGACAGCTGCCTCATGCACGATGCCACCCCGCGCTATGTTGATGATGACAGAGTATGGATGCATCTTGGCGAGCTCCTGTGTGGAGATGAGATTGAGCGTCTCAGAAGTTCGGGGCAGCGACAAGACGAGTACGGTAGACTGGCGGAGGACATCGTCAAAAGGAATGCGGCCATCAGATGTATCGGGGGCCGGAAGAATGTCACTGAGTGCAGGTGTGGCGGGTGTCTTGCGACTCGCAACCAGTACGCGCATGCCGAGTGCATTGCCCAATGCAGCTATCCTTTTGCCTGTGGTCGTTGGTTATGATCAGCCCAGGATCTTGCATCCTAAACAGGGCAGGGAAAACGAGTAAAACGCACCCAGACCACCGTATCCGATAACGCCCATGACCTCGTCCCTGCACGTAATGGGTGGCTTGCCATCCGGAAGGCGCATGTAGTGGTTGACACTACCCTTGTCTTTCCATTCGCTCGGTTGTGCTCGCGTTATGCGGTCGAGCAACACGGTGCGCCTTCTGGCAGCGAAATAGAGGCTGATGGCGTGTTCTGAGACGGCGTCCAGATTAGCCCCCGGACAGTTTGTTACGCGAATGTTGCGTGACCGACAGGCATCGAGGTCGACTGGGTCGGTGCCTGTTGCGGAGACGGCTATGTAGCGCAGATTGGGGGTAATGGTGGGGTGCAAAGTTTCGGCATCCAATCTAATTGTCGTCACGATAATGATGGTGGCATTGCGGATGCGTTGGTGAAGTTGGTCACGCGACGAGGTTGATTCGTAGGCTGTGAGGTTGTAGGTAGTGCCCGGGGCAAAAGCGAAGCCGTCGACGGGGAGGGGCTGGTGCTGCTTCTCAAGAGCGACAATCTCGTGATGCATCATGAATCTGTGTATGTATATGCAGTATGTTCTGCCTCCCCTTCTCTCCATCTCCGCTTTATACCGGGCGCTGCTCCACACATGCACACCATGGCTCCAGTGCCCCCCACCCCATTGATAGCCATTACCGCATTTGACACTATAGGGCGCGTTCGGCCGGCGAGACAGCTGGACAAGTCTTGCAGAGCCACTGTCACCATCAATGCATCAGCCTCTCTACCTACCTGTCCCCCCTTATTCATACACTTGCTCCACGGATACGAGCCCATGCAGCTCCAGCCTAGTAACAGTAACGTAGAGTAGCTTGGGCGACCGTAGCCCCGGATCGCTGCCAGAATCTGGAGTGTGAGCCGAAGCGGGCGGCTGCCATGGCCCTCTTGGGAGATGCACTCGGACATGTCCTATTGGTTCGGCGCAAGATTCAAACACGGCGCGCTGCAAAATGCCTTCTTCACTCCCCACACGTTCATCATCAGCGCATGCCTCTGCTTGATGCTGGCCCTTGGTCAGCGTTGCATTGCCATTGCCAGGGACTCTCCTTGAAGCATGTCGTCAGGCGGCCGGCTCATCATCGGCTCGCAGCAGCGCCACGTCTGGCCCACTTCTAGAAACCCTCTCATTACCCAGGCAGTGGAGCGCGGAGCGTGGATGCATTAGGGCCTGCTTTCCACATGCTCGGTGTTTTTCCAAGACCCTCTGGGGAGCCCTATCCGAACCCGTCCCGCCAGCAATTGGATCCCAAGCTCGGCACACTTTTTGCCATCCGACATTCGTGTGGGTAGCCTGACAAGACTTGTCTCCAAACTGTCTAGTCGCCTTGGACCATGCGCCCACTGACGTTCCTCTGCAGCCCTTCAAAGCCTGCGCTGATCCGCCGTCTGGCACATGCCACAGACATTTGTTTTGCGACAACTTCCAAGGCCCATTCCGACTCCAGGCTCCCTCTTCACAGACGATAGCGACACGCCCACCATGTCTGACTACCGCTACGGCACCCAGTCGGATGCCTATGCCGCTGACCACGGCCATGCCCTGCGCCCCAATGGCATCGACAAGGACTCCAAGTTGGGCAACACCTACTCGGGCTCTGGAGACGATGTTGCTGGCAACAACGATCCAGATGGCCTCCTCGCTGCCATGGGCTACAAGGCCGAACTGGTGCGCTCAAGATCAACTGCCCAAGTCGCCTTCATGTCCTTCGTTTTGGCTTCCGTCCCTTACGGTTTGGCAACTACCTTTTACTATCCTGTAGTTGGTGGTGGCCCTACCAACATCATCTGGGGCTGGCTCGCTGTATCCCTCATCATCCTCGCCGTTGCCGCTTCCCTCGGCGAGATTACCAGTGTTTACCCCACCAGTGGTGGTGTCTACTACCAAACCTTCATGATTACGCCCCCCGCTTACCGCAAAATCGCCTCGTGGATATGTGGTTGGTGCTTCGTAGTCGGCAACATTACTATTACTCTCTCGGTCAACTTTGCTACCGCTCTCTTCGTCGTGGCATGCGTCAATGTCTACGAATCCTCTCCAGGTGTTGGCGTACTGGCAGGCGAGCCCTACCAAGTTTTCCTCATCTTCTTTGCCATCACCCTCCTCTGCAACTGCGTGTCTGCCTTTGGCAACAAGTACTTGCCCTGGCTCGATGTGAGATTGCCCTTTTCACTCCCTTGCTGTATGCGCATCACTTACACTCGAACAGACCTTTGCCATTTTCTGGACCTTTGCCGGTGTGATTGCCATTGTCATATGCGTCCTTGCCATTGCGAAGAATGGTCGTCGAAGCGCCGAATACGTCTTTACTGAATTCGATCCCTCTAACTCTGGATGGGTCCCTGGATGGTCTTTCATGGTCGGACTCCTCCACGCTGCCTACGCAACCTCCTCCACCGGAATGATCGTCTCGTGAGCCTCCCCTTACCTGCCCAAGCAACTTGAAACAGCTTGTTCCTGCCCAATGCACACTCCCAAGCGACACTTCCCAAGCAACAATTCCTATGCGACACACCCTTAGCAGCCCATATACCATTGCGACATCCGCCTTGTCCATATGCAGTAATTCCCACCCAAACCAAGTCAAATGCTAACAGTTGACATAGGATGTGTGAAGAAGTCAGAGAGCCAGCCACCCAAGTCCCCAAAGCCATGGTCGCCACCGTTGCATTGAACACTATCTGCGGCCTTGTCTTCCTCATCCCTCTCGTATTCGTTCTCCCCAACCAGGCCGACCTCGCAGCTTTGGTTTCTGGCCAGCCCGTACCCGTCATTATCAAGAGTGCAGTAGGATCATCTGGTGGAACTATTGGATTGCTCGTTCCCCTCCTTGTCCTAGGACTGATCTGTGGTATCGGATGCACGACTGCTGCATCTCGTGCTACCTGGGCCTTCTCTCGTGATGGCGCTATCCCAGGCTACAAGCTGTGGAGGACTGTCAACACCAAGCTTGACGTGCCGCTCAACGCCATGATGCTCAGCATGGGAATTCAGATCATCCTTGGTGTTATCTACTTCGGTGCCGCCGCCGCTTTCAATGCCTTCTCTGGCGTTGGTGTCATTTGCTTGACATTGAGCTATGCAGCCCCTATCCTGGTCTCGCTCCTTACCGGCCGCAAGCAAGTCAAGACTGGAAAATTCCACCTCGGAATGCTTGGTACCTTCTGCAACGTTGTCGCTCTTGGTATGTTCTACTGTATACGCCCACAGTCAAGTGGAAACTAACAATCTCTACAGCCTGGTCTGCCCTTGCCACTCCTCTCTTCTGCATGCCCACTTTCCGCGAAGTCACCCCCGCAACTATGAACTACGCCTCCGTTGTACTTGCCGCTGTCGTCGTCGTCTCAACCATCTGGTATTTCGTCTGGGGTAAGAAGAACTACGAGGGACCCCCAACGCACGAGGACGCTATACTTGAGGCTAGGAGAGCCAGCATGGCAAGTCGCTAAGAGAGATGCTCTAATGTGTACGATGATAGCATCACGCCAAAGAAGTGTGAAAGAGGGCGAAACTCCATGAGTTGTTGTCCTCCAATCTCGACTTTGCAATGAGATATCGAGCGCATTCATTGTATAAGACGTTATTGTTATTTTTCCCCAGTAATGCAATCTTGATACCCCTCCTCGATTTCCTGTACATACTACACAGCCTCCTTTCCTCACCACTAAGCACTAGAGACAATGCAGTACGTAGGATTCTGACCTGGTAGTATGTGTGAGAGAAGTTTCCCCCGTATCGCCGAGAGTAGCACCGCAAACTGCAACATTGCCAGCCCCAACAAACCCGATCCACATAGCGAGTCATAGTAGCAAGAAAAAAAGCGCGCACGGTCGCACACATAGAACACGGACCATCCCATGGGTTCCTTTGATTCCTGTTTGCAAGAGATAAGAGAATGAGAGAGAGGCATTTGTTAGCCAATTAGCAAACCGCATCCCTATTTTGCCCTTAATCCCCCCCCAAAAAAAAATCACACAGGAGAAGGGAACTACAGAAAGAAAAAAATTCTTTCCGATTATGAAACCTTGTCTGGGATCGATTGGTCAAATTGTTCACGACAAGCGAGAGAGGCTCAGCCTCAAACGCAGACGTTTCCAAGCGACATGTACATGTTTTCTATTGCATATGCACCAGAGACCGCATGCGTACTTTAGCCGCGCCAGCGAGCGTGTTCTGCGGTTAATTGGCTGTTTTTTTGTGCACAGACGGGCTGGGCAAATGTGCGGGCGGCGCGAAGGTACCCGAGGAGGGGAGCTGAGAGACAGAGAGGCGCGGATGAGCCGCCTACGTAGTTGATTGTACTTGATGTTGCATGCAGGGACTATGTATTTGTATGCATGTACGATGGTTGCGCCCATGTATACACTTACGTATACAAATAGCCTTATGTACTACACTGGCGTTTTCGTTGGATGCGTATCACGAACTCGCTTCCTGGCTTCGAGTTTCTCTCTCTCCTCCTTTCGGTCGTTCGTCGGTCGTACTCGTGGGTGGCCATAGTCTAGGGCCGGATAGACCGGAATATAGGCCCAGGAGAGGCGTACTGTTAGTAAAAAGATGGGGAGTGAGTGGGGACAGGAACAGGAGGGTATGATGTCAGAGGCGGAAGGTGCACTGTTGTGATACGTAATTGGTGTTTTGGTAGTAGTAGTAGTTAGATGCAGGAAAAGTAAGATTGATACTAGGGATTTTCTACTGAAGCGAAAAACCTCCTCTCACACACACATGTAGGTATGGAGGCTGTTATCGCAATATCCTCTGATACTCCTTCTACGCTACTGTCTTGCTAGTCCTACTTGCTGGTCTCTTTCAAGTCGATAACAGAGCATTTCGACTCTGTCTCGATTTCTAGATTTCGCAGCTACTCTATTATTTCCCTCAATTTAGTCTCCGCCAGTGACCTTTCGTCAGTGGACTTGAGCGGAGAATCAGGGCGGCCCAAAATAGGTGTGCATATCGCACTGCTAACAGTAGTCGCAGATCTAGACTGTGAGATCAGGATCTTCATCGATATTGGCATTGCAGTCTGTCGTTGTGTAGTCGGATTCTCAATGAAGGGTTCCTCATTAGGAACATTAGTGGAAACAGATGTATTGGTGTTATTCGAGGTCGTATCAGAAGAAAGAAGGTGAGCTGTTCCTTTGGCAAAGCCGATAGCGTCACTACGAGGTAGCCTGAGATGGCTATCTGCGCTGAATGGTTTGAATGAAACACGAGAAAAGGGTTGCGAAATCTGTTCCCAAGTTGTAGAAAGGTCTACCGACCTATGTCTCCGTATACCTGGGTCGGTTTTGGAGAAACTGGTCCTCGTCTCCATTGATGATCCGTCCAGTTCACTGTCGTCGTCATCCAGAATACCATCAAATAGCCTGGTCATTAGATTCTTTTTGCGAGGAGCTTCACTATTTTTCTTCTCCTTCTTCGACACATGCCGAGGACTAAGGACTTCCCCAAGCATGCCCTTGAAGTCGCCCTCGTGCCTCTTCTCCTGTCGGTCGTCAGAATGGCGCTCGGTAAGAATAGACGAAAGAGTGCTTTTAATTGGACTATGCAGATGCTCTCTAGATTGGAGTTTGGGCGAGTCAGTATTGTGGGCTTTAAGTGAACCTGTTGGGGTGGTGTTCGTTTGAGCAATGATGGGCCGTTGATGGATTATCAGCGGCTCTTCGGACGGCTCAGGGATGGTCAGGTCAGCATCGAAGTCGATCCATGGGGCCACCTCTCGGACGTTGACTTTAGGTAGAGTGCTGGCAGTAGTATGGGTCGTTTTCGTCGTATGTGCACTGCTTGCATTGGAACCTGCCGGGCTTGAACGCCCATTTGGACTGTTGGATGTCAGATCGGCTTTTGCGTGAGTGTTTCCTCGGTTGGATCGAGAAGGAATAGCCAATGTGCTATTCTTGTCCACTACTGTGAAGTCCAACGGGTCTGCAACAGGAGCAGTCTTTGGCGAGAGTGCTTCATCATCTCCTAAAACACGAACGTGTGCTTCTTCGTCGAAATGAAGACGTTTAACCATGTCTTTACGTAGTGCGCTTGGGGCAAGATCGAAAGCTAGTGGCTTTTGTACCGCATGCGGAGAAGGTGGAGGCATAATGGGGCGCACAGCCTTGGATGTGGGATAATGATCTTGATTGTCATATGCTGCTTTTGCTTCGTTTTCTCTACCGTCTCGGCTCAGCTTGCGAAGGCGCTTGTATTCTGCATAATCGTCGATTTCAGTCGCAGTAGGCCGATTGATAACGACATCCATGGGCGTCTGGTCAGCACGCTCGAATCTGACATCGAAGAGAATGTCGCCCTCTTTCCATTGCCCGCCGGATGTGTCTGCACTTCTTGCTTGCTTGATAGACCAGCCTTTGACGCTGTACACACCTTCATACCTTACTCCAGCCTTTGGACCCCATGTGCTATTGATACTATGGCTGCGAAGTACCCGCACGGGATCTCTGCTTCTCGGAGTAGCGGAGGTAAGTCGAAATTTGCCCTTGTCCTTCTGCAGAACCCGGTAGGTGAAGCGCGATTCGCAGCTGGCTTCGAGTTCACCAGTGTCTTTTAGCAACAAGGCATATGCCCCGTGTTTATCATAAGTTGTGCCACCATCACAGGACTCGAGGCCAATAATGCCGGCATGATGTGCGAACAAAGGATTGATCCACCAGCTACAAAGGTTGTCAACACGAATTTGGCCAGGACGATATGCTCAATTTACCTTCCAGCGACAAAGCCTAGGTCGCCTAGTCTATGAGATCGCTTGGGGTGAATATTTTGGGGACATGTCTTGGCCCACCGCTTGAGTAACGCCTGTTTGCAGATATTAGTCCAGACACGAAGTAGTAGTGATAGTTGCTTACGTCGCGAGATTGCTCGTGCACGCTGGCAATTCCCTCAAGCCGGCCCCCTCTGCCGTACAAGAACGGGTGAACTGCATTCAAAGAACCAAACTTGGCGGTCCAGGTATCGATGATCGTATCGCAGTCATCACACAACCGGCCAGGCCAGCGGGTCGCCACTCCAGCGATGTCCTTCACCGCTCTGTGAATGCCACTCGCTCGCAAGTCAGATAAGGTGATGTTTTTGGCGTTCTGAAGAGCAAGAAATATCTCGTGTAGGGTTATGATGTCATCGGGTTGAAGCACATCAGGGCCGTCACGAGCGACACGTAAGTCCAGCTGATCGCGAATCCATTTCGTGACTTCCTTGAGCCTAGATCGAGAGAGTTTAGGGTTGCTAGGAGATGCGGAGGTGTGGTGAGAAGACACAGTGAGTGGAACCGACACGTTTGATGCACGGTCGGGTGCCATATCGTGAGCACTAACGTGATTGAGAGCAAACCAAAGGATACGTGACGCGGATAATGCAAGACTGAGGCTGAGTGAATTGACAAGAGTGGTAGCTGTTGCTGGAGGTTTTCGCGCTAGGACCAAGGACTCCTGCCCATCTGAGGGACATGGGATTGCACTTTCCACCCATGGTACACACTGATTGGCTATTTCCTTTGCCCATTCACCTCACTTCTTGCTATGTTTTCGCTTTTTCTTCTTGCGGCCTTTGGGCTCCTCCACCACCGGTACTACTGCTTCTTCCACTTCGCCATGATCACTGAAGCCACCCCATTCCTCATCCTCAGAAACCGCAACCTCAGTTACTTGTACCGGCTGCTGATTGCCTTCACGAATAAAGGCAGCCACGAAGAAACCCATTGTACCTTCTTCAGTACCTTTGTCACAACGAATACATGCTTCCAATACATCTTTCTTGAATGACTCGTCCATGTCACCATCTATCTTATCCTCTTCCCAGATGCCTCTTCTGTGCCATTTTTGCAATCCATCCACTTGCTGATCCCGTTTGAGAATCCTCCACTCCCGCTCCTTTGCGACCGAGGATGCCAGCGCCTGGAAAACGACGCCTTCGTTCTCCTCGAAATGGATCGAGCATGTAGAGTAAGTGATTTTGTGCGCACTCTCGAACCGCATGGCGTGAGTGAGAATATGAAGTTGAAAGCTAGACAAGGCGGCCAGTCGTTCTGTCAATTTGCCCTGTATTGGTGTCTCTTCAGGTGCCGAATCATCCATGTCCAGGTTCAGCGTCGGTTGCGCGTCGGCCTTTGTTGCCTCATCACCTCTCTTTCGCTTTTTTCCCTTTTCTGGCTTATGTGATGTTGTTTGGGAGCCAGGTGCATCAGGAAGGTGCATTTTGATCGCATCATCGCGCCCAACAATACCGGTACCTGAGCAGCTTGGATCAAGAAGTATAGCTCCAACGTTGGCGTACTCGTCTGACCCAGGTTTAGCGGCTATGAAGTCGCTGTTACCCTTTACCTGGACAATGCTATCTGCCGACGCCAACTTGACCATCTTCTGTAATGTAAAAGTTCTGCCTTTGTCGCGCTCGAAAGCAATGACCTTTTGTTCCTCGCCCGGCTGCCTTCTATCGGAAACAATGGCGGCAAGATGTGTGGTTTTATTTCCTGGCGCCGCGGTCGCATCAATGACATGACCATCGTCTGGGGTCGGATCCAGAAAGTACGCGGGAAAGCAAGATGCTTTATCCTGGAATATTATCTGACCCTTTGTGTAAGCAATGGACCTGCTGAGATCAACCTTAGAGGGCAGCGCAAGCAAATTAGGGATGTTCGGGTCTTCGTAGTAGACTTTGGAGCTCTTTGGCGCAATGAGGACGTCCTTTAGGACTTCTGTCTTGGTATACCCAGAAAACGTCGTTGCAAGCTGTTCCTGTAATGTCGTCTTAATAGTATTGACGCGCACCCAGCGGGGATGTCTACTCTTCGAAGCATCGCCGTCTTCTTTATCCAGTCCACCATCATTCACAGCCGCTTTGAATGCTTCAAGAGTAGCAAATCCATGGCGTATACGGGCTTTCGTGAGCTCGGCGCTCAAGCGGGCTTTGTGTCGGGTAATGGCGAGCTTAAGTACGTGGTTGGCGGGTGCTGCGACACCATTCTTCGCAAGGAGTAAATCGTGTGAAAGCAGAAGGGCGAGAATTGGAGTCAGCTGAGATTCGTAAGCTATTTTTCATAGAAGAACATATTTGAGGTATAAACCTTCTTCTCTTCTGCGAGTAACTTGCACTTCTCAATCACATCCTTCAATACGAGCGACCATTTCGACGTTTCTGCAATCAGCGCAAAGAGCTGCCCAGGTGTGCTCTTCAAATCTTTCTTATTATATATGCGCGACTTGAGCGACCCGCCGACATTGTCGGAATTGGCGAGAATGGTCGCAGCCTCGTAGTAGAGTGACATGGAGACTTTGTCGCGTAAAACCAAAAAAAAACCTGCCCAGGAACTTTTTGGCGTTGAGACCGAGCTCCGACCTTTTTCCCCGCACACCTCCGTGATCCACCCGCTTTTATTAAGTGCCTTGGCCGTTTCTCCAATTCTCCACGCGCGATGCCACCTTGCATTGGATCTGCAGGGACGTGTTCATCACGATGAAATGTTTCCCGCAAATGCGACCACCTTCTAACAGATCGTCGCCCCGTCTTCATTTCCCAAATCTTAGTCTCACTTCTCGCCAAGCACATCTGCGATTAAATTTGAGGCAACAACCGTACTCGCCCAATTGTCACTCACGCATCACACACGAAAAAGGAATCAAAAATCGGGATGAAAAGTGTTTGATTTTCATCTACCTTGGTTCAAACATAAAAGAAAAAATATACATAGGAGCCAGTCCTAAACTCCCATATCCTTTCATCAAGTCCCTTTGGTCCACTGTTCCATGCCCTGGGGTATATATATATCGATTGAAGCAATTTCCTCCCAAAGCGAGTGTGAAGTGCTTCCTGTAGAAGAGGAAGACACCAAAGACAAAAGGGCATATGTATTGGTTGATACGCTGTACACAAAAAAAGAAGAAAAAAGGTCCCTCCAAAAGACGGTGGGCAAGAAAGTAAAAATGGTTCCAGTCATCATGTCATATGTAAACAACACTCTATGCTTGCGCAAAGATGGCCAGTGTAGCGCAGAAGTTGGAGCGATTGTCCTCATCCTTAGCGAGACCCTTGCCACCCGAGGTGATCATGTTGACCGAGGCCTTTGTCGAAAGACCAAACCAGTTGACATTGGTCGAGTTGACAACTTCGTTCATGTGTTCTTGGCAGTTCTGGCCAACAACACAATCCTGTGCGTAGTTTTGGAAGAACGAGTAGGTACCCGCGCCGTAGCTCCAGATGCTCTCGCTACCGTCAGTGACGCGAACGGCCCACGCAGCCTTGGCCTGGCTCATATCCGGATCAAAGAACTTGTCATTCTTGGTGAAAGGAACGGCAGCAGTGGGGTTTGGCTGGTAGTAGGGAGTCTCGGTCTGGATGGCGCCGTAGAAGATGTCCTTTGCACCGGAGAACTGGTACTGCGACATTTGAGAGTGCTCAGAGGCGGTTCCGTACATCCAGACTGGACCTTGGGATTCAACAAGCATACCGCGACCGTTGTAGATGTCGATCTGAGAGTGGTCGTCCTGATCGAGCTCGTGGTCGGCAGTCCAGAGCCAGACGTTTTCGAAGTAGCCGTTCGAGTTCTTGGTGATGTGCAGTTGCATGAAGGTACCAATGCACTCTGGGTTGGGCTGATGTTCGGCATCGGGGTTTTTCTTGCAGTTGGAGGACTGGAGCTTGGTACCGGCGTAGCCACCGACACGGAAGTGAACGTCCCAGAGACCGGCTGCACCATTCTCGGCGTTGATGTTCCATTCCATCAAGATACCACCAGGAGCGGGACCCTGTGTACCGATGATGAGATCAGAAGCCTCAAAAGTACCCTTGTCGCCGCTCTTGGCACCAATCTTGAAACCAGGCTTGGGGTCGTTCATGTCAGAGAAGAACTTGCCGGTGATGAGGAGGGTGCTGTAGACTTCGCCAACAATCTTGACGTTCTTCTCGGCAGGGATGGTAACGGTCTTGGTGATGAGGTAGGTACCGTGGTCGACATGGAGGATCTCACCTTCCTGAAGGCCATCAATAGCAGACTGGAGAGCGGCAGTGTCATCAGTCGCACCGTCGCCTTTGGCACCTTTGGACTTGAGGCTGACAAACTTGGAGACATCCACATTTTCATACTGGGGCCTGCTGCGCTCGAACCAACCATTCTCACCCTGGAGGCTCTTAGGCTTTGCAGGTGCACCGCTGATATCGCCTTGAACACGGCCCTGGGTCGACCCAGCAGCAAGAGCGTTACCCTGAGCCCAGGCGTCGATCTTGCGGCCACCTTCAAGGATAGTGTTGCCAGCAGCACCAACAATAGCCTTCTCCGACCCACTGAAGTCGACATTGTCAAGGATGAGGGTACCGCCAGTGGTGGGGATGCTGTTCTCAGTGAAAGAGGAGTTGATGCCAATGGGAGTGTTGGTGAGCTTGCTGTCAAGAAGGAGAACGGAACCAACAGTCTGGTTAGAAGGACTGTTGGCCATGTCGAGACCGACCTTGCAGTTGTTGATGAAGATGCTCTTGTAGGTGAAGACCCAGTTCCAGTTTTGGAAGATGGCGGTACCGCAATCATTGAAAGTCATGTTGCGGATGGTGAATTGCTGGGAACCCATGAAAGCACCAATGGCACCACCATTGAAGGTCAGGTCAGTCATGAAACCACCAGAGCCGTTGTCCTGGAAGATGCCCTTCTGGTCCTTGCCAGCGTCACCCTTGGCCATCTCGAAAACAATGTTTTGCAGACTGGTGGCTTGAGAGACCTGCCAGTGAATACCAGCGGCGACCTTTGTAGCAGAGATGTCGATAACGAAGTTGCGGACCTGACGGTAGAAGTTGTTCTGGTTGGTGTACCAGTTGGCTCCATCGCCACCTGGGATATAGGGGTCGGCATCGATCAAGCCCATACCTTCGAAGTCGGCAGTGGCCTTCAAGACAGGCATGTTCAATGGGTCGCCGATGAACTGGGTGTAGTAGTATTGAATGATGGGCTTGCTGATAATGTAGGTACCGGCAGGGAAGTAGATGAGAGCTGGGGTAGTGGTTGTGGAGTCGCAGCCCTCACCACAACGGTCGCCGTCAGCAATAATCTTGTTAATGATCTCGGTATCGTCAGTAACGCCATCACCCTTGGCTCCTAGCTCCTTGACGTTACGGAAGACTTGGTAGGATTGGGGGTTAGGGTTGAAAGCAGCCTGGCCTTGACGCTTGATACTCTGCATCCAGAAACCAGAACCACCAGCCTGTGGTGCTGGTGCTGGGGCAGCTGGTGCTTGAGCAACAGGGACGGCAGAAGATGGGGCTGCGGAAAGGAGAACACGTAGCGTCAGGAGAAACGCTCCGGCGCCGAAAGCCACCATGATGACAGTGCGTAGTGTGAGTTTCGGTGTTGTCAAGTGTGGTAGGAATGATCCAAAGGACTGGAAGAATGGTCGTCAGTTGACCTGCAAAAGACGATATGTTGTTTTCTGTTGTATCGAGTGGGAAAGTGCACAAATGCGCAAGTGGTTGTGTCAAAGTAAGAGGTTGGCTAGCAACGAATGTGGAAGAAGGTAATGGGGAAGGTTATTGTGAGCGTGAATAAGAAAAAACTCTCAACAACAGTAAAGAATGACTGTGAACAATAAGAAGTGAAGCAACACAATGAGTGCTGAAAGGGCGTGACAGCGAACCTGCGTGAAGGGGAGAGGCTCAGGGAGGGGGCACTGCAGCCTTGTATAAGTACGGGATGTGTTCGCGAGGGGACTTACAAAGGATTCGTGTGGCCAATCGCGTTTCTGGAGACGACTTGTTTCATGTTTGGAAAGAGGGGCGTGTGGTGTTCGCTGTCCTGGTCTTGCATCATTTTCCCCAGCCCTGAATAGATGTGTTGTACGTTCTTGGACGCTGCCACGGCAGCTGTGTTTGATAGCCTCTTCATCATACTTCTGCGCGCCATCGCGCTCGTACAGAAGCTCAACGCTCTCTGGTATTCCGTGATGAGGCCTTGTGGCCGCATCTGTAAGCCGCATGGCCGCCTCCTAGAGCTGTCCTCGGAACGCGTAGCCTGAACGCAGCCCAGTCCCGGTGGCGTAGATCCAAAATTACTTAGGGTGTGCACTAATCGAGAGGACGGCAATATTCCCGTAGAAGGCTCTCTCCGCGTGAAACAAGCGGAGGTTGTAGGCCAGTGAGTGGTGGAGGATGTTCTGAGGGTGGAAGGCGAGCGTTTGTCCCTGGATCGAAGACAGGGATGTGGTTGGCAGCGCCACTCCCGGCGGTCGGAGGTGCGACGGCACTGAAACGCCAGGCCATCGACAGGCCCTCGTTGGCCGTTTTTGGAGATGAGGCCTTATGCCAGCGCTTCAACGCCGCATGCAAAGAAGGCGCCATTCGACGCTACGCTCCGGGAACAATCCCATGTGGATGCACCGATGTGCTGCTAATTGTCCATCCACATCAAGGGCCCGCGGCAGGAGTCATGGGCCTGGGCAGCAATTCACCCGACCGCGAGGCTGCTAACTGCTGCTGCTGTTGCTGCTCCTGCTTGTGCATAGTATATCCCCACACAGTGAATTGGACATGGAAGGGACTGGTCATGTCGGTGACGAACGCTGTGCGCGACGTTGGATGAGCCTTGCGGGTGCAAAACAAAGATCAAAGAAACACTCTCCGTCGCGGCTTTGCGCCATGCCCCACGAAAGTACCACATGATGCAGGTACGCAGATTATCGCATGCCGTGATATGCCAATCGCCGCCTGAGGCTCACACGAAACAGCCTCTTTGTTTCGCGCTGCCACTGGGCATGGTGCTTTTTTCATTTCAACCAAAGTGGAGCGGTGGGTCATGGGTATTGTTTGCATGAAACGTTCAAGTTTAGCCAGCCATCACCCGACGCCTGTGCAGATCCCTTGAGCTTAGCAGAACCTTGATATACATCTTATCATATCGCCTACGGTATATTGTATTCTGCTTCGCCAGGCGAAAATTATTCAGAGGCAAATAGGGGAGTCTGGATCGCGTGTACATGTCACCGTGCAGACAAGATCCAGGGCCATTGATGAGCCTACCAATGGCTTCAGCAAACACATCGCTAGTTCGGCAAGTCTCTTACACTACTCAAACAGGATATACCAATCGTTCACCACAAGGCCTTTGCATCCTCTTCTTGGCTAGCGGGCCGCTTGGTGCTATATCTGCTGTTAGTCTCCTCGCTCAACATGCGGCTAATTGTATCGGCAAGTCGCTGGATGCCTTCTGCGAGCATATTTACTTCCTCCCACTGCCAACAAGTTAGCCCAAACCCAAGTTGCAGCTATCGACTCATACCGCAAAGCAGACTCTGATGTCGTTGCTGAAAGATGTGCCTTTGTGTTTAGTGTCGCCGGGGACCTGTATCAGTTAGCGCGAGGACAAGGAGGGCAGTGGACAAGACGACTCACTTCGAACATTTCGCCCTATGCAATCATCATCATTAGCCATTCACATGTTGTGGACCGGGAATATGATGGAGGCTTAGGCTTACTTGTGCAACAGCCAAGTTGTCATCCTCCTTTGCGCGTTGTGCTACCTCGGCGCCCTTCAGTGGCGGAGGCAGTGTGAGCCAGATGAAGTATCCGCCCACAACTTCACGATCAGTCTGCGGAACACGAACCCCTAGGGGAAGGAGGTACTTGTTGATGGCTTCCATCATATGCCTGTATCGGTCACCATACGCGGGTTGAAGCGTATCGTACACGTAGCGCTGGAGTTCACCAGTCTCCAACGTATCGGCCACACAACAAGCTGTCAGCTGACTGGGTGATCCACCTGAGCGGCTCGATCCTCTACAAAAACGTTAGCCATTACTAAATCCTATAGCGAGATGCGGATTCATCAGTACTAGCCTGCTACTGTGCAGACTAACGCGAATATGATTGCATCCGTCTTGATTTACACAGACAAAGTCTACTTCCAAAGAAGAAAAAGAAATCACGACAAAACAAGAGGACATGTTTGAATGAAATTCCTGAAAAGGCAGGCTTACGTTTGTGAAACGGCGTAGGCCAGTTTTGGAGTGCCCTCGCACCAACCCGTGCGGAGGCCTGGGCCGCATATCTTAGAGAAGGAGCCATTGGAAACGGCATTGCCAAACCCGTCTGCACCTTGCCTTTCGGCGCCGCCACCGAGATATCGGTCCACATCTACGATGCGAGGTAGACTGGCATTTTCGATTGAGAGAGTGCTAGGGGTGAGACTGGAGGGCCATTGCAGAAAGTCATATACGTCGTCTGTGATGATAAGAGCATCATACTCTCTCGCCAAATGCACGAGTTCTTCTCTTCTCCGCAAGCTCATTGTTTTGGAGCTAGGATTAGAGAAGCCTGGCACAGCGTAGATGATGTGTTTGTATATTTTGTTGAATGGGCGCGGAGGCTTCAGAAGCTGGCGATGTTGTCAGTGGAGGTAAGGCAAATGCATTTCAGCTTTTGAGATGCCAGGGGCTCGCAATCAACATTGGCCATGGGGTCGGATATGAGAGAGAAAGAGAGAGAGAGAAAGACTTGCAAATAGACCATACTACAAGACAAGGGAAAGAAAGCACACGCACCGGCTCATTGTTGTTCTCTGCAATTGCGTTGTCTTCACTTTTTTTAATCTCACTTCTCAAATAGTCCATTTCGATGCCCTCATCATCTTCGGGAACGGCCCGAAGCTTTTTGTGGAAGCCAGCATCTTCAAAGATGCGAAAAGCCAGCATGTAGGCCGGTGCTACGATCCATATGTTCCTCGTATACAAGGGGTCTGTGAAGTCTTGGAGCAAGCAGGCCAAGTTTTGCGAAGCACCTCCGGAAATGCATATTCGCTCTGCAGACACTGGGTCGGCCGGTTTGTAGAAGGCAGTCAGCCATTGCGCGACATTGGCACGCAGTCGCGGGTCACCGGCATCTGGCCCGTAGCAAAGAGCTGGGTAGGCAGTAGGCTTATGTTGGAGCACATTGTGGGCTGCTCTGTCAAGCAATTGTGTAGGGAGTAAGGACAGATTAGGCCATCTGGTGCCGTTAGCAAATGACTCGGGGGACGTAAGGGTCTTATTGGGCCGCGTCTTGTCCGAAAGTGAAGATGCGGGTACAGAGATGGACGTGCCCTCGCAAAAGATTGATGAGCTTTTTGGAGCTAGTTTTGGATGCGACCACGTCAGGGAGCACAAAGGTCTTCAGGATCTGATGTGCAATTGTTTCGCCACCGCCCATGTTGGAACGAGTATCGAGTGCTGATGGCGCCGGATTGAGCGATGGTGAGTAAGGCGCCGGGGGGTGTACAAGCAGGGACCGAAGGGGCTAGCGTGCAGGTATGGGACGACTCTGTTCCTGGGCGGGGCAACGTGGTCTGCAGTGCCCGACAAGGCGTGTCAGAGGAGGGTGTGAAGAAGGAATCAATCGTCTTGGGCGTGTGTGTATTGTGTGTGCCACAGGTGTCTTGACCCAAACCACGTTCCTACAAAGGCCTGACATGGGGGATGCGGCTTAAGGTGCGTGTGTGACACGCTCATGATGCACACTATCGATACGGGAAGTGGTACGTCATCCGCATCGCTAAAATTTCCCTGCGGACGTTCCCCCAGGCCCTGGTGTCTTGCGCCTCAGCATCAGCAGCCGGGCGCCGTGTTGCATACAGGCAACAAAGGCGCCGCCGTGGGCGTGGGCCGCTGGCGAGAGCTGCTCGGCGTGAACAGGCGGAGAGAGAAAGAGAGGGCGAAACGGTATCAGCGGCAGTGGCAGTGGCAGTGGCAGTGACAATGCGAATGGGCATGGGCCTGTCTGGGAGACGAGGCGGGCCCTTTGGCGGCAACACGAGGCGCAGGGCCTAAACCAGCACGCGCAAAAGGGTCCTGGACAGGGCACAAAGGGGGTTTGTCCACTGGGGGACTGGGGTGTCATCGTACCCGCACACTGTAGAGGCATCGTGACAGCTGGAGGACTCGAGGCCAATGGGAGCCGGCACTGCATGACCCACGTTGTTGGCCACTGGCCCCGGGACGCTGCCGGTGCACGCACGAGCGTGGTCGTGACACTGCCGCACCTGCGACAGATCAAATATAGATCACCTAGTCTTTTTCACAAAGCTTTGGGCCTACCGTGCGTTATAAACCTCACCCATCAGCCGGGCGCCCTGCCTGCATAGAGACTTGTGTTGCTGCTGCTGCTCACCGTGTCCTTACTGACCCCCATGCTGCTCGACACATAGCACCTTCTCCACCCTCGACCATTCCGCCTCCTGCTCCTCTCCACGGCTCTCTGTGCCACCTATTACCGTCGCACTCGCACCTGCCGTCACCATGCTGGGCGAAAAGAAGAAGGCGACCAACCGCCTGTCGAGCCTCTTCTCCGTCGGATCGTCCTCCGAGTCGTCGGCCGCCTCTATCAAGAGCAGCCCGGCCCCCTCGTCAGAATCGAGCAGCCGCTTCTCCAAAGTTCGCAACCGCATCTCCTCTGTCAATCTCCTCACCCCAGAACCCCCGCAGCCCGCCGCCCCAAAGTCGCCCAAGTCGCCCAACCCGGCTGCTCACGCAAACCCCAGCCTCCACCCTGCCGTCCCCGCTGATCTCGAGCCCCTGGAGCCGCCGCCATTGCTCGACGTCTCTTCGCATCCATCCACTCCCTCCAATAGCCGCCCCTCGACCCCGGGCTTAGACCCAAATCCCGAGGGTCGGCTGAAAAAACTGCGCAGAAAAAGCATCCTCTTTGGAGGCGGGCCGGCCAACGGAGCCGATCCGGCCGGGTCAGGGAGTGCTGCCAATGGCAACCCGCCAGCATGGATTGTCGGACACAAGGGCAAGGTACCATATGACCTGAAGGCGTTGCTGGACGGCGAAAAGGTAGGCTGTCGGTGCTGGCTATTGCAGCGGTATCGAGTGCGCTGACATGACGACAGGTGCCCGAGTTGTGGGACGAAACAGGAGATACTTTTGTCTACCTCTTTCCCCGGACTTCTGAAAAAGGCGCTTCCTTCCGTATCGACTCTTCTGTCTATGCAGCTTCACAGTTGCTCACACGCCTCGTGCACGGCAGCCTTTACAGTGACGTTAGCGCCATTCCTCCTCTCGAGCTAGCCGAGCGGACGTCACGCCGCGTCTCTGGCGAACCCTATCCCGACCACTCCAGGGCTGCATCCCCCGAGCAGAGCCAAATAGGAAGTTCCGACGAGTCTAAAGGCTCAAGAGCGCTCAGCGATGCTGTAGAAGATGACTACTCAGAGAAGCATTTGTATATGCCCATCTCACTAAGTTCAGACTCCGCCATCACGCCGCAACAGCCCCAGCTCAGCACCCAGGACACCGATACCTTGGTCACCTACCGCAATTTCTTCGCTTTTCTCATTGGGCAATCGCTGGTTGCCACTGAACGCCATTCGGACATTTTTGATATTTTCCTGCGGATAGGAGACATATTATCCCACTATGCCTTCTCCAACGTCGACGGTTCTACCTTTGGTGAAGTTGCTGCCTCGAGCTTTGACTGCTATGTTGACGAGTTGGCGCTGGCCGATGTGCGACACAGCCGCGAGAAAACCATTGAAGCCATTGTTCTTGGCGAAAAGCTACGTTCCATGGGACTCTTCACTGAAGGCTTCGTTCACGCTGCTGGGAAATACGACAGCATTAAGGAATACAACTCTCCAAAATTCGCCATGATCAGCGCCAAGACGGCGACACGACTCCAACGGGCTGCCATGGATCTCGACAACCGAGAAGCCACCATTAATGGAAAGCTCAAAGACTTTGAATTCCCAGCCATCTTCTCCGGAATCATGAACAGTGCCATGGCCTCTGAAGGCAAGGTCATAAGCTTCAAGAAGTGGAGAGCTGCTTTCAACACAACCCGGTCGTTCATTCTCGATTATTACAGGCACAAATACGGCTCATGGCTACCCAAGGCCAAGTCGAAAAAGAACGATCTTACAACGGGTGGTCTCAATCGACTGGTACTGTTGGAGATATATCGCGACATGTCTAGTCTCTACGACCTTCTCGTAGACAGGAAAAACCTGACGAATCGCACGGCCGACGGCTTCATTGCTGAGGATGAGGGCACAGATATTAAATCGGTTGTCTCACGTACGCTCAGGAAAGTTTTGAGCGAGTACGACCGCAGTACTCCGCCTGTGCAGCCACCCATACCCTTCGATCTACCGCTATATCCAACATTGCCAAACGCCATGACTGGAAACGCGAAGCAGGATGCAAAAGCACGAGGAAAGAAGATACACAAAGACGAAATTGCCAAGCTGCTGAAAGAATCGCACAATGCCGATTCTGAGCAACAGACGCCGTTTTTGGATGCATTCCGTGTGTTTGAATCCAAGCACGCTGCAGGCTCTTCGTTGGACGATCTTTGGGATCTACGGACAGGACAATGGCTGTTCCTCTATGCCGTTATACAATCGCTGCCCATGTTAGTCGTCGATGCACCCGGTGTCAGATTTACCGAAGGCGTCGAGTACTTCCTGTGTGAAGTACCTCGAAGCGGTGTGCCATGGGCCCGTGAGGATACAGTACGGACACGGACGTGGTTCGGCGTTGCGGGAGGCGCGCAGGTGGTTAGTTTACCCGCGGACATTGTCGAACACGGAGTCGAAGGTGTATTCCGACGGTCTCACTGCTGGAAGAAGGCGCAACTTTGGGCGGCTGACGACACGCTGTTGAATGCCGCCATGCAAGAATTGAACGGGCATGCTTCGCTGCTGCCGCCTCCTGGACTGCTCGATCCTTCGGGGACTAGCATCCGTGACCGGTCTCAGAGTCCCGACAGACGCCGTGAGAGTGTCATGAATCTGGGACTCGAGGCGCTACCGTTACCTCCAGGTGTTGCCCCACCCATGTCCACCGGTTCACCTTCGCGAAGACCCGAATCGAGCAGTGACCCGAGTAAGACGTTTGACGATATACTGGGTACTTCGCCTTCGAGCCCCCAGTCCAAGAAGAAGAAGAAGAAATGAGCAGATAATGACGAGAGAGACCGCCATGGCAGGGGAATGTAGCATGTAAAGTTTTGGTTTTGATTTTCTTTTTCAAACTATTCGTTGATACCGCGTAATGTTTGATAAATGCATGATGGAATAGCATAGGCGGGCTTTTGTAATCTTTGTCGCGTTGTCGCATTTATATGCATTCGGGATTTGTATCATTTTAGACAAACATTGCTATAGGGGAGGGGCGGTTTTCGTAGTCGACTTGAAGTCGCGCCAAAAAATGCAGTCATGACGTTTGTGGTTAGTTCCCGCGCGTATCGCTGCCGATATCGTTGCGTCTGCACTTACCCGCACGATTACATCTCTCCGGCCCAGTTCACATATTTTTGAAACTTTGCTCGCTCCCATTGCGATTTGGCGCGTCGTGTACTCGCGAGCATGACGTCTTCTTTGCCTGGCAACCGCGATTTGCCTGTGTCGCAATTCGACCTCAGCACCTACTGGGGTCGCGTGCGGCACTCTGCCAATATTTCAGACCCGAGGTGAGAGTCATTGCGCACCGAATAGATTTGCTTGCGCGACTTGGGTGTAGTGAGTACCACTACCTTTAGTTTCTCGACCGCACCTTTGTTGTTCCCAGCGCAAACCATCCATCTAGCAAAGCCTGGGTTGACCATGCATGACGCAGGACGTTACTCACATCCGCCGCTGGCCTCGAAAATGCGAAGAAGCTCGTCACCGCCTACAAGACAGGCAAGATACCAGAAATGACACCAGAGCTCTGGGATGCAAAGAAGATAATTGATTCAACAATTCACCCAGGTACTTTGCTCGGGGAAGGCGCACAATGAGGGGGAGACGCTGACGGATTCCAAGATACAGGAAAGCCAGTCTTCCTACCCTTCCGCATGTCCTGCTTCGTATTGACAAACTTGGTTGTCACGGCTGGCATGCTTACACCAGGCCTTGGGGTATGCAACTCTGCATCGTGTTAGGTAGACAATATGCTGAGCAGAAACAGACGGCAGGAACACTCGGATGGCAAGTGACGAACCAGTCGGTCAATGTCGGAATCAACTTCTCCAACGCGAACAAGTCGATTCCTCTCTCGACCTCAACCATTGTCAAATCATACCTCCTTGCTGTCAGCGCATCTTGTGGTGTTGCCGTTGGCCTGAACGCGCTAGTACCCCGCCTCAAGAGCCTATCGCCAAATGCAAAACTCATCGCGGGGCGTTTGGTACCATTCGCAGCTGTCGCTACAGCAGGTGCGCTCAATGTCTTCCTCATGCGCGGTGAGGAGATTAGGCAGGGCATCGATGTTTACCCAGCCTTGTCGGAGATCGACAGGCATAGGGTGGAGACTGGCGATCTCGAGGTCAAGCCCCTAGGTAAAAGCAAGAAAGCTGCAACACTTGCTGTGGGAGAGACAGCGCTGAGTCGAGTGCTCAATGCTACGCCCATCATGGTTCTGCCGCCCCTCGTCCTTGTCCGATTACAAAAGACAGAGTGGCTCAAACAGAGGCCGAGAATGGTAACTCCAATCAACTTGGGTGAGTCGAAAGTGAAACGCAGTGACATGACCACAACACCCGCTAAAGCGCGAACAGGCCTTATTTTTACCACTTCCATCTTTGCACTCCCGCTTGCACTCGCTGCATTTCCGCAACGCCAGGCTGTTAGCGCAAAATCTTTAGAGCCCGAGTTTCATGAGCGAGGCGGCAAGGATGGATTAGTGGAGTTTAACCGTGGGATATGATGGACCGGCACCACCCACCGACGAAAGGACACGCTATCATCTTTGTTCGACCGGGCCCATGACGTCTAGGCATTGATGCAAGTCATTCAATGCATGCTTATGTAGAGCACAACTGAAGACATAGTGCAGCTCCAGATTGCGAGCTCAACAGCGTCGCTTGAGATACAATGCGGCGAAGACATGCTTCCTGGCGATGTGATTGGCTTAGCTAGAATAAGCACAGGATCTCGAGAGCCGCCACATCGAGTGCTCGACCTTGTAGACGAAGATAAGACCAGATATGTCTTTTTGCAAAATGATCTAGGCAGCCGTTAAATTAGCCTTGTTTAAGATGACTGTTTAATTTGTGACGTGGGTTGGTGCTCAAAAGTCAAGCTGGCCTCTTGAGAAAGACCAGGTGTCAAATAGTGTCAGAACAGGGTAGTTCTTGGCTGCATTTTACTACGAAACCACCACCACTCCACGTTTCCACGTTTTGTCAATCACGATCCCGACCAACACCCTACTCACCGCTTTTTTACTGGGATTGATTCCCTTTCTTTCCTTATTCTTCTCCTCTCTTCTACGTCCTCGTCTGTTCTTGAACGCTATATACCCTACTTGTGCCCTGCGGAGCCCGCACATCCCACTACAAGTGTCCCGCGCCTGCGGTTAGCGACACATTGCCTCTTTCCTCACACAACATGGCGCCACCCGGACGCCGGAGAGGCCATCTCTCGCCCGCAACTGTCCTCCTCGGTCTCGTATTCCTCTTCTCGTCGACCGCCTCCGCTGCGTCAGCTATTATCGGTGTTGATCTCGGTACCGAATACATCAAGGCTGCGCTTGTGAAGCCAGGAAACCCTCTTGAGATTGTCCTCACCAAGGACTCGAAGCGCAAGGAGACTGCGGCCATTGCTTTCAAGCCATCCAAAGGCGGTGCCCTCCCCGCAGGCTCTTATCCCGAACGCTTCTACGGTGGCGATGCAATTGCGCTACAGGCACGGTTCCCTGGCGATGTGTACCCTAACCTGAAGCACCTTTTGGGCATCTCGAATGAGGACGACGCAGTCGCCACGTACAAGGAGAGGTATCCAGCCCTCGAGGTTACTGCCACAAAAGGACGCCCAACAGTCAGCTTTGAGAGTCATGTGTTCAGCGAGGATAAATCATACATGGTTGAGGAGCTATTGGCTATGGAACTAAAGAATGTCAGAGAGAACGCAAAGGCGCTGGCAGGCAAGGGCTACGATGTCCAAGAGGTCGTTTTCACCGTTCCAGCCTTCTACACTGTGTCTGAAAGGCGCGCACTAGAGGTCGCAGCTCGCCTGGCAGGCCTCAAGGTCCTCAGTGTTATTTCCGATGGTTTAGCTGTTGGTCTCAACTATGCCACCAGTAGGACGTTCCCCGACATCACTAAGGATGGCAAGCCAGAAATCAACATGGTATTCGACATGGGCGCTGGTTCAGCGTCTGCCACAATTGTCAAGTTCCAGGGCCGTTCGGTCAAGGATGTAGGCAAGCGCACTAAGACTATCCAGGAAGTTCAAGTCATGGGCACCGGATGGGACAGGACGCTTGGAGGTGATGCGTTGAACTCGCTAATCGTCGATGATATGGTTTCTACATTCATCGAGCTTCCTGCGGCCAAGAGCGCATCTTTCACAGCTGAGCAGGTTAAGACTCACGGACGTACTGCCGCCAAGCTTTTCAAGGAGGCAGAGAAGATTCGCCAGATGCTTAGCGCCAACAAGGACACATCTGCTTTCTTCGAAAGCTTTTACGAGGACGTTGACTTCAGGTACAAGCTCACTCGTACCAAGTTTGAGGAGCTTGCAACAGCCTATGCTGAACGCGTTGATGGCCCCATCAACCGAGCTCTTGAAGCTGCTGGTCTTACTCTGACTGATATCGACTCTGTTATTGTTCATGGTGGTGCAAGCCGTACTCCCTTTGTTCAGGCTCGTCTTGAGGCAGTTGCTGGAAAGGGCAAGATCAGGGCCAATGTTAACTCTGACGAAGCCGCTGTTTTCGGCGCTGCCTTCAAGGCTGCTAGCCTGAGTCCCTCTTTCCGTGTCAAGGAGATTCGCGAGCTGGACACCCAGGGCTACAACCACGGTTACAAGTACATGTTTGACCTGAAGGATCGCGACCAGAAAATCTTCACACCCAACACCAAAATCGGCATGGTCAAGGATCTACCTTTCCAAATGATGGGCGAGTTTGAGTTTTCCATGTACCAAGCTGTGCCTGGACCCAAGGGTGCCATCTCAAAAGAGCCTACTCTCCAGTTCACTAGTGGTAACTTGACCAGAGTTATCACCAAGATGATTGACGAGGACAAGTGTGATCGCGAAAGCTTCAACAATTACGTCAAGGTCAGATTGAGCCCCATCACTGGTACCCCTGAAGTTCTCTCTGCTTGGGTCACTTGCGAAAGCGAGTCTGAAGAGCCCAAGGCTGGTATCGTTGATGGTGTAAAGAACTTGTTCGGCATGGGTGGCAAGAAGGATCAGGAAGCCCTGAAAGAGGACGAAAGTTCTTCATCATCTACGTCCAAATCCTCTTCTTCCTCTTCTGCCTCGTCGTCATCTGCTGATGCCGAGAGCACTGATGCCGCCAAAGCTACCGAAAAGAAGATCAAGGTCGTCAAGTCCGCTCACACTTATGATGTTGTAGAGCTAGGCTACAAGAAGATTACTCGCAAGGAGTTCAAGAGGATGCAAGACAGGTAAGATCCGTCTTTGCTGGATACACTTTATTTGGTTTTCCAGAGAATTAACAAAAGACAGACTCGCTGCTTTCGATGCGTCAGACAAGGCCCGTCGCGCTCGTGAGGAGGTTCTTAACTCACTGGAAGCCTTCACATACCGCGCACGCGACTACCTAGAGGATGAGTCATTTATTAGTGCTTCCACTTCGGCGGTTCGCTCTACTCTCGAGGAGAAACTTGGTACCACCTCGGATTGGCTCTATGCGGAAGGTGCAGATGCGGATGAGCAGACGCTCCGAAGCAAGCTCAAGGAGCTTGAGGACCTCGTTAAGCCGGTTCTCAACCGCAAGACCGAAGCATCCAAGCGCCCGGAGGCCCTCAAGGAGCTCAAGGATACCATTGACCACATCAAGGAAGTTGAGCAGCTTGTTGATGGGCAGATTAAGACCCAGATAGCGGAGAGCTCTAAGAGCAGCGAGGCTGTAGCTCAAGCGTCTGCATCTCCATCCACGGATCCTATGGACGAGCTTGACGAGGAAAAGACACCGGCTGAGCCTGAAATCACCGAAGTGCCTACCATCTACACAGAATCCGACCTAAAGGCTGTGCAGGATGCTGCATCCAAGGCCCGAGCCTGGCTCGAGGAAAACGAAGCAAAGCAGAGTAAGCTCAGCGAGACCGACGACCCTGCATTCACGGTCAAGGAAATTCAGGCGGAGAAGAAGAAGATGGACGATATAATCATGGACATGATGATGAAGAAGATGAAGCACTTCAAGCCGCCGAACCAGCAAAAGCCCAAGACCACTAAGCCCAAGACTAAGAATGGCAAGTCTAAGAAGGCTAACAAGGCCAAGGGTGATAGCAAGGAGACTGAGAAGGAAAGCAAGGGCCCGAACGACGAGGAGCTACAGGAGGCGCTCAAGAAGGCGGGCGTAGATGCCGATGGGATTAAGCTCAAGAACTTTGGAGGCAAAGGCGATAAGGGGAGCATCTTGAAGCAACTGAATGTCCCTGAAGACGCAACACAAGAGGAGATTCTCGCAGCGCTTAACAAGGCGATAGAGCAGAATAAGGAGAAGGACGAGTTGTAAAGAAATGTGTATAGGCCAGTTTCTTGGATGAGACAGAAATAGAAGAAGAGATTTGTTTGCGACGCATGTGTATATGAGTAGCGAGAGAAGGTGGTGTTCACTTTGAGGAGCTTTGTACTGTGCGAGGGGTCACTTGTCGTTTGCTACAACATGTATAGGCTATACAAGCCATGCGTTCCCATGTCAAAGGTCACGCTTGTTGTGCTGATAACATATGTAGTAAGTGTGCGTGATCAGGCGAGCGGTGTATTAGGTTGTGGTATGATGAGCATCTAGACCACTTACTAGAGGAGATGCAGGGAAAAGGAATTTAACGAGTTTCACCTTACGGTGTGCGGCGATACTACTAGGTGATTGAGTGCATCACGTGACGAGTACGTTTCGGGGTTCATCCCGCACGGCCCGATAGAATAGTACTTGGTGGTACTTGCAAGTACAAGGCCATCGCCAGGCGCGGGTGCAAAGGTTCACGGCTACAAGGTGAGGCTGTAGACCTGCATATTGAAGTGGCGGCTGCACGCTGTCAAAGGCCAATCGTTCATGTGCGTGACCAGCAAACAGATGGGTACACTGGAGAGGATGCAGCGGGCGGGCCAGTGGGAAGCATGAAGCCGTTGCAGAGTGGCAGGGAAAGGACGGGGCTGACAAGAAGCTACGTGCCGTTACCGTACACATCCGGTTACGCGCACAGCGAACGCCCCGCCAAAAGTGTCGGTGAGGTAAACAATCACCAGCACTCTTCTGACACGTCGCCAGCGCATCCCACTAGTGTCCCAACCTCGCCAGATAGACGCGGGCGGGTGACCACGCACCAAGACGACCACCTCTGTGAAATTCACAATGGCATCCCTGACCCGTTGCCTCGCATCCTTCTCGTAGACAACACCGCCAGTGCCCCTCTCCCCCTCTCTCCCCTCTCCCATCTCTTCACTCCCACGGTACTGCTGAGCCTGCTACTGCATCCGCTTCCACGACCGTCGTACGAGCAACTGAGCAGAGGCCCGCCGCTATGACTACTATGCACCACCCCGCCCCCCAGCCGCCGGCAGGTCTTACTTCTTTTGCCGTCTACGAGGACCCACAGGATCGCGAACCCTTGTCGCCTTCGGACATGTATGAAGAAGGCGACTCTTTTCACTCTGAACGCTCATTCCCCAACGACGTCGTCCACACCATCGAGCTCCAGCAGCAGCAGCAGTCCCAGGAACCTGACGACGAGCCCCAGCCCTACCGAAGCTCCTACACATCTCGGCCCGGCTCCCAGCAACGGATGTCTTCGCACTACAGCTTCGTCTCGGCTATTCCCTCGGAAACCTCGATATCCTCAAAGCCCATCTTGCCAGCGAATGAAGCTGGTGCACGAGCTCGCAAAGAGCGCCCTCGCTTCCGCAACTCAGACTCTGTACGCGCCATGCAGATGTCCTCGCCTCCGCCTCTGCTAGCGCACCAGTCTTCCCACGAGCGGTTAAAGGCCTCGTACAAGTTGACTACGCCAAACCGAAATGCGGGAGCCGAGACGCCAGGCTCAAGGCACTCTGGCTCGAGGAGGAGAAGCATACGCGAACCTCACAGTCCGAGGCCCATGCCGGCTCCACAGCAGGCTCCACTGGTTCTGCTGCACGTCACCATCCTGCCGATGCAGCTACCCTACTCGCACGACATCATGGCAAGGATCATGCCCGACTGGCTGGTCGAGAACTACAAGCTGCTAGAGGAGAAGCTGCAGGACATCATCCTGATGCGCCGTGGTCTTCTCATTCCGCATCCAAGAGACGAGTACGACTTGCTCGAGGAGCGCATTCTGGAGAGCCTTGAGCTCAAGACGCCCCGACTACTTCCATGTGGACACTTTGTTCCACCCGAAGACGATGATGACCGGGAAGATGATGACGACACAGCCAGCATTGGTGATGAGAATACCGGACGGGGCAGCCGGATGAGTGGAGGAACACTTACCGAGGGCAGCAACACGTCTGCCAACGGCGACCACAGCATGTGCATCGACTGCCACCGCCAACTCAAGAAGCCAGGCAAGGGCATTGGTGCAGGCACAAGGAAGTGGGATATCAAGATTTACGCCGCCAACGGACTGATGCGTTCCGCGGCGTGGGGTGCGTGCTGGAACGACATGGAACGTTGCGATGTTGAAATCCACCCCTGGATCCCAGAGGAAGTTCGCAAGACGTTGGAGAAGCGAGCACGCGAGGAACTTGAGGCAGACCAGCGCAAGCAGCAATACACTGTAGAGCTTCAACGGCAAATACAAGAAGCCGCTGCCAAGACGAAGATCCTAGAAGAGGAGGCCAATGAGAAGAAGCGCAAGGAAGAGGCTGAGTTGCAAAAGAGTTTCGAAGAGGCTGCTGCAGCGCTGCGACGAAGCATCGAAGAAAAAGCCACCGAGAAGAAAAAGTTTGAGGAAGACCTCCGGGCTAAGCTGGAGGAAGCCAAAGAAGCTGTGCGTCTGGAGTTGGAGGCCAAGGCTCTCGCCGAGTCTGATGCCGTCGCTGACCGTCTCCGTGCCTTGGAAAACGCTGTCAAGGAGAAAGAAAGAGCCGAGGCTGCTCTCCAAGAAGCTGCCCGTTCACGTTTATCGTCGGAAGTTCCACTCAGCACCCTTCTCAAGAACTATGCCTTCGTTCTGCTGGGTGACAAGCGTAACATGATCATTGCCCTGCTTGGAGCTGCCGTCGTGTACTTAGCCATGAGTATGCATGCGATTCAACAAGAGTCTTCAGCCGCACACATGCTCCAGCTGCCCACTGACGTTGTCATGGCCGCTCCAATGCCTAGCGCTGTTACCGCGACTATGACGGCTACCTCTTACTCCACTTTCACCGTCACCGAGTCTCAGACTGTGATCAGCATGGTGGAGACTGCTGCACCTGTTGTACCTGTGCCTGCATCTGTACCTGACGTTGAGGAGAAAGTTGAAGACGTCGTTGTCGAAGCAGTTCTGGAAGTTGAGGACGCACATCCTACAAGCCCTGCAATCGAGCTCGTGGAGTCTGTGCAGTCTGTAGAGACCGTAGAGGCTGTGGAGGCTGTGGAGCAAGCTGCCCCCGTCACTCGGGACACACCCACCACCGACTACGTTTTGTCCAAAGGCCCTTCATGTGCCATGGAGCCTGTTGTCCTCCAGGCTGCCCCCGCCTACTGCGCAGTAAGCGAGCTGTAAATGTCCTTGTTTTGACACGGACGTGAGCTCATCTTTCCTTTGTTCCATTCTATTTTGACGTTTTCCTTTTTTTCTCTCTCACCATCCCATGGCCTTACCGATACCATATCATACCACGTTTATGAAGTAATGTAGCGAAGCGTATATATCCCTCCCACCAGACTATCGAGCTAGCATAGCGAAAATGGCGTTTATGAGATCTAGCTGGAGTTGTCTTTTTTTATATTTATCTCAATTGGGGGTGTCCATTGTTGTTGGATCATGAGGATGAATGGATGCGAGGTGAGGGTATTTAGTAGATGACAGACTTCAAAGGATTTTGTATGATCCTGAATACCAATTATTATCTCATCATTATCCTTTTCCATCTCTACCTTGCATCTTTCTGTGTCTGTGGATATGTGTGCATTGCCCGAGGTAAGAGGTGGAAATCACCATGACAGAGTATAAGCGGGACTGTGAAGAGTTCTTGCAAGACTTGCAAGAAGATAACTCTGCATATGTCATTTCATCTGTGTATCGTGCTATCCGAAATGGCAGGTTTGAGTAATCATCAGAGCTGCTGTACATGCGTCCAAACATGTGTATGCAGCGTCGTCATACGTCAACACCCAATCCTGCTTGCATTACCACCACACAACGACAGTGCCACCTCTTACTCCCCTCAATCTTCCGCAATACCCTGTTTCCTCAGGTCCTCCCTCCTCTTGGTCGACCTTCCCTTGGCCTCCTCAACCCACTTGTCATACGCATCGCCGCCTTGATCCAACTTTGCCCTCACAACACTCTTCAGCAGCTCACCCACAAAGCCCACAAAGTTATGCCTTCGCAACGAGTTCTCCCACAGCCACCTTGCGCGCTTATCTTCCTGCTCCTCCAACTCTTCCTCGTCCCCAATCTCTCGGGCACGGATACGTAGGTCGCGACAGCAGGCCATGAGGTTGAAGCGGATTTCCGTGGCGGGGTAGCGGGCGATGCGGCGTTGGAGTACGGGAATGATCTTCTGGGGGAATTCGGAAGAAGTGCAGGGTCCATGGGAAATGGGCGCTGGTTGGAGGCCGTCGAGTTCGTAGAGTTTGTTGTTTATGCTTGTGTAGCTGGTAGAGTTATGCATTAGTTGTGCGCTCGAGGGTTTGGCTTGAGCAAGGGCGGAATGCTTACGCGATGAAGTGGAATACATCGTCGTCTTCAGTCGCTGTTCGCTGCGTCTCATCGATGAATGGCGAGGAGCGTGCGAATGAGTTGTGTGTTTCACGGATGAGGTCGGAGTTGGAGAGAGTCTCACCACGGAGCTTTTTGTCTGGGTTAGGCATGTGTCGCGAAATATCATTGTCAGTCCAACATACATCTGGTGGGAAGTCACCCGCAAACTCCTTGAACTCTCTCAGCTCCTTGCCGATATCAATCTCCTCTTCTCTGTTCAACAGAAGCGAGACTATCGCCTGTGTCCCGCAGGCGTTCTGTATGGTTTGCGCCGGGAAGAAGATGGAGCTCGCCGCTTCGTAGTCGTAGGTGCCGTCCTTCGGTACATCGCTGGGCTTCTCGCCGGTAGGGTATTTGAAGAGGAAGATGACGCCATAGACTGTACCGAGGTTTTGCAGGTCTGATGCTTCGAGTGTGGTGAGCTCTTCGAACTGTACGTCCTTAACACCGAGCTTCTCGATCAGATAGGTGAATACGCCCTGCGCGAGTCAGTAGGTGAAGAGGATTTTCTGGCGCAGGCGGCGGTGCACTAACAGCATCGGACTCTATAGTGTTCCAGCCTCCAGACATGATTGCGTTTTGAAGGCAAGGTTGCTTTTGCTGGTAATGTGTTGTCGCTGATGGCTCTTACGCCATCGGCGCCTACCGCCGGGATCACATCGGCCCGTGGTCGGAACCGTTCCGAGAACCCCGCTATGTCAAGTGATGCATGTCTATCCTGCGTAGATCGTACCAGGCGTCTAGCACGTCTCGGGTTGACCTCTGCTGAGCCCTTGTGGTGTAATTAAGGTTTTTAGCCTTTTTCGGTATACACTTCGTGCCCTATCACTTGCTTGTTATTACATGTACCGTAGCTTGAAAGTTTATGCAAGACTTGTCACGATTTTACCGCTGTTGCTCCTTATTCAGCATCACGTGCATGACCTCTGGGCACTCCCAAACTTTATTTGGAACTAAGAAAAGCGTCCAGATGCCCAGGCAGAAAAATTTGAGCTTTGCTGCGGATATTAGCGATGGCCGTGCTGAAGCAAGGTCATGGGTGTTACAAGTACCTGTAGCCTGATCTTTTTGAGGAAGGTGGTACATGTACGTAATGGACACGGAAATATCTAGATACCGTGGTAGTCGCATCCATATTCAGGCCTCTCTCCTTTTGGGCACAGACCGTTCCGAAGCTACACTAATGTATCACGCTATGCACATCGTCATCGGCACACGTTGAAATCAAAAATGGCACGATTGTTTTCATTCCAAGCTAATGGCAAAAGGTTGGCGTTGGGCGCTATAGCTTGACCTGACTCAAGGCTGGCATCATGCCATTCATGTGCAGATCAAGAACCAGCCGTCTGTACTATCCTATATCGATAAAATAAGCCAGCTAGGCCGTCGTACTATCCCGCGTCGATCATCAGGGCTGGTCTCTCCATTGTGTGGAGTATCAGACCACTTCGCAAAAGCACGTACGATGCTTTACTAATGGGACGTAAATTGTATGTCCGCTAGTAGTCGGAATTTTGCTCGTGGATTACGTATACTTGTCATGGGTAAAGACGGGTTGAATTAGTTTCGAATTGGTCGGATTGAGCTATGTAAAGATCACTGTCTTGTGGTGTGGTGGTCCGCGGACATAGGCGCAATTGCAGGCATGTTGCCTACTACTATGTGTCTTACGATTGCTATACATAGATATTTTATGTACCGCCAGTTTAATTGGATTAAGTTTTTTTATTGCTGGGGTCCAGGGTCAACCAATTAGCGATGGTTTCTGGGGGTTGCATAACAGCTGCATTGGTGCGCAATCAGAACTCTTAGTAATCAAGAAAATCGCTGCGTAACTTGATATACAGTATATTTCTCAACCATTGAAAGTTGTTTTTAAGTGAATTGGGAAGTATTCCCAACGATTGCGGCACAAAGTGTGTGTGAGAGAGAGAGGGGTGGAGGAGCCACAGTACGCTCTCCTGGTGTCATCTCCATATATATATATATATGCATCTACTCATAGCTACTCTAAAGTGTTCTCTAGTTCTTTTTTTCATACCTGCCATACTCCAGCTGATTCGCTGTGCTCCGTTACCTTTCGAATCGCGCAGTCCAACCAGACACTTCTCTTCAAAAGCCACCGAAAGAACAACACCAAAAAACGCACCGCAACACCATCTTGAAAAAGGGAAATTCTACCAGAGCAAACGCTTAACATAAGCTTCTGGATAAATCCCAGCCAAAATTACCGTCGTATGCTCATATTTCTTCTTCTCCCATGCACTACACAAGCATCTCCCTCGGTCAAGAAGAAAGAGAAAAAAAAATGGGTTCCCAAAGTATCATTCCTCTACTCCATACACTCAACGCTATAGCTCGATCCAAGTGTGAGGAACAAAAACATGAGAAGCTTCATTCCTACATATGTGCACTGGATAGGTTGCTCTTATAGCCGACATGCGTTATATCCATGTTGTCAATAAGTTCTCCCACAACGTTTTACCGAGTAAGGCTATGATGATGATGAAGAAGAAGAAGAAGAAGAAGAAGAGAAAATTATCCACAAGATGTTCCTTCTTCGTATCATCTTCCATACATCGTTGGCTGCTTATATGGAGATACCGAAACTAAATTACTGATTGTCATGCTTCATCTTTAACAGAAGAATGTATGGTGTGCTGATTCTAGTAAAGCTAGCTAGTCCGGTGTGTCCGCAGATGTGCCGATCTGCGACTAGTGGGAGCAAAACACTCTATTCATTCGTAATTTTTCGAACTTTGGTAGAATCCCGGACACCATTTTCCGTTTCATTCTTGGTCAAGTTGAGGGCGCGGGACTGGGGGCCAGTAAGTAGAAAGGAAGTAGAGAGGGGTAAGGTGGGATGGTGGCAGATTGTTGATAGGACTATATGGTGTGGGGATGAATGTTGAGTGAATATCATCTAAGTATATTTCTTGCGTAATATATATATGAGGAGATAGATACACGATTGTATGCAATCGCTAGGTACATAGATGCAAAGCGGAATCCTTTGCCACCTTGTAAATTCCCTTGTTATAAGCGCAGCTTGTGGTATTAGGCTGTTGGGCGGGCCACAAATTGACATTAGCCTTGACGCCCGTCTTGTTTAATGTGGCTTTAAACTCTGCAAGGGTCGAATGCATGTCAACAATGCATTAGTGGACTGTCATACTTCGCCTGGTATATGCCGTGAAGGAAGGAAAAAAAAGGCTTTTGTCAGAAATACAGCGTATAATCCGAGATGACGTCTCCTTGATTACAAACGCTGGATATCATCGGTTGCTTACAGACGCGCTGGCCAGGATCCTGGGTTGTGAGCAGGCAACTGCCGGGTTGACTGGGGTAATGGAATCCTTGCAACCTGGGCTTATGTGCTCTGACAGTGGTAAAAGGGAAAGAGTATCATATTCGAAACGAAACATCATCCGCCGCAAGCGATTGTGCCACACACAAACACAAAAACCTTGTCATATCTCCTCTCCTCCCTTGACAGACTCAAGATACCAAGCGGGTCAGTGTCGAACCAGGGATATCTGCGAAGCAATCCTTGGTGCATGAATCATTTACAAAGGACCATGCTGACCATTTTGCAGATATTGCGCAGCATGGCTCAGTACAGTTGACCACGTTTCTCCCTCTAAAACCGGGCCGAAGAGTGTAACACATAGCCAACACGTACCCCAGTACACGTAATTTTAGGCCTCCTATACCTTTTGAGAAACAGGGACAAGGAAAAGGGAGAAAAAAAAAGATATCGCTCAATTTGAGTTTTCCAAGAAGGTATACCAAGTATCTCTCGGAGTTATCCACGTGATGCGACCCGAGCTCAGGGCGAGACCTCTACAGCCGCGATCGCCTGGACATGAATGCACGTTACGTGAGCTAGACGATCCAGATTGTAAGAGTAATATAAGCAGCAGGCTCCGAAGAGGCAATAATTTCGAGAAGGAGGCCCCAACCCCAGGTTCTGCAAGTCGCAGGGCCGGCAAGTGACAGGAATTGCCACTATCCACTGCAGCAGACACGTGTATACACATCTTGAGATGGTAAGTCTCCGACCTCGTATCTCCCTTTCTTTTGCGGGCATGCGGCACGTCCCGTTAGCTTATAATTCTGAGGGCTATGGTTCGTCGTTACGGTACACACGCTAGCATCTGCTATCACGTTAGCCCCTATAATGCTCGGGCTTATGAACCCGGCACCCTAAGCCTTGGACGCCGAGTAGGTTGAGGCTATCGCAGGACAGCGAGACAAGGTGTGGTTCAACGTGTGAGATCGCCACCATACAAGGCAATTTGATGGACTGGACCCCGTTGTAAAAGGTTAGTTAGAAAATATTCTTCCTGGAAACTTTTAGTGCCACGCGTTGCAGAATAGAGCGACTTCGTGCATTGAAAAGTTGTCGATCGCTGTGAGGTGCGCATCTCCGCATCCGCTAGACATGTAACTTTTTCTCCGGCGACAGCACGTGTGCATGACAGTAGTGGTGGTGGTGATAGTAACGGGAGTAGTGTTGTGATGGCGGGACGACTAGGGTCAATCTTGATTCGCCGTGGCGCAGTAGGTTGTACCGAGACCTGGGTGGGGACTCAGAAAAAGGTTGCTTGAATCGTGGCACACACACATATGTACGCACATATCGGTAGTTGAATTCGGGCGGTCAGATCGCATGCCTGTGCATGGACGTGGTTATGTTTCGGGGAACCGGTGTGATGGTGTGAGCGCATATTTCTTCAGAAGTTTGATGAGCCTGGCAGGGCAGCTCCAGAACGTGCGATGGTGGGTGCGTGCGTGCGGGCGGGCGGAAGGGGAGAAAGAAATGTTCCGGGGGGGAAACTTGGGACTCGGGCGGTGGCACCCAGAGACGAGCGAGCCGTTGCGCCACACGAACTCTCAGTCAGTGGTAGGGCAGTTAGTGAATCAACTGACTGTGCTTGCCTTAGACGCAAGCGTCTTGAGGCAAAGGTTATATGGGCATATCATATTGTCAGATTGCTTCTTCCGCCCTTCGAAGCCGAGTATTACTGTTTTCGGGGAGAGCTGATGCGAAAACCCGAAGTGCCGCACGGCGGCCTCTGGCAAAGGGAGTGGAAGCGTGTTGCTGCCCCAGAAATAGAAAATTATCAATCACCTGAAGAGTGCTAGTGTTCGAAAAAGATAGTTTACGCACGTAAGCAAAGCACATCACGATGCACACTCGGCCGAGTAAAGATGTACAGATCGCTGAGTAGCGGTCAATGAGTAGGCGGTCCCCTGCATGTGAGCTGGAAGGATAGGGTACCGAGTCATTCACAACTCTACTTTTACAACGCATTCGCGATTCTTACTCTCTGCTGGGTGTTCATCTGAGCACCGATAGTAACATAGATGTGAAGAATGGATACTAAAAAAGAGAGGGCAAGGTGACGGAATGATGCGTCCGACACTAAGTAACTCTTACGCAGACGGCGCACTAATGGGCCACAACTGCAGTGCGGAATTAAGCCTTGACACCCATGCAGCCTTCTTGAGGCTCCAATGAGGGGCCGCGGGATGTAGCGACAACGGTGGAACTCTCAACATGCTCG